CAGAGATTCCAGGACAACTCTCGGCCGGTCCAACCTCTGCCCCAGCCTCCGCATCGCATGACTCGACTGGATCCAAAGGGTTGTAGGTGGAGATGTTGGCGACCCAAGGCCCAAGGTTGTTCCCAGTAGACATCGCCGGCGTGGCGAGCGGCTCGGCTGAGGATACAGCATCAGGAGGATACTCAGAGGGGTCGGCAGAACAGGCGGCCAATGATGCTTGTGGGCGCAAGCACGTTCAGCGATAGAGATTCAGCCTTTGCCCAAAAGGGGGCATGCCACCCCCATCCTGTGCGGAGCGCGATGCCGCGGGGCCCTCGGAGCCCGGGCCTGCGTGCGCTGCCTTCTGCTACGGGGGTTGCTAACCACAGCCACGTCTCCTGCGGGCGGCGAGCGTGTCGGCCGCATGGAGGGGGGAGGATCCGTAGCGTCGATACCGGTCCTTGTATGCTGCTTAGCGACACTGTTCGTGACTGCTCCTCCGTTCTTCCGTACTGCGGCGCTCCTTCAGCGTCCAGCCAGGAAGGCACCCTGTCATGTATATTGAGAGCAAGCAGTAAGCGCGACTGCAACGGAAGCTGAGACCCTCCTTCGAACCTAATCGCCGCCGAGGGCCCCACATGTAGGGCTGTCTTCACTCAGTGGTAGCCGATCCCCCTGGGTCCCGCAGGCCATGGTGCAGTGTCCGTCGCAGCCCTCCATGTCGTCCGCTTCAGCTGTGCCCACCACCCTATCGGATACTTTTGGAACAAAGGGGCTCTGGGGTGTGAGGCACGGTCTCGCAAGATGCACTCAGCAGATTGCCACCGCTGTGTCACCGGAAAATAAGCTCTTGCCGCCGCTCCAACGCATCCATTCAAGCTTCGACCCGCTCGCCCGAGGTTGGAACAAGGCCCGGAATGCGGTCTCCTCAGCGGCCACCTGGGGTTGAAAAAAAAAATGCTGTGTTCCTCCGGAAGTACGGGCCACTGTTCAGTCGAGCAAGCGCGGCTGTGCGGTCCCCGCCGATGCTCGTGAGCCAAGCCAAGCCGCATATAGTAGGCGGCCCAAAGAGCTTCCGTTCGTGCGGGCAGGAAGTTGTGACGTTGTGACGATGGCGGAGAGAGTGCGTCTACCTTTCGGACAGGGTTTCCGACAGACCTTCCATCCGTCCGATCGTCCGACGAGTGGACGGCAGGAGACCGCCATGAGATCGGACTGGCGAGCGACGTCGCAGCGGTGAAAGTGCTGCAAAGAAACATTGACATTATGCGAATGTGACTGCCAAAACAGCAAGACGACAGCTATGAGCGATAGGACGTTGAGCAAAGAAGTAGACGCTCCGTAGAATACGTACGGCGGGTGGCGGATAATGTAAGTGGGGCGCGTGCGGGTGGAGGAGGTGACCGAAGAGCTACTAGTCATAAGCGGCGGCGACGGAAAACCGACAGCTGCAAGGGACAGATACCAAAGATAGCGGCCACAGAGACGTCCGAGAAAACAACAATGATGTCATACACTACCTGCTTTACGTCTACGACCGCCGCTCTCTGCCAGCTGCCCCCCGTGAGCTTCCCTGTCTTCTTATACATGCGATTCATCCTCCCCACTGCCTCTTGTCGCCTGCTCGTGAGGTATGTCGGCGACTGACGGTACGCAGTCCCGGACCGCCCACCTATAGACTGTGGTCCGGACCAGGGAAGTAACGCGCACCGTGCACAGCGTGCGCCGCGTCCTGCGAAGGAGGCTGGCCCGCCGCCATGCCCACACCGTCGCCCATCCGCTGCGGCTGCTGGAAGCCGGCCACCTGCGTGCCCAGCTGCGGCGTGAACCGCGAGAAGAAGTTCTCCCATTGACCTGCGCGTCCGACACGTCAGTCAGCACGCCTCATGGCTGCACGCAGAGCACGCAGAACGAGGGCACGTACCCCAATCGAACATCGCCCCGGGTATGCCCTCGAGGAAGCCCACGTCGGCCATTGCCTGCTGCTCGAGGACGTTCATGCTCTGCGATTGGTCGAGCACGTTCATCACCTGCACGTTCTCCGGCGCGGACATCGGGTTGTTCAGCGCCGGGTTCATGTTTGGAAAGCTGCCGCCGATCTGGGGAAAGTTGACCATCTGCGCTGATGACCCCCCTTGTTGCGTCACGTCTTGCTGCATCGGCTGCTGTTGCGATTGTTGGAGCGGCTGGCCGGCACCGCCGCTTGTACCTGCAGAGTCCACGATCATCCGAATGGGGATAGGGACGATCCCAGTAGGCGGCGGCGGCATCCAAGAAGTGGATGACCGGCGGTGGTGCAAGGGAGCGGGATGGGGTGAAGTGAGGGAAGCAGACGAGTCCGAAGCGTCATTGGCTTTGCTCAAGCGTGAAGCAGACGACACCGCGCTGGGCGCCTCACCTTCGTCACGTTTACCAGCCTCTCCCGCGACGATCGTCCCCTCGGGCAGCTTGTCCAGGTCCTTTTCGTTGAGCTCGCCTCGCACGACGAACACCCCGCCACCGGGTCGCGTCTCGTCCTTCTCGAAATCCAGCTTTGAATGCAACGGCTGGCCCTTGACGCCCCCGGTCGGGTTGAGCACGGGCGCGTCCGAGGTGGGCGGCGGAGCCTGTGTAGCCTCGTACAGAAGCGAGATGATCTCTGCGGTCTGCGGTGAATGTTAGCATAGTTCCAGGCACCGTCTGCAACGCGTGTCAACCGGCCTTTCGTCGAGCTGACATATGGTCAGGAGAGAGGGACGCCTCCCACTTGCGGACGCAGTCCCGGAGCTTCTTCAGCTTCATCTGCGCGTCGGGATCCCGCCTTCGCGCGTAGGTGTGGTACTGCAGCAACGGCGCACCGCACAAGTCAAGATCCTGCAGTCATCACACGCAGAAGGGCGCCAAAAACGCACCTGGACGAGCGCACACGACGTCGCGCAGTACGCGACCAGTAACCACACGTCGTACATGTCCTCGTGCGCGTCCAGCCAGTCGATCGCCTCGCCCGACATCTTCACCAGCGCCGTCCACTTCTCGACCGTAAGCGAGAACTTGAGGTGGGCCGGACACGCGTACGATATCCGCATGAACACGCGCCAGAAGATCATGTTCACGCACGTATAGAGCAAGAACAGCAGACCTAACCCCGCACGACAACGACAAGAAGTCAGCACTAGTGCTCCCGTCGTCCACAACAGCGCTCCCACAGCCCGAAGCCACGGGTCCCGACCCCTCGGCCGGCTCCCTCACTCCCGCGCGCAAACGGCAAGGCGCGGGAGGCCCGACGGCACAGGAGATCGGGCGGCTGGCGCCGAGCACAGAACGCTTTTCTAAGGGCAACTCACCGGCATTATTGGGTGTCTCTGGCCCGCGGAACTGCAGGTCCGCCGGGAGGTTGCTCTTCCACGTCTCAATGTCCCCCAGGAGCGCATGGAGCTCCTCGTCGTTGGTCTGAGTGAGCCCGGCAGGCCTGTGCCGGCCGAGAATGGTGATCGTCAGCCGTGATTTCTCGCTGGGGCGGCACCGGGGCCTGGGCCTGGGCCCGCGGCATGGGTGAACGAAGGGGCAAGGGGCTCACGTATAAATGGTCTTCTGCACGCGCCCGAGGATGACACTCAGCCGGACGAGCTCGTCCAAGTACAGGTCGTTTGGGTCGCCCGAAGACGGCAGACGCGCGTCGCAGTCTCGGATGTCAATCATGTACGGATGCCCAAAGGTCAGGCTTATCCTGAACGCGAGGTGAGTGTCAGCATTGTTTTGGCTGTGCGGCTGCGGCTGTGCTTCTGCGGGGTTGCAGGAAGGGGGAGGGGGCCGACACGGGGATCAAACACATACCACCTGTCACAAATGACACAGACACCCCACAGACGTCTGCGCATCTCAATGTTCTGTTTGACGGACTCGGCTCGATGCAAGCCCAAGTCTTGCGCCTGAAAGTACAGTGGACACAGATCGCTATGTAAGCAAAACCGCCCCCGACAGACTAATAAACAGCCCACCATACGGATCGCGCACCCGAGACGGACCCACAACGCCGACAGCGCGTGAGGTACGTACTGCGAGTGGCAGTCGCCCACCATCGAGAGGATGAGCAGGGACTGCATGTTCACGATCGACGCCGTGGACAGCACGTCTTCAGCCTTGACCAGGCTGTTGACGGTGTAGCGTATGGAATCGAACACCTTCTGCGGCACATCCCGCCGCGTAGCCGCAACGAGACAAATCGAGTACAGCAATATCGGAGCCGGGGGGTTGTTCGCGATGAACTCTTCCCGGGTGACGACAGGAAGCATCGGGGCAACATCGGCAAAGTACGAGTTAACCAGCCGCTCGATCACGTCTCGCTCTATGCGCAAGTCGATCGGCTTCGGCAACGCCAATTGCAGCTCGCCCTGTTCGGGCTCGTGCACGCGGATTATGCCGTCGCCATCCGCACTCAGGTCCCATGAGTGGTGGTAGCGCAAGTCGTATGCTTCGTAAGTCCGTGAAGAGACCAGCGGATGAGAATGCAGTAGGTGGAGAGTCGAGGTAGGGCCTGGAGCGCATCAGTACACAGCCGTAGAGCACCTGAAGGTAGCTACTCACCATACACCCTGATATCGCCGCTTCCACTAGCCTTCGAATGCTCCGCCTGAGGAGAAGACGTGCTCCGTTCTGCCGCATCTTTCTCCTTCTCTGCGACCGCGGCGGCGGCAGCAGCTTCCTCCTCCAACTTCTTCTTCTTGAACCGAGTCTCGGTGATGGGAAGGAAGAAAGTGCATTCGAAGGAGTACTGTTTACAGTGCTGGCATACCGGTGGATCAGCGTCCGGCAGGACGTCGCATCTATGAAGATTATACCCAAGTCAGCCAGTCCGAGGTCGGAGAGCGATGGGTGGGGTTGTTGAATGGACGGGGAGAAAGACACCCATGGGGTAAATAAAGCTGGCAGCGCTGGAACAACAGATATGAAGGTACAGACCTGATTTTCCTGGACCGGCAGCTGTCGCAGGCGCGCTGGGTCTTGGTGCGCTTCTTGCCATCGACAAGAGACGCGCCGGAGCCCGAGCCCACGCGTTGAATGTCAGTGCCGGAATCTGCACCCTCTTCGTCAGACATTCTGCTGCTTGCACCGTCATGCGCATACTTCCTTTTCCGTTTACCTGTTGCAGGCGAGGGCGCGACCGACGCGCTCTGGCTGCTCTCTGGGTGCGCGCCTGCTTGGGGCTGGTACATCATCATCCCTGCCGGGTACTGGGGGTAAGAGGGGTATGGGTGATGGCCGTACGACGGGTGGTGGACGGGACCGGCATATTGGTACTGAGCAGGATGTGTTGACATGGTCGGAGTAACATTAGCACTTTGGCCACCAGCCGGAGAGGCGGTAGAGGCTCCGGTCTGGTGGAAGGGGGAGGGAGAGGACGGGTAGGGGCTGCCGTTCATGGGGTACGGAGGGTTCATGGCAGCAGCGGAAAAGGGGGGAGCGGGGGCGGTGGGCGGAGGAGGATGGCCGGAATAAGGCTGGAGGGGGGCGGCGAAGCGAGCGGAGGACTGCAGAGGCTGATCGCGTATGTTTGAGATGCGCGAACCTTTAGGGAAGGGGGGGACGTAAGAGGAAGGGGGTGAGCGTTTGGGGAGGGGATCTGATTAGAAACAAGGGTGACATACTGCGGGAGTCGGACGCCGGGGGAGGCGAGTGGGAAGCAGGCGAGGGGAGCGAAGGGGCAGGGCGAGGGCCGTGTTGGGAGGCGGACGACGGCGGGGGCTTGGGCTTTCGCTGCTTCCGGGACGAAGAGTCGCCCTTCGGCGCGGACGGGGCCTTGCGCGAGGACGAGGGGGCAACTGAGGCCGCCGAAGACGGGACGGGCACCGCTCGGGAACCGTTGGCATCCATTCTTGTGTGTTCGCCAGGCTGTCTGTGACTGATTAATATTACTCAACAAACATGCACACCTGGCTTACGAACCGACTGCTTATGTTCGCTGCATGCGCTTCCAGACGCCGACTCTCGGAGACGCGTGTGCGTTGGCGTTTGCGCGCGGCGGGACTCACGCGACGACGACGGCGGGGCGCACGGCGGGCACGCGGGGCTTCCTGGGCTCGCAGACGGTCACAGCGGGAGAGACAGAGGGAGGCTCGACGCGCATTCGCCCGCGACGCCCTGCCCGTAACAAACAATGCCGGGCCCTGCCGCTTTCGCACTCCGCCGCTCTCACCAACCCAGCGCTGGGGCCTGTCACACAAACTGGGCTGCCCATCAGCGCCTCAGCCCTCGCCAGATCGGTCCGGGAGATGTCATCACTCGTCCATACTTGGCGTATTCACTGCACATGTCCACCCCTCGCGCTGATGCCCTCCTGCCCCCCTTTCTGCGCTTCGTGCTCCCTCTTGCTTCTTGCTGCCCCCAGGAAGTGTCACGCATACGCCGTGGAAATCTATCCGGGCACTCCGGAGGGCGAGAGGAGGCCCGGAGGTGAGTGTGGGACAGCGAAGGAAGGGACACCGTCAATGAGTGAATGGCAGCGAGGACGCCCGGTGCGATCAGTGGTTGCGTCACTCCGCGTGGACGTCGCCCGTCCCGCTCTTCCGTCCTTGTGCCTCGATCTTCCGCGCCCCTTCTGGTAACGCGCTTGGCTGCCTCCTTCAGGCTCCGTCGCCCACTCGATACCAGCCGCCGACGGCCTATTGCTCTATCAGCCAGCCACATACATATCTTCATCTTCCTTCTCTTGTCCCCTGATTCACGCACGTCCCCAAACGCACCCCAATCTTCCCACTCACCCGGCCATCGCACATAACGAACGGCGCGTCCTCCCGCTTGCAGCATGACGACATCCACCGAACAGGCGAACCTTGTCCTATCTACGTACCTTCTTCCGACCATTTTACATACTCGGTACCTCAGCATGCCCCTGTTCTTCCGCGGCCCTCTCCCCCTTGCTTCCAGCTTCCACGAAGTCCGAATGCGCATCGCGGGGGGCCTGTCCCCGCCGTCCTCGGTGTCAGCAACGGTACCCCAGATCTCCTCCTTGCGCTCACACCCTCGTTCTGCGATCGTGAGAGTCCTGTGATCGTGCCTGGGCATAAATTGATATCCCTTCACACTCTTAAGTCCTCGTCGTCCCGTCGTGCCAGGCGCATTCCTGCATACAGTCAACATCGTTAGAAACCATAGCTGTCTTGACCGGTAATCGCACCTACAAATACCATTATTACGGGGACATATCATGACTGTACATTTCCTCGACCTTGCTCTCCCCTCTAACATGTCTTCTTTGCGTTTCCTAATTCGACACATGTTCTTTCGCCTTGTGCCCTGGCTATCGCCCACCGGGCGCACAAGTCAAATAGTGCTCCCGGACCTTATGTCCGAAAATCCCCTCAGTCCATGCTGTTGTTCGATTCCGAATTCGACGCTACACATGTACCCATCAGCCCACCGGCTCCCGAGAAGCAGATTATGTACTCCCTGGCTCGCGCCCCAATTCGCATCGCCACATCACCAACCGTATAATTTATGCACTAGAATTCAACTCGAACCTGGATGGCCCCAACTCGGTACTTGTCCGACATGCGACAGAATACAACGCACGCGCAAACGCGCCCAGGATGCCCGCAACCAGCGTACGTAGGCGTAGACCCCGAAACCCAACTATGTATCATCGGCCTCCGCAGAGCAGCAAATATAATCACAGTCCAGCCCGACGCCGCGTCTCCGCTCGCCGCCATCAGCATATGCATCTCACTCGCCCTTGCCTCTCCCAGGCCCGTGCTCGACGTCCCCCGGCCAGCCGTCGTGCTCGTGCAACAGGCCGGGGTTCACTTCGCGCTTGTCCTCGGTCGCGACGGCGCGCGCGTCGAGCCACGAGTACCCCGTCGGCCGACAGAGCATGTACACCAAGTTCTTGCGCCAGCTCCCGTGGGAGAACGGATTCGGGGGTGCCGGCCCTTCTGGCAGGAGCGTCTTGTGGGCTTGGTTGCGGATCTACACGGGCGCGCGTGCGTAAAGAGGGCGAAGTTTTCAGGAAGGTCAGCGGGTGTCTTGGAACGGGAGATGAAACGAGCCCCGGCCCGCGCCACGCTCGCGCAGGGATTGATGGAGAAGGAAGTGATAGCGACAGACGTCGGTGTCAGTGGGTGGCGCGAGCGTGGGTAAATCGGTCGTCGGACACAGCACGTACCTGCTCGATCGTCGTGACGTTCAGCAGCAGCAGCTACACGATCGGACGCGAGTCAGCGCTCACAGGGCCTTGATGTCACCACATGTACACTTACCCGGAGGTGGTATGAGAGCAGCGCCATGACAGGCCAGATGACCAGTATCGCCAAGCTGAACGCTATTGCACTACCGATGCCCTGGGACGTGGCGATCGCATGTCGGAAGCCGAGGTGGAACTTATGCGCGACCAGATACAAGTGCAGAGCAGTCGTAGTGATCACGAGAACCAAAGTCATCACCTGCAAAAGTGGAGTGCCCGTGAGATTGTTGCTCCAAACGACAAAAGGCGAGGCGAAGAAGACACCGCATCGTGCCTGGCACGAAAACACCATTACGAGAGCGCCACGGTCAAACTTACTCCCGAAAACAGAAACGTGAAGAAGACGGTATAGTTCCGCCTCCCAACACAGTTGTTCACCCATTGACAATGATGATCGCATCCGTCCACACAGTTGTCGCACTAGGTATGTTCATGGAACCCAACGAAGGACGATACATCAGCCTCAGATGCGAGCTTCCACCAGGCAAGTATAGTGCGCACCATCTTACAGTGACTTGAGCGTGGCGGGCGATAAGTCATGCACGTGGGACAATACTTCGTCCGGACACTGTTGAAACCCACAAGTATGTTACCATGTTGTAAAGCCAGACAGACATAGCACACGACAAACTCACATCCCTGCCCGCACCTTGAGATCGCGCGGGAGTGGCTGGCGAAGGCTACCGTCCGAGGACGACGATGCCGGATACGGTGGTTCTGGATCCAGATTCCTCGGGAGGATTCCAGGATCTCGGAATGCCTACAAGCGAACATCCAGCACAGGATGAGTTACCGGCGGATAGACCATGCGTGGAGCACAGCCACAGCAAGGCCGACTGTTCGTCAAAAAGGCACACTCACCGTCGCGAACATGCTCGAGATGGTCAGCAAGCACATGTACGCACCCACCGCCGCGACCGCAGGACTCTCGTTATTCCACCACCACACGCACGTTGTCCCAAAGTACACGCCCGCGATGGTGAGGACCAGCGTCAGCGCCCCGATGAACGCCCACGGCGAGTCTCCTCCCGTCAGAATCCGGCCACCGAGAAGGAACCGATTCCTCGAAGGGTGGAGTTGATACCTCCGCATGGGTTTCCCCGTCTTCTCATCCAAAATCGGCGTCTCGCACAGTGGTGGGTCCATGTGTGGAGGAGAGGGGATAAACGAAGCGTGGTTGATCGACGTAGTGGATCCCTGCAGAGGAGACAGGCTGTGTTTTCGATGTCCGGGCGAGGTGGGGGAGCCCTCGACGCCAGCTCCGTTCGCGCCCAACTCGAATGTTATGGGCGAGACCTGAGTAGACCCTGTCTGGAAGTGATTGAACGCGCTGCTTGGACCAGGGTTGTTGTTAGGCGTCGTCGGTGACCGGTCGAAGCTGAACGGTCGCTTGAACAACTTCTCGAAGCTGCCACGCATGCGAGCTCCCGCGCTGAGGTTGGAGTCGCTGCGGCCGTACGGATTCGTTTGAGTGACGATGGTCGGGCGAGTCGCTCCGTTCGGTTTGGGGGCACCACTGATCGGAAGAAGGGGCTCACGACTGAATTTGTTGGACGAGAGGGACGGTGCTATTGTCGGAGCTTTTGCATCTTCTATCGAATGGTCGGCGCTGCCCGACCCTTCCGAGGTCCTGTCGCGATGTTGAGAGCCTCCAAGCTGAGATAGACGCACCGCGTCGACGGTCGAGCCGCCTATGGACGCTAACGAGCCCACCGTGGAGGGACGAGGGAGAGGTGGTGTGACTGACAGAGGGACATGGTTTGGGCGCGAGGGGTGGAAGAAGGAAGCTGATGGCAATATGCCGCCGACGTGCGTGGTACCGTGCGTGGTCCCTGTGGTCGGACGCGGCTGAATTATTGGCATTGAGGCAGAGGGTACGAAGGGCAACTCGCTCGCGACATGGCTCATGTTGGTCTGCGCACGAGGCCGCGATGAGACAACGGAGCCTGTGCGGTCGTGGGCCGTCCATCTTGTTGGCGAAGTAGCTGTAGGTGAGTTGCCCGACGGTGTCGCAGACGCGGATACGCCGGTGTTGATGCCAGGAAGTCGCGGCGCATTGTTGGAAGGAGAGAACGGAAGCTGAGCAACAGTCCTGTGCGATGTTGGCGACGATAACGAATGTGATGTTGCCATAGCTAGGCAGAATCAAGGAGAATATACAGGATTATAAGAACGAGACGGTAGTACTGGGGTGACCGAGGGTGTCTATTGGCTAGGACTCGACGAGAGGGATGTTGCTGGGCACCTACGTGCAGCGAAGGATAAAAGGTGTGGCCTGCAGTCCAGCCGTGGATATATTAGAGCAAAAAGGCGTAGAGGACACTGAGGACCGAGCTCTCCCGCAGAGGGAACGAGAGGAAGTACACAACCCTGCACAGGCGAAGCCACCGTCGGCTTCCCTCAATCGGGCATCACTCCGGCTCGCTCCGGTTCATCTCCAGTTCGTCTTGGTTCGCTCCCCGCGGCCGTCCCATCTATCGCCTTCAATGCATTATGTCGTAACGGTAAATGCCCGCTACATGCTTATACCACGACGGACATGCGCAATCGACACACGCAAGCTGGCCGCGAATATACATGCACAGTCCACATTATGAAATACATTCGAAAACATCGACAGTCCAATCAGCTACCTAACCAGAGCAACCGCTTCACACCGTACTCCATCTTCGCGTACACGCTCGTCATCCTTTGCGCCTCAGCCAGGCTACATTCGCGACAACCGTAAGCGTACATCCACATGCACAGCAACCATATCACACACCTCACAACGTCGCCTTCCGAAATGAAGTCTCGATGTTCGTTCCCTATGTCATGGCACGCCTGTCGGATGGCCTCCACGATCATGTCCACCGCTTCCTTGCAATTCTTTGCATTGGATAGCTCATCCTGAGATTGAATGAAGCTTCCGTTTTCCCTCCGCGAACGTGCGGGGTCTACGGGCAACGCCTTGAAAGCAGCGAAGATCGTCTCCTGTCCCGCGACGGGAGCAGCCGCGTCCGATAAAATCCGAGAGAGTGGCAGCGTGCTCTTGCGCGGTGCTGTTAAGGACAGCCTGGGTGAGGTTGCTGTGGTCGGAGAGGTGGGGGGTGTCGAAAGGTCAAGGCTGTTGCGAATAGAATAACTGGTTACACGAGTGTCCTGGGCTTGTGTATTATGCCAGGACACAACGAAGCCTGCGTTCTGTAGCGGGTCTCGACTGGCCTCCTCCAACGGCGATAGGATGTAAGCGCCTAGGAGGGTTATGGGTATGAGCAGGTCGGTACGCGTGCATAACCTTACTAACCTTTGGTGATTCCTGCAATATCCCCAAGAGGGACACGGGTATACATTTTGACTTTCTCAAGGGTATAGTCATAACTCTGCGGTGCGCACTTCAGCGTCCATATCCGGCTCGGTGATGAACGTCGCTCACAATAATATATAGAGCCTTCGCACTCTGTAGTGGCGGATTAACAGAACGCCCGTGGGGTAGGACTATAGAGACTCACCAGAAGCATTACTTTCTCCTCAAACTTGTCTCCCACCTTCGTGTTTAACTCTTCCGGAGCGAACAATGTCCATCCGGAAAGGAGCCGCTCCCCTTCTGGCAGCACGCGAGAGACGCATGTTGCGATGGCATCCGCGCGGATCTTCGTGATGCGAATAAGGTCCCGGGGATCCGTCGACTGGAGCTTCAGAAGGAACTCCGCAAAAACGGAGGTAGTCCGATTTCCCAACATAAAGTCGATGACGGCTTGGCTGAACCAGTCCGCAAAAGTTGACGTGTACATCCTGCGAGGAGGTCAGCCACCAGGGTACGGCGTGCGGCCTGCGCGATACAATACGAACCGCGATAGTGAGTTGACCCCATCATTGAGGAGTCCAGCGAGGTCGCGCTTTCCTGTCCTGCATGCAACGTGAGTGGCGCCGCAGTTAAAGTGACAACGAAACGCACGACTACCTTGTGAAATCACCCTGGTGGCAGTTCTCAAAGTGAGCAGCACAGCAGGTGGGAGAAGAGCACCAATCCTAACCTTGAGCGCCGACGTGCCAGCGCTGTGACTCTGTAAGTTGACGTGAACACGCGTTGATGCAGATCCACGCACTATGCACGACTGATGGCATCGCCGTTGTTCGCCCAAACTAGAAATTGAATCTGTCAGAAGGGATGAGATTCAATAGCCACAGGAAACGCACCATCGTTGAATACGGTGTCCATCTCGGTTCGCCGTTCTTCCTGGTTCAGCAGCGCAACAGCACCAAGCTGCCTGTTTAGCACATGGCGTGCGAAGGCCGACTGTCGGCAGGGTGGGGCTGATCAGCGGCATGCGCACGGCGTTGGTTTGGACAGGGTCTAACACACCTCAACGACGTTGGTGCGGTCCAGCGAGTCTATACAGTTCACTCGGAATACACCCTTCTGTTGGGACATGATGTGATTGTTCGATATCCAAAAGTAGCTGGAGCGTCCGTGAGTACGCCTACGTTCATCATGTATACGATCATTCACATACCCTTGACTCTCGAAGACGCGCTCCACGGTTTCGATGAGGTTTGAGATTTTCTCGTACCTTCGTGCGGTCTGGTTAGGAGAGTTGGTATGAGCAAGAGTCATGGGAGCACTCACTTCATGCCTTTCGTCTCCGCATGGAAATCGTAAGCGTAGTACCTATTCCAGTGTCAACGCAATGCAAAGCATAGCGATGTAGTAGCGCACCTTATATCATCCGTGTCAAGCTCCTTCACATAGTCCCCGTAGGCGTTTGTCACTTGCGCTTCCTTGCCATGCTGTTCCGCGAGGTTGATGATGGTCTAAGCCATTCCATGAATATGATAACTCTACAGAACTGTCCTTGAGCGACGTACCAAAGGTCCGTAGTCCGTAACCACCTTATTCAAATGCTGCTGGATGGCATGCAAGTTCTGATCATGGGTCCGCTCAGGGCTTAGTTGCGGAGCAGGCTTCAAAGCCATGCCCTGTTGATTCCAATACAAAGGAACTGGGAGGCCTCATGAGCTAACACACCAGGGCTGCAGCAGACACTTACTCGAGCCTCGGACTTGAACGTGACTGAATACATTCGAGATGCCTTCACGCTGAGACATCAACCGTTATCAGTAAGGACAATGATCAGGAGACTAGCAGATTAGAACAAGTCGAATGATACCTCAACACGCATCACGGTCTCCGTTTCAACGAAGTTAGCTACATTGGCGTCGTCGTCGATGCCTCGACGTTGGTATCGAAGTCCAGCCCGGTCCCTCGAACGTCGTGAGATGACGTTATACTCAACGACAACGCTGTCGCCTTCTTCGGATGCGACAGGCTCTCGCAGGATACGGAAGGTCGACACCTGGAAGAACCCCTGCATGATGGGTAAGACGAATGGGTGTAGCTGTCGCGCACAAATGTCATTACTCTGGCCGTTTCAACGGACTGAAACCACGTGAATTCTCACCCCTGCGTCGATCAGAGGCTTCGAAAGCCATTCGTTCCACCAGAATCGACGGTCGACTCTACGCCACAGGGGCAAAGCAGCAGCTGGTTCCACGAGCACGTCCACCTTGTCGTCGGTAGGACTTTGACGCCTTGTCTCCTCCAAGATGTGGAGGGTCTGTTTCAACACGTCCTGGGCTTGCGCTCTTGCTAGCAGTTCATGCTTGTGTTGCAGCGATCGTGTTATGTCTGTCCACAAGAGATGGTGAGTTACATCGCGCATGCAGGCCAAAAGATTATCACCGAACGTATACGCGAAGTACATGCCACCTCGCGTATATTCGCGGACACATTCACGAACAATCTTGTCTTCGAGCTCTGAGTGCTTCTCCGCGGTTGTCTGAGGGGGCGGAGCAGCTGATGAGACAATCGACTCAATGACCTCCTCGGGGTCCTTCGTCTCGTCCCGGACGAGGGTCTCAAGCTCGTCAGGGTCCAGCCCAGCACCATCGGGCTGTTCAACCAGGGCGTGATCAATTGTGAAAGCTTGCCTCGAATTTCGCTTTGATATTCTGGTCCAGAAGGACAAACGCTCAGCGAGCGTCTTGACGACAGTGTCCGTATTCGTGATCGACTGTATAGACGAAGGAGTTGATGCTGTGGAGGAAGAGGGGGAAGGCGGGCTCCTGTCCTCGGGGAGATCAAACCCTTGACCAGGCCGCGGCGATACAACCTTCACCTCATGCTGATCGGCGAATTTGACGTGGAGTGATCTCTTTCCCTCAGCGTCCGCATCCTCCGTACCAGCCGCAGCGACATCTTCTCCCGGTTCAGCCGCAGCTTCCTTTCTTGCGAGCGCTGTCGGCAGCAAAGATGTTCGGCGGTCGTTCTGGTTGCGAGACGCAAGAGCAAGGAGAACGGTACGCGCGCGGTCTTCCACCAGCGGTATTGCAGTAACTCCCTTCACACTGTAGACAGTGTGTCGCGGGTCAAGGACTAGAAAAAATGTGAGTTCAACGACAGTTTCAACAAGAGGATGCAGTACTTACAGGGACCGACCACATTCCTCGAAGAAATAACCAGGAGGTAAGATGCTGCGAGTATATTTCAACAAGACGCGCGTTGAATCTAACAGGGTCTAGTTACCTGAGTATAGCTCCAAAAATCCAATGATGCCATATACCACTGCGCTCTCTTCCCAAGCAGCCTCTACAGTCCCCCCAATGACTGTCTCGACCTTCCCCCCTTTTCCCCACCCGACCTTTACTTCCTCCTCAGCTAAGTCCTGCGACTGCCCCGATTGGCGAGGGCGCAGCAGCAAACCTTCCTCTGTGGCGACCACAGATATATACTCGTACGGACATGGATGAGGTACGGGGGGTAGGGTATCCTTGGGCCGCAAGCCTGTGTGATGCACTGGAGGATTTGTCGTCGCTGGGCTGGCTCCTACTGCTGGGACTACACTGGAGGCGAGAGGATTGGCCCTGAACGTCTTGGAGAAGAGGCGCTTCATGATCGCCGACCCAGCAGCGGAGGAGCAGAGGGCATATGTACGAGCAACAGCAGACGAGGAGAGCAACCTGGAGCAGGAGTGGAACCTGTCTCAACCTACAGAAGCTCAGAATAATGTCAGATCGCCACGAGATCTTGCGACCGAGGAACAACACCCGGTCCGGCCATTTGGTCCGGAACTGATGATGGCGCTTCTATGGTGCACACGAACATGTTCGGATTCATTCGGGTCCAGAAGGGCTAGTGCAACAGAACTACAGTACATGCTAACAAACAATTCACGCCTGCCCTTCGCTTTGTGGTGCATCGGAAGAGGTGCGTCCGGCCACACGCAGATCATATCCATAACCGGTACCCGGAGCGCCCGGAACGTCTCCTGGGCCCTCGTAGTGCAGCTTCGACACATCGTAGTTGCCTATGGATAGCGAATCAGTCGAATGCGACTCTGGTGACAATTCAGAGACATACCGATGAATTGCCAGCCGTCCTGCTTCACGTGGTACAGGTTGACGGTGTTGCCAGAGAACGCATCTCGGTGGCCAGCAGCGTAAATGCTTCGCCGGCCGAGCTCTTGAGCCTCCGCGTCGGTCAAATCCCACCGATAGCCCTGATCGAGTACACCGTACGCAAACGTACTACCGGATCCGACAGAGAAGAGGTCGCCCTTTAGGCGTGATCCGTCGGAGTCGACGTAAAAGATAGCAGGACCCTGCAAGCGACAGTTAGCTCTGATCGCTCCGCTGCAATCTCGATTCATCTCGGGGATTCGCACCGTCTTGTCCCAACCGCAGATCATTGTACCCTGCACGGAGTTAGTCTATCTGCCCGGCACACTACAAACGAGAGGCCACGTACCATACTGAGGCCCATTCCCTTGTAGCTGTACACTAGGTTGCTGAGGTACTTGCTCGCGGCCGCAACAGAAATACGCTCGCGGTTGCGGAGTTCGTGCAGCCGGCACTGGATACCAAGATATGTTTCCCAGTATTGACAGTCGGCTGCAGCAAAATGAATGGAGGTAAGGATGGGAGTGACCTCGAGACATACCTGCGCCACCGGCCATCGTTCCAAGCAGGTATGGATTGATCTCGATAACCTTCTTCACGGTGCCGGAAGCTGAGAATGGTGAAAAATCGAACGGCATACAGCATGAGGTCCGACCCACCAACGTAGCTTCCCGCGGTTGCCCTCGAATCGACCGCGACTATGACACCACCCTGGAACCGGAACGCAAGCGTAGTCGTACCGTGCTTGATCTTGATGCGGCACGAAGGGTCAGCATGGTCATCTGTGTGCATGCGAAGGAAGGATGTGGGCTTTCATGTGGGGCAGACGAGTCAGATGCCAGAAGTTGAGCAAGGTACTATGAGAGTGCATACGTCTGGGACGGACGGGAGCTTGAACATAGGCACACCGGACGCTAAGTTACCAAAGCCGCTCGCGGAGCCCCACATCACGTCGGAGACATCTCCGTCCTCGCCAAACAGTTCCTTGGCCTTCCGGATGTCGGCCTCTGGGGACGTTGAAGAATAACGGGTGAGGAAGGAGTTCATGGTAGTCGGATGCGTACGCGTATGCGGCCCAGGCGCTCAGGGCGACGTACACCTTTCGCCTCCATCACGTGGAGGCAAGACGCGACGCGCGTCACTTGTAAACGCCTGTGCCGGGGCATCGGGCACTTTTCTTTGCTACGAGTCTTTTGTAATCCGCTGGGGCTTTTAGCGATGCAACAGTATCGAGCAAGGTACTTAAAGAAATGATCAGTCAAGGCCCGCAAGTAAGACACGCAACATTCGACCATGAAAGCCATAGGCGCCCTCGCATAAAGGTAAGAGGCTGGACTGAAAGACAACCCGCGTTCTACTCAGGCATTTAGCGCTTGATGGAAGTGAGGATGAAGTCAGTCCTGTAAGGTGATTGGGGCCTGAGGATAGGCTACTTGCAAGCCTCTGCTGGCGCTCGCAAGGGGTGTTCTAGGCTTGATCCGCCGACGCATGTACGCAGCGAGTCCTCAAACTGTCGAGCCTCGATGTCGGCGGACGTGCGAGAACAGATATTACTGGCACCTAGATCCATGCGGCACCTGTTCCAGAAGGCGGATATAAAGTCGAATGGTGATATCAGGAACGGCCATCCGGTACCCGATACGTTACAGCCGCAGCCAGCGGCACGAATAACTGAAATAGTCCAGAAGACATTCTACAGAGCACAGCAAGTTCTACGAGAGCTACTGGTCTACGCAGTATCTATGACAACAAAGCAAGATAGAACCAGCAATGGATAGCACGGGGGAACAATCCCAGAAAGAGAGCAACGAAGGACAGCACCATAGGTTGGCCAGGAACAGCCTGACAATACTGCCACAAACGGAGGCAGGGTTATGAGAAGTCCATGTGGGGCGCCGACCTTTGGCTCGACGCTCGCACGGCTAAGAAGACAGTAATAGATTCGCGCCATCCCGAATGTCAAGCTGTACGGCATTGACTTGGCGTCTCGTGTGGGGGCTCGGCGAACCTCACGGCGACTTCTTCACCGCCCAAGCAAACGCCCACCGGCTCTGCACGCGAACGCGCTGCTCTCGCAACTCTGCAGCTGCCTCACGTTGCATCATCTCTACACTCTCCGGCAAGTAGCCTTCACTGTAACAGTGTGACAATCAGTGGCTGGCGGCGTTTGAGCGGGCGTAAAGGAGTGTCGAGACCGCCATACCTCAGGAGGAGCGGCCCCATGCCCGAAATGAATCGCAAACAGTCCTCGCGGAGCATCTCTGCAAGCACTCGCTCTCGTTGGTCCGCTGCGCAACCAATGAGAATAGAAACGGCGAGTTGAAGAAAAGAGGATTACCGTATCGCCAAGGTCCGATCGGGATGAAGATTTTGTGCCACCCTACGTCGGTGAAAGAGTCGATGGTCCTGAGCCAGGTGGGACACATGAGGGGGCAATCGATGTTGCCACCCCTATTTTTCATGGCGTTGTATGTTGCAAAAAATATACGGGTGATCCACGAGAACCCGGGAGTTCCTTGCTCAGCATAGGCCAACGGTTGTTGGTACTGGTCGTAGAGCTGAAGATCCCCATCCCCGACTATGACTACACCTCCGGGGCGCAGCGCCTGGGCAAATTCTTCGAGGAGTTGAGGGTAATCCCGTATCTAGAGGAAGATGAGTTCAAGCAAGCAATCACACATAGGATGTGCAGATATACAACTAACGCCGGAAGATATAGACCGCGCATGTATAACATCAAATGACTCCCGATAGTGACTAAAACCGAGATTGGCCTGCAGGCGTGTAGTTAGCGGATGTTGTCTACAATCAATGGCTGTACTCACGTCATCTATCTCGAACCTAGACAAGCGCGCAGATTAATAAGAAGGTATGCGAATCGAGTACGGACCCAGCGTACCGACAATTCGGCGGGAGATCCCTGCGGAGTGACAATCGGTGATGTGCTTCAATGCTCAGAGAGAGAGAGATGATGACGCACCCATCAACTCTTGGGGGGGCTAGATCCACTCCTACAACCGTGCAGTGAGGAAACTGTTGAGCCATCTCGATAGCCCTTCAGATGGAAAGGTCAGAACGTGTCCGCTGGTCATGCATCCCTCGCCTTACCAGCTACCACTTCCAGTGCCCACGTCCAGAATCGCAGGCGTCTTCCCTGGACGTGGGGCTAGGGCCCGTCTGACTAGATTCGGTGCTGGATAAAGACCGCCGAGAGCTAGCGTGATTATCTGGTGCTGTAGATCGAGCCTTCGATGCTCTTCGTTGTCCTGAAAAGGTAGTGTTCGGCTCTCTACCGTGCATGTTCCAGATCACACGTCCGAAGAGACTCTTACAGCAGGTAAGAAATACGTCTACTTCGGAGTCAGTTGTCGATCGGAGCGGGACAATGCAGATGCGTACGTCATTCTGGTTATTCAAAGTACGACCGTATGCTTGCCTGAGCTGTGGGATGTAACGTCGTCCATGAGTATCACAACCGCGATACGTTGTAGGCCACAGGACCCACCATGAGCCGCCCGTCGACGGACGAGGAGAACGAGTACAACGACGGCGCCGGGCTTATGCTCCGTCTGTCGGAGCTCGAATCCGTGTGGTCATCCTGACTCGAAGGCATATGGTTGTCAGAAACGAAAGCAATAGAAGGTCAGCAGATGCGAAGTACCGAGATGCTAGCCAACGGCGACTCTGAGGAGGAGGCGTATATATGTGCCCGTGCTGCATTGGCTGACGCCCGCACGATTGGTCGTCCTGCGCTGTCAGACCCTGCTATTGGAGTAATGAATGAGCTGCTTAGATAATGTCATGGATCAACCGAGGACAGGGTCTGCTGGGAGAAGGGTGCTCACAACTCATGGGAGCCAGATTGAGTTCGGATGCATGCAGTCGGCTCCAGAGATCTTCGAAGACTCTGGCTCAGTTAAGGTAGAGATAAGGCCCGAGGACGAGAAAAAAGGTACGCCACCCGAGTCCGAGGAATTTCGCGCCTTCGCAAGTCGTGGCCTGTTACGGCGGTTCTGTAGGCACGAGTCAGAGGAAATTCTGGGGAAGGACGCGGCCGCTGGGCTTCCTTGGCCTATGACAAAATGCGCAGCCCCGTTTCATCTATGATAGAGCATGTCGCTATCAGCAAGGTCTAGTGGACTATCTGAGATGGTTCTCTGCGCCAACGACCTGCGCCCCGCCAATGTCGTCTCCGCTTTCGACTTTAGCATCCCATGCTGTGATCGTGGCTGATGTAATATTCGATCGACCCTTCATCCGCGGCAACTTCCGCCCAACGCGTCCGCGCCTCCGCCACCCATGAGAGCTTAACGCGTCTTGACTTCTAACCATCATGTCAGGCATCTGCAGAGCACGTCTTGCCGAGGAGCGTAAGCAGTGGCGCAAGGACCATCCATTTGTACGCGTCAATCTGCACGATTTGCGAGTAGACCCACTCAGATCCGTCCAGGGCTTCTACGCTAAACCCACCAAGGCTCCCGATGGCTCTATGAATCTACTGGAGTGGGAGGTCGGCATTCCTGGAAAGGCCGGGGTACGTATGGCTACAAACGTTACTGTGACCTTGGCGTGGGTTGCTCAACACATGGATCACAGACACCATGGGAAGGTGGTGTCTACAAGCTTGTGATGATATTCCCCGAAGGTACTCGTCACCTCGAGCTTGTCCGTGTGGACCCATGAGAGTTGAATACGTTTTTAGACTATCCTTCAAAACCTCCCAAATGTATGTCGGCATCTTGCGCCCCGTGGAGCCAGTTGTTCATTTTCCGTAGGCAAATTCACTCCACCCTTGTTCCACCCGAACGTGTACCCCTCGGGCACCGTATGTCTGTCTATTCTGGACGAAGAGAAGTCTTGGAAGCCGGCGATTACGATCAAACAGGTCCGAAGAACCTTATGCGAATGTATACATTTGGCTTACACGTTTGCAGGTGCTTCTCGGTATCCAGGAACTTTTGAACGATCCCAACGTGAACGATCCCGCGCAGAGCGATGCTTACACGATGTTCAAGTGCGTATCGACTTCTATCTCTCTCGCGTGTTTTCGCTCTAACATCTGCCGTGAGCTAGGAACGACAAGGCGGCATACGAGTACGTGAACCGTTCCCCCGTATCGCTCGGAAGCTTACATCGTCGGCAGACGTCGTGTCAAGCAACAAGCGCGAGACCATATTCCGAAGTAAACAGGTATCCCTCTGGCTGTCATCTCGCGTTGTATTATTGTTTTCGTGTTATTCTTACACTATATGATATCATGCTTTGCACGCGAAGTGTCCCTGGGACGTACGTTTCCTTTCTGCACGAAACCATGTGGTACATTACATGAGCGTTCGTGATGCTGACAGCAAAGGACTCGGAAGAACGATAAACCGGAAGGCGGGGAAAGGGCAGACCTGTCAGACCATGAGCCTCTCGACCTTGAGCTTGATGGTGTTGATCTGGCTAGAAAGTTCCTTGTTCTCGTTCGTGGTGACGCTGGCAGCAATGACGGGCCGGGTTACACCACAGGCACGGCCAAGTGCAGCCTTGGACTCGACGAAGATGTACGGCACGTTCTGTCACAAAGTTTCCTGTATGAGCGCTTATTGCAGGGTCTCCAGGACGGGGCCTTACCTTCTCCTCACAGAGCAGAGGGAGGTGGAGAAGAATCTCCAATGGCTCGGTGTCCGCGGTAAGAATGATGAGCTCAGCGATACCACGATTGAGAGTCTTGGTGGCTACACGACGGGGATAGAACGTCAGATGGACGTGTCCCTAGCACAGAACAAGAATCGAGCATGGCGCACCTTCGTTCGCTCCCTTCTTCAGCTGCTTGAACTGCGAGGCGCGCTCTACAAGGTCGAGGATCTAATGATAGATCGACCCTTGAGTTCGGACACAATCTGGACAAAATCTGGAGAAACACACTTCGTTGTTGAGCTCAGGGTCTGCGAGGGGCCATGCCTTCGCCTTCGAGTCCGTGTCGGCCATGGTGTCGAGTGTTTTGAGATAGCGACCTCACGTGTGGATGATCCTTGGTCGGTTTGTCGTCAGGCGATGTCTCTCGTGAGCAGCGCGGATGGCGGGAAACAACGTGCAGACGCAGCTGAAACAGAGGCTGCTCGACAAAACTTCCGCCACAGACGCGCTTGCCCCCCGCCCGATTAGGCAGCTCCGACATTCCGCCCCGATGTGCCGAGCTGCCGCCCTGTCTTCGAACTACGACTAACATTTACTGAACACGTCGTGCTCCACTTGTTTTTTGCGACCTTTATCCGAGCCGTCTTCGCTCTACTTCGCTGTGATATTCATGTCGTCGATGCCGATATCTTTGTCGACGCTGCAGCCCGAAACGCGCTTCATCCACGGTTCTACTCAGGCGGAACCTTGGTAAGGGGCTAAAAGCTTGCTCTGACACATCCACAGGCGGATTGGTTGTGCTTTTTGCGGAACTATATGAAGGGCACGATGCCTCCAGTCGATGGCATCAAGCACTGAGGCCTCCAGACTCTGTTCTGAACATCTTGTACTGTCTCAATGTTGCACTCACTTCTGGCCGCAAGTTTTGCTATTACAATTGCCACCTTGGGTACTCTGTCACTCCGCATGTTGTCTTGAGACTGCCTAATGGGCTTGTGAATTATCAGGATCTGCACAGGTGGCCACCTCCTACTGCGATGCTACCAGCGGCATCTGCTTCCAGGGATACACGGTTAGACCTTGTGTGACAGTTTCGTGAAGACTTGACATTATGTAGCAACACGCAGGATACCACCATGGACATGACCATTGGAGTCATACTTCCACCCCTGACCCCTCCATCGGACGAATACATCGTGCAAATGGTCGTTCCCGCAAGCTATGGCTGGTCCGGTGTCAGCATGGGCGGACAAATGTCCAACAGTTTGCTTTTCCCCTTCTGGCCTAATGGCCAAGAAATCGTCCTGGGAGCGCGCTGGACGGAGTGTGTTATTCATCTTGAGTGAGATTGCCGGACACTGATGTATTTCCCTCCCTCAGCGACTATGTCTTACCCTTGGCATACGAGGGCCCTCAGATCACCCTTCTTCCTGCTTCAACAGTAAACAGCACCCACGTTAACGCTATTTTCCGTTGCCAGGTCGGTCGCTCAGCCTATTTCATAGCAGCTGTCTCATTCGTCCTATCAGAACTGCACTGTGTGGGAGGGAGGATCTCTCGGCTCCGGCGACCTCAATGGCACTGCCGTCTTAGCCTATGTTGCTTCCACCACTACTGGCGTGGACGACCCATCGGATGTGAACTCCAGCTTCTCCGAGCACAACTACTTCAATTTCTTCGGCTTGGACCTTAGCGCGGCGCACTCCTCTTCGTACTCTCAGTACATCAGTGGTGGGGTGGGAACGACGACTGCGCCTTCCGGCCCCTCCTCGACTCCGGCTACGCCGTCTAGCACCAGTAGCGCACCCGCTGCTACTCAGTCTGAGGTTGGTCCTTTGTTTCTTCCTCTAGTCGACCGCGACTGATTTGAGTTCGCCTATGTCAGTACGGACAGGTATCCGTTTCCAGTAAATCAGTGACGTAGGCTTTGCTAACCATACTCCATTATAGTGTGGCGGGAATGGCTGGACTGGTCCCACCGTCTGCGCGACGGGGCTGACATGCGTCGTGGTCTCACCTCCTTACTACAGTCAGTGCCAGGCGGCGAAGTAGGAAACCGCTACTCTGAGAGCCCACTGCAAGTACTGTCGATTAAATACGAATAGTGTGGCTAGTGTATATGAATATGACCCTTGCATATCGTCTCCCACCCGGTTGGGATGGTACTTAGAGGATGATGAGGGCTTTATGGCCCGATTATGCGATCACGTGCGTAAGATCGTGATCGGAACGGTGGAGCGCGGTCTCGGCGCGTCGCCAGCCTCCCCGTCATCCACAGTGCACTCTGCGACGAACATATATAGCATACAAAGAAACGATCAGACTTGCCAAAGATTTCTATTCCACAATATTCCCACATTCCTGCCTCCTCAGACTCTAGCCAACATGGCAGAGCACGGCCCTCCGATGGTGATCGACGTTCACACGCCCGTCTCATCCTTTGCTATAATTTACTCAGGTGTGTGTTCATGGCAGAGGAGCGGTTTTGTTCCTGAACTCCTCTCTAGATGCCGAAGACAGCTTGCAAACGATCTTTACGAAGCTCACGCAGAAGGCATTCACGGAACTCCATGGCAAACCTGTCCGCGCAGGTTACGTCAAGTACGAATGGAACAATTCGTTTTACAACCTGGATGATGGTGCGACTGAATTAAAACGGCCGCCGCATTGGTGTAGTTGCTGACTGCGAGACAGACACCGACTTCTCGGTGTTCGCGTGGAGACTGAAGTCATCTTCACTAGGACACGATAGCTCCCTCGTCATGTTCTTGCGCGATCCAGAGGCACCGCTGCCCCCGTCGACTGAATACAGAAACGCGTCATTCTACATGTTCCGTCCCAGGCCTATATCTTCCCCTCCGCTCGGACATGACGGAGTATCTGTACGGAGTGGGAAGTCGCGCAGGTCTGGCACGAAGGAGCACAAGCCCGAGGATGACGGCGTGCCGAACTTCAAGAAAGAGTTCGAGCAGTTCCACAGCGAGAACGGCGTCCGAACTATTGTCGGAAGCATTGGCCCTGTGAACAACGGTGAGTGCCGACCATATGCCGTCGCACTGCCCGTCTTCCTGCTGCGGCTACTGACGAGCTCTGTGCCTGGCTGTTCCGTGGTCGTTTTCTGGGCTTCTCGCGCAGTCCGGATGCTGCTCAAGAGTGGCTATCGCTACGTGTACATTTCTCGCAAGTTCGCGATCAAGCATGAGTTCATTCCACGCGACGCCGCGCCGGGACACTATGGATACAGCGGGCTTGTCAAGTACGTGTCCATCAGCGGTTGGCTATTGAGCTCATGCTGACTCCAACCTGATATCTGGCAGCCTTGGGAAATGGCCCATCACCGTTGGCCGAACGCGGTCCACTCACAGCGTGTACCTTTCCGAGGAGACGCATTTCGACGTGATACTAGGGCGCTCGTTCGTGGAACACAGGCAGATTAAATTTGATCCTGTCGACCCCACGGATGTCGTGTGCCAAGACACAGGCGAGAAGATTGACTGTGAAATAGTCATCCTCAGGGACGGGAGGGGTCAGATCGTACTGGTTTCCTGAACGTCATCCTTTCGTGGCGACGTCCCAGAGCACCCTCGAGTTCAAGTTCTCTGCTGTCGGAGTCGGTCTGTGATTATATCTGTATTTGACAAGAGGACGGTTGGATGATGGATCCCAGTACTGCATGTATTTACTGCCTTATCTATTCGTATTGCTGTTGCTACCCCAGTCTTAGACTAAGATCGTCCGCATGTCCGCGTGAGAGGAGGACTTCGCCTAGAATGGATCTTGAGCCGGAAATGCTGGCGTAACCCGGGCTACTAGTAGCCGGGTCAGTGACGGACCGCATCTTGAAGTTGAGCGCCGGAAAGATGATAAGCGCACATCCCACGTGGGCTGCCTGGGCAAGGCGGCAGGCCTCCAACAACACGGAACACCACCACAACGCTCTCTGCTCGTCGGTCACGATGTCCGTCCTGGCTCATCTGCTGCGCCCAGCAGCAGGTGCCCGCAGGGCGTACTCTGTATTCTCCAAGCCTGGGGGCGGTGGATACTTCAATTCGTCCAGGTCTCCCAAAGTTGCACCTCCATCCAGCAAGGCCAAGGTCGACTCATCGTCCTCTACTAATGCTGATACGACCTCGCCCTCGACGAAGGAGGACACCCCGTCGATGACCGCCGGATCTTCACCCAGCGGAGAGACAATGCACGCACCATCCTCATACACCTACACGACCAGCTCTTCGTTCTCCCCCGTGCACCCCCGTATCAGCTCTCAGGACCTCAAACTGCACGAATTCTTTTCGCTCCACCGACCATTGCTGACGATCTCGCAACCTCCGTCATCGCTCTTCGAGTCCTATTCTTCGGTCTTCCCGATGCACCCCACCAATCCGCCGCCCGAGACGGCCAATTTTAGTAGTATGGAAGGGGAGAGCATGGAGGCCTCCCCAGAAGCCGATGCTGACGCCGCACGGCAACTCGCACGAGCGATGGTCGTGAATCGGATTGGAGCTTCCATTGCCTGGGAAGAGGCTCTCAAGCGGCTAGGCCTCGATGTGACATCTGGACGGGCGGAGGAGGTCAGTCTGGCAGAGGCGGAGTTTGAGATGTACATGGATAGCACCAAGAGGAAGCGGCGAAAGAAGATGAAGAAGCATAAGTAAGTGGGCAAAACCGCTATGGTCCGTCTTTGGATGATTGTCCACTGATCATCTTCCACGTAGGCTCAAGAAGCGGAGACGCGTATGTTTCTAGTGACCTGTGGAGCGGTAGTCGATTGCTAACCTAGTCTTCTTTCAGCTGAACCGCTCTCAGCGAGTGAAGATTGGCCGTTGACCGTAGAGAACGCAGCATGTCTCATGTCCCTGTTGGACTCTCCCGAGCATCTCGAGCTGTACTTCTGCATAGAGCCTATAATCTACTGCTGATTCTTCTCACCAGATGTCGTCGCTCATTATGCGATTGAGTGGGGATTGTGGTCGTTCTCGTAAAGCCCTGCGTCGAGTCATCACCCGCCAATTCCCCAGCGGTCAGAAGCCTGTCAAGTCGGTAAGTGCCGCCATGGCCTCAACTCAAATCTTGTTCTATTGTGGCACGTATTTGGCCAGTAGGTCTCCTGCAACAATTTTATGTCAGACTCTTAGCCATGCTGTACATCGCCAGAGGGCGAATATACCCATTTGAACGCAGAACCATCGGTCTTTCTGGTGGCGGATAACAGTCCTAGGACCGTGATCCTCTTCACCACAAATGTCTCGATGTCATTGTCCACCTGCCGAAGCGGTCGTGAAACACCGCGGGCGTTGCGTTCTGAAAGTTTCCTATCTGGGATACCTCTGTCCTAGAGCCGATTTCATCTCACCATCGGACGGACAGCGGTTTGTCATATCGCATGGTGCATCCCACTCGCGGCTCTTTTCCAGAGTTTATCCACTTTCAGACATAGCAAACGATGCCATGAACGCCACGCCGCTGAGCTCATTGTCCACCATTTTGGTGGCTCGATTGTGGGCATGTAATCGTGCTACGGTACTTTGGCAGACGTCACAGCCACACGTCGAGTACAGCCCTATAAGACAGACGGCGTGCCTTCTTCGTCGTCGAGCTCATCATGACTTTTTGTTCACCGGGGTAGGGGACTTCCATTCCGCAAACAAGGTTCGTCCCACAATGCTGGTGTCTTGACGGTGCTGATCATATAAGCTTCTCCATCAAGTGTTCGTCATGTCCGGCGGTCTCTTTACGGCAAAACACTGGCCTCGGATGGACGATGCGGCCAACCGAGGACCTGTTGCCGCACACGAGTTACGTGGCCGACAGCAGTATAGGGCTGCGCACACTGCAGCGACGTCGGATACGTTCCAGCAAATGTCTATCATCAAGGACCAGTTCAAAGTCTGACTTGGATCTGCTCTGACTTTCCTTTTAAGGTTCCGCAGGATGAGCTGGGGTGCCGCGGGAGCCGAAGCAAAGCTGGAGCCAATGCCAGTCTGGCCGTGTCCCTCCCTTGGAAGCTTCCTGCGGGGTGCATGCGCGCACAAATCTTGGGCTGTTCACGCTAGATGCACCTGATGAATTCAATCGTCGGCTGTCGGCGCCACAAATGCTATGACATGACCTTCCCCCCGCATGACTCGGTGCCGTTTGCGGAGGCCCCATCTCACCCGTTTTGGGAACCGCAAGAGAGGGCGAGGGCGAATGACAGAAAGGCAAGGGCAGATGCCCGAGCTCCCCCGGTCCCTTCCGCCCGTTTGCCATAGGTATGTGGTTGCGCTTCCCCGGTCCGCAGTATAAAGTCCCCCTACCCGTCCCTCTTCTGCTCCCCTCCCTCACTTGGCCCTCTCCCTCCAGGAAATACCACTTTCGCAGTAAATCGGATGTCCTCGTACCATACGACGACGTCGCGACCGATCCCTACGGGCAGAAGAAGGTCGCCCTCCCCAGGTAGTAGCGCACACTCCGGGTCCTCGCAAGGCGACTCGGACTTCAGTCAAGGACATCGTTGGCGACATCACACTCCAGCGAGAAGCTCTAGCGGACACAGTTCAGACCTCATCTTCTCTATGGATCCTGAGCGCCGATCCAATTCAGGGTCGCCCTGCCTCGGTGTAGCAGGGCCGCCGTTCCTGTATGACGTGCCCCCTTCCTGGAATGGGCGCCCCCCCGACACGGGCACGATGTCTGTCTGTCCAAGATGCCGGCGGCAGTTTTACGATGACTACAATTCCCCGCAAAGTCGTGGCGTTGCATGCCAGTCCAGGAACGCCTTATGTCCTTCCTGTCGGGAGCTCGAGTCTCGGCAGGATGAGTGGCGCCGACGCAATGAAGAGTTCTATGCATCGACCCCCGAGCGGCCTGTCAGGACGTCGATTCAGCGTCCTAGCATGTACGAGTCTCAACATCAAGTGCCTACTCCTACGAGCGGTATACGGCCCACTGGCACACGGAGTACGCTCTATTTTCCCCTCCAGGTTGCGAGCTGCTCATATCGCGTAGATTCCTCGGCGGCACACGCGACCAATACAACTCATTTCATCGGACGTCCGTTCCCATCCTATGTGGCAGCCCCGCCACCTTATTCAGCACCCCCTCCATATACCCGAAGCGTCTCTCATCTGCAACAGCCCACACCGCCTTGGACTGACGTGTCAGCGCATGGGCCAACTACTTTCGTGGCTGGATCCTATCGCCCCAGATACCAGCTCCCTCAGCTGATCACTCAACTCGAGCACCGTGTCGCACCTCCTCCCTCCATCTCTCCTGGTACTGCTGATCCTTTTCCAATGTCTCCCACGAGTCCGCCATCCCGCGAGCGGCGCCAGTCTTGAAGGGCATTCTGGCTTTGCCCGGTCGTTGTTCTTCCCATCGGTCCGATGTCCCGAGACGACCTCATCGCATGTCTGTCCTCTTGTGGTATGCACTTCCTATGCTCTACCTGTAACCATATAGCATGCTCCACCAAACTATTTGATATGACTAGTTTGTATACCTGGATGCCGAGTAGTTAGAGTACAGTATAGAAGAGACATGATAGCCGCACACGTCGCCCGGATAGATCACATAGTCGTATATGGCCTCATATCCCGGACCCATACCCCGTACTCATACCCATCATGTATAGCTTAACGACCGTACTTATAGACTCCGTCGCAGTCATGTTTCCCGCGCGACCTCTATCGTGCACCCCTTGTCACGTAAAGGCTTTGCAACGCGATCGAATTCTTCTTCGTTGATAACGGCGTTCCAATCCCCATACAGCACAACAGTCTTGAGGGCCGGGAAAGCCGGCTGACTCCAGGCCAGGAAATGGCGCTCGAGATGGGCCCAGTACTCGCCGCTACCCACACGGTAAAACGAGTTCGGGTGCCCGTGCATTCCGACGATCCGGAGCGACTCCTGTGGACGGTTGATAGGTGCGACGTGGGTGAAGTGAACGTAGAAGTTGAGCTTCTCGAGCCCCGTGCAGCCCGCGAAGATGTAGTCCAGGAAGTCCAACACGTAGAACTTCAGGCTCAACCCGAGCTCGATCGTGCGCACTTGCCCACCGTACGCGGCCCATAGCGGCCAGAACAGCTCCGGGCCAGGGACGTGATCGAAGAGGACGTTCTCGAGGGAGGGGAGTTGCCATCGGCAGAGCTTGAGGACGAAGAATGCGTTCACGCGCCGGAAACGCAATGTGGTAAGGTGTGGGAGGTGGACGGGAGGGGTGTTCAGGTAGTTCGGCCAGATCTCGCCGCCAATGGAGAGATATGTGAGATTAGGAGCAACACCAAGGACGTGTGCCAAAGAGTTGATACCGCCGCTGCGCGCAGCTTCGTTCGAATGCCACCAGTCCAATCGTTTCAAAGAGGGAAGCGAGGGACAATCTGTTGCAAAGTCGTAGGCGACTGGGGAGGGCGTGTCTGCGATCCGCACGAGGACTTCGAGGGATGTGCACAGCTTGATTACGCTGAGTGCATTGAGGGCGAGTGGGGAGGAGGTTACCGTGCTTGAGTACGGGAGTTGCGCTCGCTTGACGAGGTTTGCGCAGGGCGGGATTATGAACCCGTCTCCCCAATCTTCGCCATAGCGGAGCATGCGGTAGAGCGAGGGGTACGTACGAGGAATGAAGATATCCTCGTATAGAAGAGGTGTCGCCCATCTTCTCCACCGCTTGCATACGAAGACAAGGGCGCGTTTGGTGTAACGGCTCTCGGCCGTTCCGATGTTCACGTTGATAGCCTCGAATGGACTATAGTCGGTTGCGTACAACGCATGCGTCCATGTATCTAATGTCGCCCAGCGGAATATTTGGAGCCATAGCTCTATAGGAAGAGTAGGTGAAGGCATCAACAGGTGCTCTCGTCGACACAACGAGATCGCCGGAAGGGTACAACGTCCGAAACAAACGGAAAACAAGTAGCCGTTATATCCGGTCACCCCGGTGAACCCGGTCCGACGCCACATTCCGAGATCGACCTCGGCCAGGAGTCTTCGCTGGTCTACTGCTACTGCGCATGTATCGGGGCCCGACAATAGTCGTAAGGCACATTCGTGATTTTCGTACGATAGCAGAGGCTACGGAGGTACGGAGCGCACGCTTTCTACAAGGCGACGGAATCATGTTGCCAAACGTGTACTCCTCCTCTCCTCCGGCTGTCCTCTTCCCAGAGAGACCCCACATGCCAAACTTCCTTGTAACCTAACTGAATCAGAAGGTCCCTGACGCCATTCTCTTCCAGGAGTGCCCCGAAGAACACGAGACTTTGTGGCCACTCGTGCCGCCAAGGATACGTGGCATCCGCTGCCACGCCTGGTCTCGAGCGAGGCAGTGGCGATGGGGGGAAGTTCGGATTGACATGGTGTGGGAAGTGTGTTTCCAGATACTTGACAGGATCCTCATAAAACACGTCCGTCTGATCTTTGTACCCAACCGCATCCTGACCCCTGTCATGCGCTAGTGAGGTACGTCATCTGTTCGCGAACCAGAACGGACTTACTGCAGTGGCGGCTCGCAGCCAAGTGCCCAGAGCGACCCGTCTCCGTCTCGGGCGAGATCCGACCGATGAAGGTAGGCTTGCCAGGGTGTCGAATGACAAGGCATGAGGAAACCAATGGATAAGGATTGCTCGACGGGACGGCTGCGGAGGTAATGCATGACGTCTATCTGCGGGTGTCCGTGGAATAGCATCACGTAGGCTAGCAGCGGTAGAGACAACAAGAGAACGAGGTGAGAAGGCCGGAAGGAGAAACCACGCGTTTGGCGCGCCTTACTGCCACCGGAGTCGTCAACCAGCGCTTTCGCGGCGAGGATGTGCATGAGAGGGAGCAAAGGATGGATGAAACGCCACTCTTTGTGTCCTGCCAGCGAGTACACGGAGAGTGTCCATACTACTAGGCCCAGGACGGCGCGTAAGGGGGGCGTGCTTGTGGGACCCATAGCAGAATACGCGCCCTTCCCTACCCAGTATATAGAAGTGAAGCACAGCAGAGGCAGCGCCTGGGTGAGGTAGTAGTGCCAAGGGCTCGTGCCGTAGAAGAGCGACACGGGAGAGGCGTTTGTAAGGAGGAAGTTGAGTGGAGTGAAGGTGAGTTTCCCATAGTACTTGGTGTCCAGTATGACTGCTGCCGACAGGACAGCACCGCTGGGAGTCATTGTGAGATGAGACACAGCATCGTATAAGGCAACGCTTACCCTGTCAGGATAGCATTGGTCAACACAAATAGTATGTCATGAGTCTGCTTCCGGAGTCTCCAGAGGAGCCAAGTGAACATATATATCCAGATGATTGCATTGGTGGGTCGTATCGCGCATGCTACCGCAGCGTACAGTAACGCAGTACGTAGCTCGTTCCTACAGGTTGTCAATCATGCCTGCGGGTGTCTGTGCAAGGAAGTCCTCACCTCCATGAGGAATGATGTGAGTTCCACGGAAAGTGGCTCAGCGCAATCGTAGTCAAAGAAGTCTCTGCGGAGTTTGATATGGAGCGGGAAAGCGACAGCCCATGGAAGAACGACAGCAAGGAGAGGTAAAACTACCTCAAAGATGTCAGCGCTTGTCTCAAACAAGTGCGCTATAAACTCACAGCTGCATCGGTGTATCTCTCACCAACGACCTTTCTGGTGAGACGAATCAGCCATATGTCAGTGCCTGCGGCTACTAGACCGTGCAGTAACTTGGGCCCCCATACCTGTGGCAAACCATTAGTATACCACGGCATACGGTGACAGTCCTAGCACCTGCCTACCAGAGCATTGGTATGATCAAGTCTCAGAGTTTTCAGCGCCCAGTAGACTGGCACATTCCATCCAGGGTAAACGATGCTCCGGATGGGGCTTTCCGCGCACCACTCCCAAGTGAGTTGCCCGTACCCAAACACCGCATGGTGAGCTACCTCCAGAGACTGGAAGAACTCGTCCGGTTGGAAGAAGGTCCTTGTCCCAAGTGCTATTACTATCCGAACTGCGAGGGCTAGGAGCGGCCGGTTGACCATGTGGGAGAACGAGATTGCAAGCCTAGACCTTCACGACAGCGCACAGATGGTGCTACTATGAGCGTCTGCCGAACTTACTCTAAGAGCTTGTCACCGTCACAGCAAATGTCACGATGTCTTGTGCGCGGGGCGAAAGCTTCACGGTAGGTGCATAAGGGATAAAAGACCTGAGCCCGATATACATATACGCCTTGAGATCACATAAATACTAGCGATACATCGGCGGAATAGATCTGAGATATACAGGGTGACTTTCATTACTTCAACCACGTTCGGCGCGGAACCTAGACATTTTTCTCTCCTTCGCGGGAGTCGTCCCTGAAGAGTGTGGTCCGGTAGGCATGGATTCGCGCACTTGAGTAGCAACGACTGGTCTACGCTCGAGCACCGAAGCGCTAACTGGGGCCGTGATCGTCGGTGTAGAAGGTGAGGACACGCTGGGTGAAGATGATGGGCCGGTACTACTTGGGGTTCCAACTAACGTCGACGAGGGACTGTTGAAGGAAGGAGACTCAATGATCATGGAGTGAAAGGCGGCGCCATGGCTTGGACTGGGGAAAGATGGAGATGCAACCACACCGGGAGCGGGGAAGGACGGCGAATCCAAGACTATTCCGGGCATCTGCACGGGACGCTTCTCGTGTGCCCTTTGCGAGGGCCCTACGAACCGTGAGGTCTTGGTAGGGATAGGTATGGGCGTGCCGCCGACTGAGAGCGGTTTCGGAGAAGATCTCTCCGCGTTAGTGAGCGGAGTCGCGAGGTTCGACCCTGGCGGGGAGGGCGTCCCTCGAGTGAACGAAGGAACGGACAAAGACATTTTGAGTTGCGAGACTCTCGACGTCTTGACCGGAGTAGTAGCAGATGCATCAGCGGAGGAGGGACTGGACGACGTAGTAGGGATCGCTGCTTCCGGTACAGGATCGGTTGCAGAGATGTTTGAGGGCAAATTAGGTCCGACGTTCACGACGTCACCTTTCTTCAACATCTCCAGCATCTCCTTAGCTTCCGGCTCTATCTCCTCGTCGCTCTCGCCTTCCTCGCCACCTACAAGGTTCCCGTTTTCCAGCTTGCCTAATCGTACGGCCGCTTTCAGCTCAGATGATCGGGAAGCTGGGACCACAGAGCCACCGAGAGACTGGGAAGGTAAAGACGAGAAAGCAGTGGATGACTTGAAACGCGACACGGATGGTTTCGGTGGCACACTGGCAAGCGTTGCCTCAAGCGGGACATCCTAGATGGTCGAGTCAGTGTTGCCACATTAATCACGCAGGACGTTCAGCGTGGGGCGACTTACTGGTTGATCCCACTCATGTTCTCCTTCGGGATGTTCATGGTTGCGCATAGCAGCCAGAGCATCAGCACCAACGGTAGCCCGCTTCTCGTAGTATGCGAGGGCGATCTCACGCTGATGTTGCGCGAAATCGTAGCCGTCGACGTCCCACTCCACCGGCTCGTTGTCTTGAAGAACGCCGTAATCGCTATCATCCGACTCGTCGTGAGACGGCGACACTGGTTCCTCCGTATCAGAATGATCCAAGGTCTCCACCTCCTCCCCTTCGTCAGAATCCGCGGTGACAGCAGAGTCGGGTTCAGACTCGTCATCGGAATCCGCCTGCCTTGGTGGAGGGGGAGATTTCGGACCAGGCTTGAGTCCAGGCATGCGTTCCACAACATTCATCCTCATAGGACCCTTGTTCATCTGATCCTTATTGACAGGGGAACTCTTGTTCGGGGTCTGAAGGGTGGCAGGCGTGACGTCTCCCCAGTCGAACGGAGGAGGCATAGGAACGCTATTTGCAGGCTGATATTCATGGTCCGGAGGAAGGTCGGCGAACGAAACACTCTTCCTCGGCTTGAGCCTCTGGCGTTCCTCTCTAGCCTGTTTTTCGGCCTCCTCTTCCGCGCGTCTCTCCTGGTCCTCGCGCTCACGGGCCACAACGAGATTCTTGAGCAGTGCCTTCCCCATCTTCTTCTGCATCTCTCTGGCCTTCTTCAGTGCCTCCATCTCTGCTTTCGCCGCCTGTTTGCGCTTCTCGAGATCGACCTTAAAGCGCTCTCGCTCTGCTTCCTCGTACTTTTCTGTTTGAATGCGTTCCTCTTCCTCCAGCAGATCGAGAATGCGGTCACGTTCCGCGCGTCTTCTTGCCTTCTCCTGAGGGGAAAGAGCCCACAGAGGAATCACGTCAGGATCCTGGGAAGCCGGGATGGCTGCTATAGCGGTTGATCTTTCGTTCGCAGGTACGGGCTCGACGATGTCAATGATGGGGAGGCCTTCTTCATTGACCAGCTGCGAGATAGACCGAGGTTCGACGCGGTTCAGACGTGAAATCGTGGGGACATACCTCACCCTTCTCGTTCCGCTGCGTCGAGTCGGGGATCGCATCCTCACCCAGAAGCTCACCGAGCCTGTCCGATATCCTTCGGACCTGGCTCGGGTTCAGCGTTCCCTCCCCGCCTGTCTCTGCGCCAGGCGTAAGCGAGTTTAGGAGCGCCTGGAGGGCTTTCAGGGCGCATAGCGAGCCGTCAGATGTGTCAGTTATGGGTGAGCGCTCGGAGAGTGATGTGCCGGAATACTGTACCTTCGGCGCGGCTCTCGCTCAGGTTTTTCGCAGATCCAGCTGCGGATGAGCTTGCCATTTGAAATGCGTTAGGCTAATGACTGAGAACCGTCTCGTGTCGTTTTGGGGTGCGGGGTGAGGTTGTAAAGCGGAGACGGCACAGGACAAGAGCCGCAAGGCTTAAGCTCGCCCCAAACTCGAGGTCCTTCGGCATTTGCCGCCTCTATGCAGAATTTGCTCTAGGCGCTCGTATGTCCTTCTCGTTTCATCCGCACTTCATCCTCTCAAGATCTTATCCGGATTAGCTGCGTTCTGGGCACCATGGTTGTACTCAATACTCAAGCCAGCACTTCTGAGGTTAAGCACAAGAAGAATCGTCGCAAGATGACGAAGAAGCCCGCGCGGACCGCTCCAGCTGAGGGCGGGGAGGATCAGGAGATGGACGAGGTTTCGCCTGCCAATGGAGAGGAGCCTGCTGAGGAGACTCAACATGAGAGCAACTGGATTGACCAAGACGACGAAGTCATGATTGACACAGACCCTTCTGCCCTTCCACAAGCCGACGCCCCCGCCTTCCCTCCTCTTCCGGCATCTGCCCAGCGTTCCGCCCTCAAGTCGGAGATCCGCAGGATACCCATACCACCACACCGCATGACGCCGCTGAAAAAGGACTGGGTGAACATATTCTCACCGTTGACGGAGATGCTACAACTGCAAGTGCGGATGAACGTGCAGCGGAAATGTGTGGAGATTCGAGTAAGTGTACTGGTTCTGCAACCTCGAGGCTGATCTAACAGAAGGTGTTTGAAGACGTCGAAGCATACAAAAGACATTGGCGCAATTCAAAAGGGTGCTGACTTCGTGAAGGCGTATGCGTTAGGTTTCGACGTTAACGTAAGCCCGGCGACCTGCCAAAATGTGCCCGGGGGACTGTGCTGACAGGACCTCCTGTAGGACGCTATCGCCCTGTTGCGTTTGGATGACTTATACCTTGATTCCTTTGAGATCAAGGATGTTAAGACTCTCCACGGTGATCACTTATCTCGTGCTATCGGTAAGTATTCCTACTTGGCGAATTGGCGAGATTGACTTATCGTTCACTCCAACGAAAGGTCGCATCGCTGGTCAGGATGGGAAGACCAAATTCACCATCGAGAACGCTAGCCGCACTCGCATTGTTCTTGCCGATACGTACGTGACTTCTCTTCCTTGCGTTGAGACCTTCGCTGATGGGTCTGGAGTAGCAAAATTCATATCCTGGGCTCGTTCCAGAACATCAAAATTGCCCGAGACGCCATCGTCTCTCTCATCTTGGGTTCGCCTCCCGGGAAGGTATATGCCGGCCTCCGGACGGTCAGTGCACGGATGCGCCAGAGGGCGCTCTGATTGTGTCGGTAGATACGGTGGACGACTGGTGTACGCTCTTATTAGAGGTGTAACATATACACGGTATCTTTCATGACTATTTGACTCCCACACTGAATTCCTGGCATTCGTAATTAACCCCTTGGTGGAGCTCTTGTACGTAACCATCGGAAGTACAGCATAACAGATAGGATTAACAGGTGAGGACATGAGTAAATTACGGCGAGGTATCTTGATCTCGATGATGCCTTGGTAGTCTACGAAGATGCTATCAGAATGGAGTTCAAGTCGACGTGCGGGGAGAGAACGGCTTCAGTCGGATTGTAGACTACGGATGATTGACAGATCTGCGGAGCCTTTAGGATAAGAATTGAGAGCTAGCATTCAGCAAGCATACAGATCGAATTAGTGTGTTAGATACGGGATTACGAGGATAAAGTATGCTCTACTGATGGCGATATCAGGGTAATCTCAATGCTGAATTGGAGTAGTTAGGGCAGCCTCTGGGTACGGCATGGCCTGCGCAGGAACGCCTAGCGATGTTTCGGCATCCGGGTGAAGGTCCCAATCCTCTTCTTCCCCCGGATATTGGATGTCGTGTCTGTCGCGATGCACATGAGTGATGGAGACTTAATGAAGACTGGCAGATGCTCAACATACTCCGAGATGCAATGCTCTAGTACATCGCGCAGGGGCATGGCATCGCCCCGACAGCGGACGCAGCCCCAGATCTTGTAGACATCGCTGAAATATGCCTTCATGTAGTCTCGCTCACGATCCTGGGCATAATCTCTGTCGCGGTCATTGAGAAGCGTGATCTTCACGTCCTTGCCTCTGTGGTCAGACAGGTGGGCAACCTATGAGCCAGCGCATATAGTTAGCACGGCCGTGGACTTGAACTCATATGGAAATTGCGGACGACGCACTGCAACCCTCCACGGCATGACATAGACGCGACCGTCCCGGCTGCACTCCCCGCACGCAAATCTGGGCGAGTAAATATCGATGTCGAAGGCCTCCGTCTTCTTGGGGTCGCGCCCGTACGCACGCACGACCTTCTCCGCGGCAGCTCTCGCCTCCTCGTCGTAGGAGACTTTGTCTCCAGTGTAGTTCCACGGGAATTCCTTTAGAACGATGTTGTACGCATTCGCCCGGTCGTCGGCGTCCGTCTTTCGGTCCACCTTGATCGCAGGTCCCGTCTTGAGGCATCGGTGGGCTTGCACGCGGGGATAGTCGAGTAGGCAAGCGCAGTGTCCGCACCTGAACCAGGTTGTGGCAAGGGAAAGAGCGATCAGGATTTGCTCTTGCTCTTTGTACTTCTCGTCCTTTGCAGCCTCGGTAGTCTCCGCCGACGAGCCTTCGTTGTTCACAAACTCCTCTTTGACACGTTTGATCACCCTCTCCGCCTCCACAGGACGCGCTGCAACAGGGATCATTTCGTACAAACGTCGCCGCATGTCTAGCTGCCATTGTCGAACAAATTTATCCAGCGCCGGGTTGAGCGTTTCGGGTGGCAAGGCGGCCTTCCCAAAGAACACTCCACGCTCACGGTTCATGATGATGTCCTTGAACGGCGTGTACCACGAAAAGTCTGCAACCGAGGGCAGATTCTCCCAGAGAGGGTACTGCGAGAGGTAGTCCGACACAGCGTCCCGGATGAGTTCCAGGCGATTGATGTACTCCTCTGCGTGCTTGCGCATGAGGCGATCGGCGCGAGCTGATTCCGCAAAGGCAACCATGGATTCTTTGATGTTGTTCCAGACTGAACAAAGGGGTTAGCTGACAGGTGCAAGGAGTAACATCACGCATGACGTACTGCGATCGGTGAGTTCCTTTGGCTGTTTTACGGATGGATGGTCCAAGAAGTGATCAAACATCTCGGGCGTCATGGCCTGAAGGTCCAAGGCATAGCCTAAGGCACACAGCCGCGCGAATATCCTGGTGAGCAGATATTATATGAGTGTTCCAGCGCACATCTCGCATTGACTCACTGGTGCTGGCGTCGTAAGCGCAGCTGAAGCTTATCTATATAGCGGTCGTGTTTCGCTTCATCCTGCCAATCTTCCAGCATCTCAGCACTCTGGACAAGGTTGGTTTCTTCAATACAAGGCGTATGGTCATAGTGGCTGCAACGCACCTTTTCCTGGTCAATGACGAGCTGTATGCGCTGCTCCTCGAGCGCCTTAAGCTTCTCTTCATCTCCTTCGCATTCTGCGATGCGTTCGAGAAGCTCGTCGAACTTGAACTTCGGGAACAATAGCCCTGGGGATAACATGAGACAATTGGTAACATTGATGACACCTGGATACAAACTATTGTTGATTTGTTCCGCTGGGAGCATCGCTCCGGGTTTGAGCCAACTAGGTGGTCCGATAGTCCGGAAGATGTCAACGAGCTCGATGAAACTAAGGATCATCAGTGATTGAGCGACTCAGAGCAAAGATATATGCGCACTTGTCTTTGAGACACGACTTGCAACATCGCAGTCGGCATGCCCACATCACAGTCATAACACGCGCTTTCACGCAAAACTAAAGGCAGAAGAATGAGCAATGATCCACCGAGTGGACGGCCCTCTCCGTTGTGCAGAATGACACACGCCGCCGACATCGTTCCCAAATGACAAAGCAGTGGGCCTTCTCGTCTAGCGACTGACAGCATTGCTCGCCGAGACAGACTGCACCACGGAGCTGAGACATAGAGGACGTACATGGCAGTGCGGGTCAAATAGAAGGTTGGTGTAGGAGGGCTCTGTTAAGTCAGGTGGACACTCAGGAAGGCCGGGAACGGATGCAAGCGACTCCCTCCATATCGTAATTGAAGAACGACTCAAGAGCAGCCTCCGGAATGCCTTGGTGGTCCGCGCCAGGCGCAGCAAGTCATACGGATGCAAGTGAGAGAACACCTGGAATATAGAAAGTGTAGGCATTGAAGACGCTGTAGCACGTTGTAATGACGACTAGACGCACCTCGTAGAGAATGTCTAGCGGCATGTCCGGTAGTTTGCTGAGAGACTTCCTCCTTCCTCTCGATGTAGTGTCCTGCCGTGCGACTTGATTTGAGACTTTCGAAGCATTCTTGCGACGCCGTTTGGGCGGCGGTTCGGGGATGCGGTCAACGTTCGAGTCTTCTTCAGTGACGTCAGCGTCGTCCTGCACAGTCAAAGTACTCTTCTTCTCCAGAAGACGGGAAGAGCGACGGAGCGGTCCGGCCGCGGAGCCTGGTGACATGGTTTGAGTTCAATGTGTAGCACAGCGGCGAACTGATGAGGTGTTGAGGGTCAGGGCAATTGTTGCCAGGGTGTGGTACGGGAGAAAGGATGGCGTTGGCTCTAAAAGCGGTGGTCGCGGGGACAAAGCCGCAGCGTCTGATGTACCGGGACGCCCGACGCGATCACATGTAATGCGTTCCGCCACCTCCACCTCAGGGTGGGAGCTCAAAGGGTACCAACATTCCACAAACTCATAGATAAAGGACAAGCAAAAGAACTGATTGCCACACCAAGGAGCGATCTGCGGGTGTAACAGAACGTTCATGATTGTTTCGAATTCGAGTCCCATCCTTTACGTTTGCCGGCTAAGTGCCCCTGCGAACCTATGTACAGACCCTGCTGATACAAACGAGAAGCGCCTTGATCCAACGGCAAGAATAGAGCAGTACTTATACATCGATAAATAGCCATAACTTAGCAGTCTAAGTGATAAGCAGAAGGCTCGGCTCCTCAAGCTAGCTCTTGCCTCCCGATGATCCTCACCTCTTGGACGGCGACCCTTTGGATTTCGAAGGAGAGGCACTCGCATGTCTTGATGCAGGAGTGCTCGTGATGACGACCTCGACTTGGCTATTAATCCTCGCCATCCTCCGCGGGGTCGGCGAGTCCGGCTCGTCCACTTTGGCCCGGGTCCTTCGCTTCTTGGACGGCCCAGCCACCGCCTCCTCCTCCGCCTCGTCTTCCGTATGCCTGTCCAGCTGCGAGTAGTCGACCTCCTCTTCTTCCGACTCAACGAGCCAGTCGTCGCGCTTGCGCTTCTGTCCGGCCTTTTTCTCTGCCTGCACTTTCTTCGGTGTCTTGCCCTTCTTGCCCTTGGGCTCGTCGCCTTGCTCATAGATGTGGCATACCTCTACAGGCGTGCCTGCCTGCAGCAGAACGTCGATCCACACCTGCACCATGGTTATAAGTTCAAGTTCTGGCAAGATGGAGGATCGACCATACCTTCTGGTTCTCCTGCAGCGTATCGCCTGGCCCTTTCACTTCGACAAACTTAGCATATCCCTCGACCTCATTCCAGATGATCAGGTCAGGAACACCCCCCGTCCGAGCCGCGTAGTCCTCGCACATCAGTCGGCATATTGCAACCAAAACGTTGGTATGCAGACACTGCATGTACAGAGCGCATTAGCCCATCGCCATCAAGACCATGACTCAGAGATTTCCACACACCCGCACGATCCCGAGCAGATCCTCCTTCTGAAATAAATCCCACCGCACACCGACGCACATGACGTCCTTGTTCGCATCGTACGTCTTCTCGAGTATCTCGGGCGCTTTCCCGAGCTGGAGTTCCTTGAGACGTGCTTCAACAAGCTCCTGTCGTGAGTAGTAGAACGTGTCTTCGGCGAGGTCCAGGGGGGCCGCTTGGTACCGCGTTTCGAACGCGCCGGGGATGGGGGCGAAAATGATCTCCCAGAAGAGCAGCCCAAAGAGCGTTGTCACAATTCGGCCTTCGCAGTGGAACCTATCACGAACGAGGCCAGATTGGCATGGCACAATCGCGCAGATACATCGAAACATGCGTACCCTTTGCACCCATGGCTTTCGTAGTGCTGCAGCGCAAGGATCTCCACCTCAACCTCTTCGTCGTCCCGGCCTTTCCAGATTGTTTTGCCGCCCTTCTCCGGTTTCTGTGTTGAAGAGGTTATATTTCTGCATGTTTGTAGTTCATGAAGAGCGCACCAACCTCTTCCCTAGGCTTCCTAGGACTAGGTTGCCGACGATTGCTCCAAGATAGGCCCAGGTTCTGCTCGGGGTTCTCGGAGCCTCTGACCCGGCCTACTGAGTCGAGCCTCAGGCTACTCGCACGGTGACGGATGCGTACACCCTCAACATGGACGTCGATCGCAGCCTGTAGACGAGCTTCGCACTCGTGGCACTCTTCAAGCGGAACCTTGAGCTTCTTCTCGAGACGCGTCAACCGCCTCTCGAGCATCGGCCGGTACACTAATTTGCGCCCATTTTGATTCAGCAACCGCTCGATCTCTACCGAGGGAAAAGATGGGAGCGTCAGCTCACCTACGTGCGTGTCCTCGTCCTTCAGCCCAGCGATGACGACCTCCAGCGCCTCCTCGAGACAGCCTTCTTCGTCCTTCAAGTGCGTCATGAGCACAAGCGCACGTCGCTCGTACCACCGACCACGCCTTGCGCGCCGCCAGCGTTTCTGCGCTAGAAGCGTCTCGAGGACCTTGAGCTCCTCCTCGTACTCCCTCAAGATACCAAGGGCAGCAGCACCCTTGCATACGACGCGCGTGAGGATATGACCTACGTGCGACCGTCAGTTCATCCTGCTACCAGCGGTCAGAGAGAGACGTACCACAGTCAAAGCGCTCCAACCCCTTCCTGCGCGGATTCCTCTCGCCCTTCGTCTGCACGAGGTCGACCCACTTCGGGTACACGCGCTCAAGGATCTCCTTCACCTTGCGCGCATTGCGGACTCGCTCCGTCTCTTCCTCCCCAGCGTCCGGCTCACTCTTGACTACCACAGGCGACTCCGGGATCGCCCCGCCTGCCCGCCGTCCAGGCGTAATAGGCGTCCTAAACCGGTTTCCACCCAGAGGCACTGGCGTCCGACTCGACGTCGACCGATCCTGCCCCCCGTTCGCCGGCGTTGCGCGGCCAAAACCGGTACCCTCGAGCAGCGCGTCGACCTCGGCTTCTATCGCGAGCGCCTCCTCGTATGCGAGGAGGTCCTCGCGCGCGGGCCAAATGTCGCGCGTGCGCATAAACTCGTACGCCGCGTACTCGCGCTTCTTCGCGCGCGCGAGGAGGGCGGGGGTGAGGAGTTCGCCCGTGTACTGGGTGCTCCGGAAGTACACGAGGTTGGCGCGGCGGAAGAGCGCGACGACGTCGGAGTTGAGACGGATGCATTTCTCTGGTCATGGGAACGTCTTGAGCAACAGCGGCATAGTTGCGAGGCGATGTTACGTACTGAGCTTGTTCGTGACGATATAGCGTACTCGCTCCAGCTGGGTTTGCCGATTGTATGGGAGCGTGGACTGTTGTAGGGACTTCTGCGTCTGCTTTATGGCGAACGGCAGTTTTGTCTGCAGCATCGACTCCTTGCCCTTCTTCGACCTTGTAAACTGGAGAGTGCTTTGGGTGGCTGACCCGCGCAGGATGGCGTCAATGAGTGTGTCACGCTGGAGGCAACCGTAGACGACGTGAGTCAGGTCAGTACGTAAAGACTCGGACTGGGCTGTGCCTCACCTTCTTGGCGCCTTTGGGCTTGAGCTTGAGCTGCTGAGTCAGAGTTTCAAGCTCGGGGGTGGTGAGGCAATCGAGCAGCTCGAAGATATCTGCCTGCTCCTCGTCGTCCGCGAATACACTGTAGTCTGCGGTCCTGATGGAGTCCTGGGACGAGGGCGTGGACGATGTTGGTGAGTCGATTGCAGGGCTCAAGCGCGATGGCCCAGCTTGTGGGGGCTCGTCGTCTTCATCCATAGTTAAATCAATGATCTCGGGACCAGACTGCCTAGGCCCCGATGCTTCTGTCGGGAGCAAAACCTCAGTGGGCTCTAGTTTGGGCTTCACGTCCTCTTCCTCGACCTTGACCTTGAAGGGCGGGGTTAGATCGGGGATGTTGGGGTTAAGGTCCTCTAGCTTGGGCTTCACGTCCTCAGGCTCCCTCTGTTCGCCCTTCTTGCCTCGACAGAGGAGTTCAATGGCTGCTAGGATTCCATTCTGGCCGAGTTCCTGCTCGTATTTGAGGGAACTGAGCCTGTGCCACTTGTCCGTCTTGCGCAGACAGAGGCGACAGAACAGATACTTCGCGTCGTCTGAAGACGACCCTGTCAGTCCGCGGTCTCCAGAGAGCTTGGTGTCAAACGTACAGGAAAGCCTATGCCATGCCATGAAACAGTCAAGCTCATCTCGCTGAAACAGGTGAGCCTCGCTCGTGAGGACTTCCATCAACATGTCTTGGCGCGAAACACGTCCGAGTCAATTGTGCAGCGGGCGAAGATGCGCTACAGGACACACCTTCGAATATAGTCACGTACATAGACTGTCCCTTGTGCGCGTGAGCGTCGATTTCCGCGTGCCCATCATCTCGAGCTTCTGTGCCACTGGGGGCGTGGTCGGAGTCGTCCCCAGACCAGAAAACAAGTTTCGCAGCGAGGGATGAAGAGGGGGAGCCTAGAACCATAGCGTGTTCGTGGAGCCGTTACGTCGGACTCAGTGGGTCCGGCCAGCAAAGATCACAGAAAAAACAGAACAGAGAGCTGAAGCAAAGCAATAGATTGGAAAGGAGCAAGCAACTATGATTGATACCTGCCACGCGCAGTGACACTAGTCGAGGTGAGGACAAGAGGCCATGCGCCCCTGTCCAAGTCCACGCGACGCGGTTCAAGAAGCGCCGGCTACATGGTTCGTGACCATCCCATCAATGCGCGGTGTGACGCAGCTTGAACGCGCCTCGGTCACAGACAAGCGCCGCAGCCTCAGCATTGAGTTTCAGCGCGGCCAAGAAGCGGGTATGACATACCGTATGACATACCGGTGCGGAGAGCCACCAGGTTATAAACTCGTCTCAGCCCTTGCGATGTAGCTGCGCCGCGCCCCGCGGCTGTGTCCTCCTCCTACGCGAGCAAATATATTACCATCAACCCATCTCTCCTACTCACCCCCCTTCACTTCACTTCAAGTACTGCTTACTGGTTGCCCGCCAGATCCTGATGTCCCTCATCGTGCATGCACCCCGGCCCCGTAACAGCACAAAGGGCCTCCCCCAATGGGATATCCCAAGCGAGGTCGACGAGCCAATAGCCCTCGTCCGCGAGCTCTCCTCGCCAGAAACCATCGTACGTCCTCCCAGTCCACTTCTACCCATCCATCCTAGACTCACATGCCGGCGTAGATCAAGCCCAAGGAGCTACACCTCGCCTTCAAGTGGGGCCCGCTCAACTCGACCCGGTTCTCCCGTTTCCGCAAGCTCAAGCCCACCCCCACGCGCCGTCGCTACGAGGGCCCCGCTGCGCACATGCCCCTCCCCCGAGGCATGTCCCGGTCCTCCACGATGTGCTCGGTCCGCTCGCTCGCCACGCTCTCGCGCACCGTCTCCGTCGACGTCGGCGTCCTCATCGTCCGCCCCCTCCGCCGCGAGGGCACGTACATCGTCTGGGGCGCCGTCATGGCACCCGAGACGTACAACCCCCACTTCACGACGCCCAGGAACGTGCTCGTGAAGATCGCGGTGGACGAGGAGGGCGGTGAGGATCTCAGAGAAGACGCGCGGCTGCACGAGCAGCTCGCAGAGAGGGGCATGACGTCGGGGTACTACGGCGTCTTTGTGGATAGCATCGGCAGTACCACGCTCGTAACTGATGATTGGGATAACGAGGTGGGCGAGGTGCACACACCCACGCCCTCGAGCCCCTGATCACCGGACTCGTTTTCGGTACGAGCGTCGTCCAGAACTCAGACCGCGCAGCGCAGATCTTCTGTAGTCTTCTAGCACGACGTTTCAAGATCTAGGTCAATCTCCTCCCGATCCAACTATACTGGGCGATGCATGATACGTCGTCTACCCTTCGATTCTCCTCAACCCTCCCGCACGGACTTCACTGTATCTTTATGCTGTCGCAGCTTTGTTCCTCTCACGATCATCCACGACGGACTTCACAAGGACCTACTCTACTTACCAACATGTACATTGTGACCATAGATACTGCAGGATACTATTCTCTCTGGACGTACGACGCCCGAAACGGATCGTCTTCAAAAGATCGTCAAACAAGAGCATAGCATATACATAATCCATAACCTATTCGCAAAGGCAAGTCAAGAGTCGCATACATCGCACGTCCAGCACGTCCACGCCCCCTCACGCACACAAGCTCAGTACCCCCTCCTCAGCCTCTCGTTCTCCTCCCTCAGCCTCCGGTTCTCCTCCCTCAGCGCCCTGATCTCCTCCGCGACCTCCCCCATCGCCTCCCGCATCTCCGTCCTCCACCCCGTCCCCATCCGGATCAAGTCCAAATGCAGCCCGACGATCTCCGCCTTCGTCTCCTGCCTGAAGTCGTACAGCGCGTCCCGCATCAGCGCCTGCAGCATGTCCTGCGCCGCGCGCGCCTGCGGGGACGGGGGCGCGCCCGGGTTCCGCAGGGGGGAGGGCACGGGCGCCCACGCCGCGCGGCGCGCGGAGGGTGAGAGCCCCGCGAACGAGCGCCGCGGCGAGACCTGCATCGCGTACGCCGCGGGGGGCAGCCGTGCGTTCGCGCTGGTCGGCGCGCGCGCGTCGAGCTCCTCGTCCGAATCCGCACTCGCTCCCGCACGGGCGATCTCCTCCGCCTCGCTCTCGCTCTCGCTGTCCCCGGCGAAGCCCACCCGTCTTCCTTCCTTGCCCGCGGCCTTCCCCTTCCCCTCCCCGGCCCTGACCCATTCGTCGATCTCCGGGGTCCCCAGCACGCCGAGCGCAGTCCGCTCCTTACCCTTGCCCTTACGCTTGTGCGCGGGGATGGGCGTCACAGGCCCCCCGTCCTCCTCTGTCCCCGGCAAGTCGGGACTCGGGCTGCGCGAGATCCTCGAGGCGAGAGACGAGCCCGACACACGCCTCCGCTGCGCACCCACTCCCGCAGGAGGCGAGGCAGACGAGGTTTTGGAAGAGCTAGAGCCAGAGCCGGACACGATGCGCCGCGTGGAGGCTACAGACGTCTTGCTAGCACGGCTTGCGGTGCTCCCTGAGGATGCGGATCGCACCCGGGGATGGGCTGCCGAAGCCGATTGCGACTGCGACTCGCCCGCAGCAAGCCCGCCGTACGCGCGAGAGGCGCTCTCCGTCCGAGCGTGGCTGCGGGGTGGCTGGCCGATCGAGCCGCGGGAGGATGCGCGAGATAGGATGGTTGAGGCCCTCGTGGGGACGACCGTGATGGGAGCTTCGTCGTCGTCCACGACTGTAGCGGCGGGCTCTTTCGCCCTCGGAAGCGCGAGGAGGTTCTCAACACGGACTGCAGAATTCGTTAGCACGTTGAGAGGTCTGAGCGGCAACAACACGTACCGGACAACTCGCCGTCCTCCTCTTCATCATCCTTCTTGTTCGACAGGGTCACTGGCGACCTGGGCGGCGAAAAGGTGGCCTTCTGCGCTCCGGCTCGCCCGGCCACTGGAGATGTGACCGTACCCGCGTTGAAACGACGCGCGCCAGCGGCCGCGGGTCTAGGAGCAGGAGACCCATTGCTTGGGTTGGAGGCAGTTCTGGTTGTGGTTCGCCTAGCGGGAGTAGTCGAAGTGATAGCGCTAGATTTCTTCGTTGCGACTTTGTCTTCGACTGCCTTCTTTGCCGCGTCGAGTCCCGTGGATGAGCCTATACGACGTGCAGCGGGGGCGGCCTTGTTTGTGTCGCGCTGAACTAGAGGCTTCGCTGCCGCCGTTGGGACAGGCTTTGCTGCCTGCGCCTCTCCCGGCTTCAGCTTTCTCTGCAGCGGGAGACCAGGATCAGGACAACGGACAGCCGGAATATATTGAACAGAATAACGTACCTGCACAGAAATAGCAATGACTTGATCGCCGTTCTCACTAACGCTAATCGTCTTTGGTGGTTTGTCCAGGGCGCGCAGGTCGAGAATCAGCAGCTTCCCGTTCTCCGTGCCTGCGTAGACCGCGGCGCCTTCGGCGGAGAACGAGAGACAGGTGACGGGAGCAGGCATGACGACGGATCGGAAGAGGCTAGACAGTGAAGCACGATCAAGGCCTGCTCGCACGCATTGAGAACGACTACGCACCCCTTCTCCTTTTCCAGGTCGATGAGAGTAACCATGCCGCCACTACACGCAATAGCGACCAGCGTCTTGCTGAACGGGCTGCATGAGATAGATACAATGCAACCGGGCTTCTTCTGTTCCTTGTCTAAGGGTATAACCTTGGCCGGACCGGAGGGACGGGTGGTATCGTAGACAAGCAGCTGGGTTCCGCGACCGACGAGAAGCCTAGTGCGCGAGTGGGGATGGAAAGCACATGTGGTGATGTCGCCGCTTCCAGCGGGAATGCCTCTGAGTACAGTATGCGAGGCAAGCGTGAGGTTGTGTACGTGGATGGCGTGCGCAGAGGTGGATGCAAGCAAGGTGCAGTCGTTGGAGAGTGAAAGGGAAGTGATCGTCGCTTTGTGAGTATCGAACGTATGAGCGACCTTGCCGGCTTGAGACGACAGGACGGTAGCTTGCTGCCCCCTAGCGCATATTAGAGTGCTGCCACGATCTTTGCTGAGCAGCGCAACGACGGGATGCGAGCTCTGATCGTGTACAGAAACGTCCTGGAGAGATCCCGAGGCGAGGTCGTATTGGAGGATGCCACTAGTGGCCGAAGAGAGATACACCGAGTTGTTGTCTGTGCTCCATGTGAGAGCAGTGGGTAGAGGAGGTAGGGGGCATGTTGGTTCGGCAGCAGACGGGGGATGCTTGAGAGCGGAGTGTTCGATGATGGTGAGGTTTGTAGGCGTGATGATGGCGGCCATGGTTTGTGTCTGCACTGAATGTCGCCAGTATTTAAGATGTATCTCGTTGGAGGGCAGCGCAAGGCAAGACGGCTCTTGGCGAGCCAGGTCGGTGGCTGAGAACGGGCGCAGTCACACTGATGCGCGATGTTGGTATTTCCCCGCCAATAGGCGCCCCTTCATACAAACGCGTTGCCCTCGTGACCGCGTCCCCGGCTGTTCTCCTCCGGCAGCTGCCGAGTCAAGAGTAGGCCATCATGTCTCCCATGAAATGTCGCACAATTGCTATGAACAACAAGCTTTGCAACTTCAAAGCTCTGTGGACACCTCGATCCTCCAAATCGCTCAGGTGTAGTTTTTGTCTTTTCTGCTGTGAAACCTCTACCAAGTCAGACATGGCAAGTCATCGAGCATGCAGTGAGACCTTCAATTTCACATCAACCAAACAGCGGTGCCCCTGAGATAAGTGCTTGACCACAGTATTCAATCATCTTCGTTTGCTCTGTGGGCGCATTGTGCTGGATACACATGCGCTCTGTCCTGATGCATCGTCTCTCCTATCTCCTTGACAATAGGGCCAAGGCCCGTTGCCAGCAAGGCGCTTGTCCAATAGACAGTCCGCCACTGCCACGGACGTGGCGGGGTTGACGACGCATGAGGACCTTGAGGTTGCGTATCCGTAGCGAGGATATGTTGCCTCCGCTCACTGCTATTGTTCCACAAAATGTGCAGCTGTGGCCAAAGCCCACGATCACAGTGTCGGCTTTCCTGCCCGGCTCCGCATATAAGAGGGCTTCGATCCCAGTCCCCTCCAAGTCAGAGACCGAAGCATCCAGGTGAGCATCATCTTTTTGTATGAACTGCTAGAGCTTACGCTTGCTTTCCTGCTCCCAGCATCAGCACGGATCATGTACCCATACGCCCCCCGTTTACCTCCAGAGCTCTGGAGCGCGACCATCGGCTTTGCGACCCACGACGTGCAGCGCACTTGTCGGTTAGTGTCCATGGCTTGGAGCGAGCTGGCGCGACCTTTTGTGTTCCGGAACATCGCTCTCGAGTTCGGCGTCCATCCAATCGGGCGCGTGGACACGATTTTTGGTCACCACGCCACTAACCAAGATCGAGCCACTGTATTGGCGCAGTTTTGGCGTTGCTCAGAATTCTTCGACCATGTTGTTGAGCACCCGTCGGGGCAACTAATCTTACGAGCCGTCCGGAGTATGACCGTCCGTTTCCTTTTTATGGACGAAATTCTCCATGAGTTTGATGAGAAGATGGAGGATGTCTTTGGTGTGTTGATACAACTTGAATCCACGAGAGCCGATCTGAGCTGAGGGGATACTGACGCGATTGAAACAGTGGACATCATTGGCGCAGGTGTGGCCGTGATGCCGAACCTTCAGGCCTTCCTGTGGACACTCCTCGATGGCGGCGAGGTTGTTATGACCCAGCACCTGCTTGACAGCCTGGCGAGGGCCAAGCTGCGGGAGCTATCCTTCCCGTGAGTTGAATGCCAAGCATTCCAGTGCTTCCAGCGAAGTGCATCGCTCATCGCTGCCGTTACAGCTTCAAGCTGCTTCTGGAGACTTACCATCTATCCTGCATACTTCAGCATCTGACAGTGCTTCGCCTCGAGCTGCAGTGGAATGAGAGAGCAAGTCTCGACAGTCATCTTACATGTTGCCAAAGGGAGCTAGTGATGTCCAACGCAGAAACTCTCCAAGAACTCACCATCACGAGCTACCCCGACTGGGATTGCGACCTTCCGGCCCTGAGAAACCTTGTCATCGGTGACCTGCTTCGAGCCGAACCCGACACTATCCGCCGAGTACTGCGGGGTTCGCCGCTGCTCACCGACCTCACCATCACCGGGGGCAAAGCTGTAGAGGCGAACGAGTCGAGTCTGGCAGATGTCCTCACCGTGCTGGGCTCCATGCCCGGTGAGCTCCCCATGCTCACGTCATTCAAGCTTTTGGCCTCGTTCGCGGACGAGCGCATCACGCCCGACCTGCAACAAGCCGCCCTGAACTTCCTCGCGAATAAGACGCGGCTCTGCCGGCTTCACATTAGGCTGTCTCACGCGAGGGAAGCCTGGCCGATCCTTGAGATCCTGCCTCGATTCCCTGACCTCGAGGTCCTCGGCGTCGAGCTTGGGCACGCAGTGCTCACGCCCGAGGTCCTCGGGTATTACGACCGCTATTCCCCGCGTAAGCTGACCGACCTCCTCCTGATCTCCGACTTCCAGGAGGTCAGAGTCCCGCCCGCTGATATCCTCTCTCTGGTGAGTGCTCCGAGAGGATGCTGACGTTGTCCAGAGAAGCTAACCTCGATGCATGCTGGTTTACAGTTCAGGTCTCGACCGAACCTCAAGAGCTTGAAGTTCGTGGACCATCCGGAGTCTCTCCTCCCAGAGGAGCGGGCTCGGGCACCTCACATCTTAGCCAAGTACGCTGCGCCTTGGCTGTTCGCCCATCCTCCTCGGTCTCTTGCATACCTCGACTGCTCCCTGGCTGCCTAGACCGTTGCCGGGGGCGCCGGCATGAAGCGAGCTCTGTGGTGTGTCTACCGTCCTGGGGAGCAAACGCACTCTATGTCCTATCACTTCACCGCGTCCGCGAGCCCCCCGGGTACAAGTGCCGGAGCGGATCGTCACGCGAGGGGGTTTTGTGGGGGAGTGCGGCTTGGCAGAGTGGGCGTGGCTCAAACAATACGACCACGATCACGATCTGGCTGATGCCGGTGAGTGGGCGATCCAATATGGGGCATCTGAGGGTGGAAGTGGACATGGCTCATTTTTGTTCCTGTTGATGTCAATAGAAATCGCCGTTCCGGAATTGGGACTGGATCAGACGGGGACACCCGTCGTCAAGGCTCGGAAGTCCACAGACGCGTTTGAGTGCATCGAGCTGCGGCATGTTGAGGGGATCCGCTATGAGGCTTTTGGAGGCGCGCGCACGATATTTCGGTTGTTCAATGACCGAGATGCAGAAGTATACTTGCTGCATCAAGTACCGGGTACTTGATGAGCCTAGAATTGCTGTGCTTTAATTGCCGTAAAGGCCATCGTGGCGCAATGGTAGCGCATCACCTTCCTAAGGTGGGGGTTGCGGGTTCGATCCCCGCCGGTGGTAGAGGTTAATCACCCCTCATGGCTTCATTTTTCGCTTCGCTGCGAACCGATTCCGGTATGTGCATGTCGTTGATCGACCCTCGCGGCGGACTAGAGCAGCTCTCGGTCCCCAATAGAAAATATTTCTTCGCCAGCGGGTTTGAATCGGCGCCTCACCCGTTCTCCCCCAACAAGAGGGTCTAGTACTACACACACTGTTTACCAAGAGTCTAGGATTCTGATCAACCACGGGTAGCCGACGACAAGCTATTGCTTGCGACCTTCGCCAGCTTTGAGGAATGATAGATCGCTGCAAAGCCACCTAAATGCTACAAAACGACGGCAACACGTAACAATATAGAAAGCATAGGATGTGAGCAGGGATAGACTGCGAACGGATTCAGTCATTTTATTCGGTGCCATCTCCGTTCGATTTGTCTTTGGACTGCTCGTATTGGTCGACTTCTGTTTTCTCCAAGACGCTGGCACACAACGGTAGTCGTAAGTAGTGACCCAAAAACATTCGCCGAGGACACTCACTTCTTCAGAGCCGATTCATCAACCTCAGGGCCACTGCCGTCGCCAACAAGTAGCCGCACTCCCATACTCGGTACGCCATCTGCAACGACGTAGATGAATCCTGGTCCGGGAGGATAAATGTTGCGGTCCGGTGGGCCAGTTATCGTCAAGGCCGTGCCATCGGAGGAGAGAGAGTTGACCAGGTACACTAGGCGAGAGTTAGCGTGTACGGCGTGTGTGATATAGCCCAGATCCATGAGGGCAACTGCTCGTGGAAGGTCAGGGATGAGAGCATACACGTGATAGAGTGCTACATACCCTGGACGCTCGATCCCTGACGAACAGTGGCAGGAAGTCGTATCTGGAGTTTCGCCGTCTTGCCGAATCCGAGCAGCTTGGGCACGCCGCCGACAATCTGGGGGCGCTCCCTGTTCATGTAGTCTGGTCCCAGCCACTCGACGCGGTACTCCGTGCCGTACTTGACCTCGCTCCTATCGAGGTTCGGGTTGCTACCAGCAATCATAACGTCACCGTCAGGAGTTAACGTGGCAACCGAGTGGTACAGGCGGGGTATGTTGCTCGTCGGCATACCAGCCGACGAGAAGCGCTGCCCCGGAGCAGCGGACGGGTCATAGAATACCGGAGTGAGAACAGGGTTGTCGGCATTGGACTCGCCGACCTGTCCAATGACGTTACCATAACCAGAAATACCACTACCCGCGCCGTTGACGATGACTATGTCGCCGGTAGGTAGGAGGACAGCGTCGGGCATCGTTCGGGCGTTCGGCATCTGCTCGACTTGCCAACCAGCGGCTATACCTGCTTCAGTGAGTACTATACGCGAGCACTGGGAAGACGCAGGATCTTGGGAAGAGATCTGATACCCGGCTTTGGTGTCGTCAACAGTCGAACCTCCACAGAGTAAGATTTCAGGCGTGTAATTGTTCTCCGGAGACAGAGGCAGCAGGAGTCCAGTGCCAGTCATCGGATAGGTGATGCGGACGCCGTTAGGGATACGAGGGAGTCTGCGCTCAGTATTAGTCTTCCAGTTGTAGACCATAGCGTCGCGGTTGGCCGCCATGAACACCGAGCCGTCGGGGAGCGAGAAGGCGATCGGGAAGAGGTTAGAGTTCAACGTGTCGACGAGGAAAGGCAAGTGAATCGGGAGCCCATTGGAGTCGTGTATGCTCTTCGGAGGAAAGTACTCGATGGTGGGATTATTGGTTGTACCGTTATTGATCCAGCCTCCCTTCCGTGAGCCTCCGATGATCATAGCGCTACCGTCAGAGATACGCAAGACAGTGTTGTACCAGCGGGGGCTAGCCATACGAATGCGACCATGGTTCTCGTAAATCGTGCACTTCTCCACGTTATCAAACTCGCAAGGCTCGAAGATACGGATTGCTTGAAGGCCGTCAACGTCGCCAAAGTCAGCAGCGGCCGTATGGTCCTCGACGACAGGATTGCCGCCTACATTCACTAGGGTACCATTGCTAAGGAAAGTACCCCCAGCGCAGAACGAGTTCGACTGCACTGAGAGAGGCTGTAGGGCATGAGTCTTCAGGTTATAGAGCGCCGCCCAAGCGGGGTGTCCAGAGATCGTAAGCGGGTTGTGCTCAACCTTGTCGATGATAAGCGCGTGAGTTTCAGAGATGATGGCCAGTTGCATGGCGTGCACGCCAGTAGAGCCCTTCTGAACTAGAGTCCATTGGTTTCCGGGGACCTGCCGGGGCGACATGTCGAGAGATGGGTTATAAGATGCCATAGTCCGAGGACCCACAGTAAGGTCTTTCCGGAGAGCCCTAGGAGGAGGAGGAGGACCCCAAGTGACGACAAGCGCATCGATATCGGTGACTGTGCCCCTAGACGTCGAGTTACCGTCCCCTGCATTAACGATCTTGAGGGTGTGCTTGCCCTGTTCGAGGTTGAACGCCCAGAAGATACGCTGCTGCTTCATAGCCACGTCGCTGTATGCACTGACGATTTGAGCGAGGGCACCATCTAGATAAACTGAGGCAGAGCCATGCTTCTTGTCCATGTTTCCGAACCACTCGATCCCAGTTCCAATGAACGTGAAAGTCATGCTTGCTCCAGGCTCCGAAGTCGACCGTAGCGTTTTCTGGACGTACGCCGAATGCCACGACTCAGCCCAAGTCCTAGAAAAGTGCAGAAGAGGTGAGGATGAGTCGTAGCTCTTAGCACCGGGTGGAACATAGTAAGGCGTGAACTTGGCGATCTTCGTTGATCCAGGGGAGGTGTGGCCATGCCAAGCGGACGCCTTGCGGCCTGAGCACAATGTTACGTAGACGACCAGCGCCAGCAGAAGGAGCAGCGACCGGAATCCCATCGTCGGCGGGCGGGCTGTGGGTGTTCAGAACAAGCAGAGTGGAGGGATGAGCCAAACTCGAACGGTGGAGCCGAGCTCTTGCCTCGGCGAAGTCCTGGCCAAACAAAACGCCAACAAAGCGGCGCCTAACCGAGCTTACCTGACCATACGCTACACTACTTGTCCGCGCCGTGCACGTCCAGAATGGACAAACCGTGTTAGCCTTCATACAGAATCATCCACTGCGAACTTTTCCTTCGTCCACGTTAGAGATATGAGCGAGACGTCGCGAGCGCGTATATGGTTTCAAGGGCTCGTACCACGCGGACTATATGCACGATGAGGTTCAACGTAACGACTCACCTTGATATGCGCATTTTGGTTTCCCCGCGTGCACGCTGCTCCCAGAAGGAACAACGTGGGGAAGGTACTTATCCTGAGGACCACGGAAAGGTATGCGCCAGGACCAAAGTCCCTCCCTCAGGGTAAGAGGTCACTCACCTGTACCCGAGCCCGGACCTGGCCTTGCGTGCGATCCCGACTGAGTTGGTCCGGACGTGGTGTGTGGAAGGGCTTGCTTGCTGAGATGCGGGTCGCGACTGAAGGCTTGGTTCGCCGAAGTATGGATATCGAACGTACGATCCGTCCCGGGCGTGAGATTGTGGACTACCCTGCATCGATCCCCTCTAGACTCTTGAGTGGTAAGATGTGCTGATGTACGTCTTCTACCTAACGGAAGTCACAGACAATAGCTCTACAAAAGGAGGGTCACAGATAGACGTATTTGATACTTTGCTGGAGGGGCACGTCCGAAAATATTGGGCCTCTCGATCGACCGTAGAAACGATGGTAGTCTACACTCGAGACTTATAACGGGCGAGTCTTGTGCGTGAAGGTATGGCGGCAGAACTACATCGGTCGTTTTGGTGTATGTTGGAAGCCTGAGTGGGGCTATGTTTATAGGGTTCGTGCCTAATATGATCGCCTGCTGGATCGCCTGCTGTATTGTGTTCACTAGAATATCGTTAATAGCCCCGTACCAATGCTGCGTATGCATGCGTTCGGAGACAGTCAAGGCTAGTGCTATTGGGTGTGCCAGAGCAGGTTGTGCCCGGAATGATTTGCTCCATGCTCGAGCGACTTGTCTTCTGCATACACTCAGAGAAACTTGCGGCGAAAGGATCTGTGCGGCCCCGGGCTGGCGTGGATCAGGAGGCGGCATTTCGGACGGATCGATGGGCTTGACAGAGGCTGTGCGACTGACAAGGATCAAGCCCGTTTGGAATGGTCGCCGCTGAAGCTTTGCTGTCACACGAATCACTTGATCAGCTGCCGCAAGATGCTCCTTGCGCCTCATGCGGATCACTAGCACTCTCAAGTCTGCCTTTTGTCAGCATTCAACGGCTCCAGAGGACAAGGCACTTACAAGAAGCAGATAGGCCCCGCTACGGATGATCGAGACACCATTTCTTCAGAAGTCGCTGCCCAGCCCTTATGCTCGCTCGTAACTGATTCGGCCCTGTTTGTCCCTACCTTGATGCAAAGCCTGACACGCTATGGGCCTAGGTCACGTATCGTTGCTCGAGAAGATCCGCTGCGGGAGCCACGATATTTGAAGACAGAAAGTTGTATCGAAGAAGGCTAGCTTGTTTGACCCTACCGCGGCGGCTAATGGATGCTATGGTCAGATGTCGCTCCTGCTTGTAAGGTAAAACCAGCGGTCAGTTGATTCGCCAACGTGGTACGAGACGGCTTGGTTTTGCAACATAACCGTTCCTGTACAGATCAAGTGAAAGTTGCTTTGTGAGCGCCATAAATTGGGCTATTTGAGGCGGTCGTTAGAGTTCACTCGTCGCAAGTCCGTTTGGAATTGCAGAGAGAAGCCAGTAAACGACCGGCGACGGGACCGTTAGATGTCTTACAATCCCACGAGATCCAAGCTGGCGTTGACGTATGTGCTATGTGTTCGGCTTGATTTCATCGTAGTCGGGGTCCTCGGTGTGTTCGCATATATAGTCATCGTTTTGGTTACCACCTGCGTACCCGAACAAGAGTGAAGGCGAGTACACTGAGCGGGAGGACCAGGAGGTTCTCCTTGTCGCCTCGCGCCTCTGCCTACAGCTCTATCGGGCCCGCCGGTGCAGGGTGAGCTTGAGGGAGGGCAGGGGGATGAGGGGACTTGGAGGTAGAAAACGGGGGCTCTATATACCTTTCGCCGCCACGGCTTAGCGCCCATACTTCAGGCGATCACAGTACTTCGCAAACCTTGGGGGCAGGAAACTCGAAAAAATTTCAAGTCCATTCCGAGTAGAGGACCCAGTCCGATGCCGGGTGTCGCAGCGAGCACAGGCATTCTGTTGAGATTGCTCCGGAACGCCCAGTCCAAGTCGGCTGCTGCAGGCGGTAGTCGCAATTGCGATGCAAGGTGGACCCTATCCGTTGCATATCCGAATGTCGGACAATTCGAGTACCTCATGTATGCGCATAGATTACAAGTAGTAGCGTAACAAAACATATGGAGACAAGCACATACGCAGTTCGAGACAGTCCCATTACCCTCAATCTCGCTCATCCGCCCGATCAATCTGCTGTCGTTTCCTCGAGCCGCCGCTATAGAGACAGACGCGCGATCAGTCAGAACCGTAATCACTAAAGATGCGGGACAACTTACACCTCGGTGTCCAGACCACGCTTCCGACCGCTCTTTGCCTCGTCCAAGAACTTATCGAGACCGAAGACATCGCCGGAGTCCTTCTCGAACTGGACGGGACCTTCGCGAACCTCTTGCTCCTGAGCTCCTTCGAACCCTACCCGTGGTGCGCCAAGTCCGAAACGGTCGTTATCGAGAGCCTTGCCGATACCCTCTTCCGTTCCGCCACCGAACGAGTCCTGGTTGCCCTCGGTGATGTTCCCGCGCGCCTTATAGATGGCAGCGGCGGCACTCGAGCCATGGAAGAGAGGGCGGTCGTACAGATTGTATGCGTCGTCGTCGGCGAAGCTGCCCGAGAGCGACTCCTGGTTGAAGAGACGGGAATCGACCATGCTCTCCTTCGACAGCGTAGGCTTCGCTAGCCCCAAAGCGATCTTCTCGGAAATATCACGGTTCTGCTGTCGGGCAAGCATCTTCGCGCGCTGTTCCGTACCCATGTTGCTCATCCGCATCTCTCGCTCTCGCTCCCTCCTCTTCTCCGCACGCATCTGGTCCCGAATCTTCGCCGCATCCTCGTCCTCCTCATCCTCCGAGGGCTCAGAGTCTGAGTCACTACCGGAGCCGTATGCACCGAGTGAGGACTGCATAGCGGCAGTACGTTCCGCTGCGGGCTTTGGGTCGGCACGAGGTGCAATCCCCGCACGCTCCTCGCGAGCGCGCTGAGCGAGCAGGCGTAGGTTCTCTTCCTTCTGCGCTTTCTCCTTCTCCGCAAGCTTCTGTTGCATAAGGGCACGTTGCCGGACCTCCTCGCGAGCATGGCGGTCGGCCACGAAGAGAGCTTCGGAGAACTTGGCGAAGTTGTCGTTGATGTGCACCTAATCCAGCGCTCAGCATTAGCGATGAACATCCGTACAACAAAATGAGAACCCACATCCTGCAGACCACGGCCATCGGCAGCGAGACGCTTATCGAGGGGAATGGTGTAACCCTTGTTGTTCTTCCAGTTGGAGATACAGGGCGGGATCATCCACTCCTTTTGCTCCTGGGCTGTGGCCTTCCGCGGAGGACTGCGAAGTACAGGTGGCGGAGGACTAGGGGGACCGCGGGGAATCTTCTTGTGCTTGAAGCGTGGTGGCTCAAGCGGATCCTCGACAACTTCGGTCATCTTGATGATCCGCTGCTTCAACGCATCGGAGTTGCCCTGCTGGCCAGGGGTGTAGCGGATGAAGGAAGTCTTGCCTTGACTGTCTGGGACGTTCTTAGGCTGGGCAGCCTTGATCTTCCCATTCACGAGCTTCTCGAGCGCCGCACGAGTCTTCTCGGTAGTCGCCTGCACCTCCTCCTCCGACGGCCGCTCCAAGTTTCGCGCCTCGTCGTCCAAGTCCTTCCGGTTGGCGATCGGGACGAGGTCCTTGAACTGGGATTGGACAACTTTGCCGGCCCGCTGCCCCTGGAGCGCGATGGCATCGTAACGAACATTCCCTTCGGCATCTACTTGGAGCGCAAGCGTGTTACCTGCCGCGGTCTTTGGCGATGATAGTGAGCCGTAAGCCAACGAGAGTTTGGAAGCCACTCACCTTCTTCTTGCCCATGTTCAGGGGGTATTGCGCGACATGACATTCGGGGTACGCTCCACCATCCCCTACCGCGATGGTAAGACCTGTGAAGGTTGGGAAAACAACCGAAGTCACGCACCAAAGTCCTCTAATGAGGTTGGCTTCCATCCTTTCCTTTGGCCATAGGGCGGTACTGCCTGACGAATGATCACGGCTTGTGAAGGTCCGGCTTGCTTTTGAGGTTGAACTTGAAGTACGACATCATCGTCATCGTCCGAAACCACAGGAGCATTGACCGGCTTTGGAAGGATTCTGTCATTATCGTCAATCGGAGTCTATAGAGTTCACAGAACAGCTATAAGACCCACGAAGCCAGAGCAGCCATGGTCGCCAGTCACAATGAGGAGTAAGTAGTGCGGTAAGCGCCCTGTCTCAGCAAGCGGTCTTGTGTATGGTCGTGTTTGGCCATAGTGGCGTTACATATGCAGCACCGCCGAGCCGCGGTACCGGCTTGAACTCGACTACTTAACTTGGTGACCACCTCGCCGAGATACCGCACGACGCGACTCATTCTCGCTTTGCAGACCTTCTCATGTAGCTGTTGACGCCATTGACTGCCGCCGTAGTGTTACCTGAAGATCAGCATGTGAGCATGACAATCAAAGATTGAGCAAAAATCGCAACGGATCCACATGGGTAGGTGCTGCGAGCCGGCCTTCCAGCCTATATCAATAACGGTGGAGATCGCGCCTGTGTTGCAACGACTTCAGCTTGCCTACTCTTCATTTCCACCCTATGGTCTGTGTGGGTCTTACTGTTGCATTTGTGGCATCCTTATGCGCCTCTGTCTGTGCCAAAGATGCCGTGAAGATTCCCTTGAAGAGGTCTGGATCCCGCGCGATGCAAAATGTGGTCAAGCGGGACATCTCTCGTTTTGCTCCTCGCCCAGAGCTTGCTACAGTACCAGTTGCCAACGATGCTATCAACTACCTGGCCAATGTCACTGTTGGTACCCAGGTACGTACGTTCTCGTCAGTAGCAGGGCCTCCATTCGATGAAATCACGCGTCACGACTATAGACATTCTACCTTCTTGTTGACACAGGCTCCGCGAATACATGGGTCGGTGCCAATAAAACCTACATTCCGGGTCCGGCCTCGATCAAGTAGGCGACCTCGGTTATGCTTCTTGGCTTTATGTCTCACAGATTTGCAGCACCGGCTAGTATGTGGAGGTTACCTACGGCTCAGGATATTTCAATGGAACAGAGTACTTCGACACTGTGGGCCACTAGTTGCCTGAGACGATTCGTTCTTCTGAGACTGTTCACAATAGGTCATCTTTGGGGGCCTCACCGTTCACAACCAATCCATCGGTGTGTCGAGCTACGAAGAAGGATATGGCTATCAAGGCCTCGACGGTATCCTAGGTGTCGGAGCGATCATTCAGACCAATGGTACCGTCAATGGCACGGAACTCGTTCCAACCGTCATGGACAACCTCTACGCCCAGGGTGTAATTGAAGAAGAGGTGCTCGGTGTATATTTTGCTCCTTTGTCGCGGAACTCCACACTTGAGATCAACGGCGAGCTTACTAGTGAGTGCAGCACTGAATCCGAACCAGTCTAAGTCACTGATTGGTCTGCCCCTTTCACCTAGTCGGTGGTGTCGATGACAGGCATTATATTGGGAACATCACTTACGTGCCAACCTGGAAGTCCGGCGACCATGTTTCCTCATGGGGGTTGACCGTGGATGAAATTACCTACAACGGCACACACGTTGGCGACTCTTGGTCAGCCATTGTTGACACGGGCACAACCAACATCTACATCCCTGAGTCGGCGTATACGCCATTCCTCAACGTATCCGGCGGAACGTATGACTATAACGTTCATCTCTCCAAGTTCGCGGCTAAGCCCACTGGCAACTTCGCGTTCTCTATTGGCGGCACTTTATTCGAACTCACCCCGGACCAGTACCTCGTGCCTCAGGTATCTTGGACGCCTATTTTCAATCAATGCACCAGGATGATCTCATGATTCGATGCTAGGACGAATACTCGGTCTGGAACATTCCCGATGACGGCAATTACTACTCTTTCATCAGCACCGCTGGCCCCACTTACTTCTTCATCGGGCAAAAGTTCCTCGAGTACGTCGTCCTTAGCTCACAATCTAAGGGGCTTTTACTGACAGTTCGCCCGTAACTGAGGAACTACTACGCCGTGTTCGACACCACCAATGTCCGCATTGGCCTTGCGCCGGCTAATCACTCGCCCTAAGCTGCTTTAGATCGCGCTACAGAGCCCATCCATTGTGCTCCTTTCTGCGTAGAATGTTCCTTAAAAACGATAGTATAGCGGAATTTAATGGCGCATTCAGTCGTGAACAAAAGTAATGGCGAACCCCGCAGGACGCCGTTGCCCGGCGGCTGCCGGGCCGATCGCGTGTAGTGTCGCGTTGAGCGCGCGTCGTATACTTGTCCAAAATCTTTGCTGGTCCATTCTGTTCCACCTGCACGCGACGCCCGCCCCCTCACTGGCGATGAGCTCGAGCTCCAAGACTGGAGGCGACTCCGTCTTCCCGAAACCGCAGCCCCCTCAATCTGGCGTGAGGGCCGCGCTGCAGTACACTGGCATTCCCCCGTCATGGCTCGACAAACGCCCTAGCCTTCCCTCTCGCAACTGGCTCATCTTTCTCGGTGTCACTTCCGCTGTTGCGGGCTGCTACATCTACGACCGCCAGCAGTGCAAGAAAATAAGGCAGGAGTATGTAGACAAGGTCAAGGACTTGGCGACGACGCCCATGGGCAGCATGGAGCTCCCGCGAAGAGTGACAGTGTACGGCGCGAAATGGTTGGGCGATGAGGACTACGACCGAAGTATGCGGTATTTCCGGAAGTACGTCAAGGTTCGCGCGTCATGTTGTCCTGCTACTTCGTGTCTCAACTCACACATGTATACACGTAGCCCGTACTAGTCGCAGCCGCGGTGGACTATGACATGGTCAAGGGACGCCGGCTAGGCGACATTGCCCGACAGGTGGCAGACGAGATTCGCGCAGATCGGCGAATCATGTTGGGCCTGGATCAGCCTTTCACTGGTGGGATGCAGCTGCCGGGTAGCACTCCAGCGGAGAAACGTCAGCGCAAGGTCGACAGCGGCATCATCATCGTGGGGCGTCATACGCTCAAAGAGTACATGTGGGGTCTCAAGCGCGGATGGACAGAGGGGTTGGAGCTGGTCGACAGGGAAGAGCGGTTAGCTCAACAACTGGAGGCGGGCGGCAAGTTCGACGAGCCAGAGGCAGAACACCCCCTCGATGCTACAATTGGTGATGACGAGCCACTACCTACACCTTCACGACTCCCGCCTTCAAACCCTGCCTTTTCTGTCCTCGCGACACAAAACCTTCGTGCCCCGCCACCTCCCAAGGACGCCATTCCTCCACACCTGAACGCGCCCCCAGCAACACTCCCTCCTCAACCCCCCATGCTCCTCGTCAGCTTCACGAATTACATCGGCTTTACTCAGATTCCGCTCATGATATGGGACTTCTTCAACGAGCGTACGAGGGTGCGCGCCGGTGCAGAAGCCGCGTACAAGCTCATTATGGGCAATGCACGACTCTTCACCGCTCCCCCTGCTGAGGCGCTTGCTCGCCCAGATGTCGACGTTGACCCTACGCAACCACAAAAGCCCTACCTCGCCGAGCTCTCCCCAACGGACCTGGACTTTGATCGCGAGGCTGAGTCGTACTACAAGAAGACCGTCGTGCGTGATTTCTTGTCGGAGATCGAGAAGGCGCGGAAGGAGTACTACGACGGGCTCGCCAAGAAGCTTGAGACTGCGCGTGCACTCGCGCGGGGAACCAGGGAACCGACCAAGGAGGAGAGGGACTACCCGCCTCCTACGGAAGTTGAACTTCGTGCGGAGACCCTGAAGAAGGAGCAGCGATGGACAAGCGACGAGGAGGGGTTCAACATCATCCGCCCAGACAAGGATGTTGAGTGGGACGAGAGGTTCCGCGGTGTGCTCAGGGTCTACACCGACCCGACGCCCGAGCAGCAGTCTCAGTCCGCTGGCACATTTTCTGCTTCATGATACTCGCAAACTCCGTCATTTAGTAGCATATACTTCCCCTAGCATATACATATAGCTTGGCATATCGCTGGACTCGACTATGCATGTAATGACCCCCGGTTAATCACTCCTCCACGATGTCGACAGCGCCACTTGTCAGCCATGCCTCAAATTCCGCGAACGGGTCGTATTCCTCGGCTTCAGCTCGCTCGAGCAGGGACGTCCTGCGATCGCTCTGCTGTCTAGAGTCTGATTGATGAGGACTGCCCACGAATCGAGCCAGAGATCCAACGGGGACTGTGCTGCCGGATTGAGAATGAGATGCCTGGACGTCCCTCGTTTCGGTGTCCGTTAAAGTAGAAGTAGAGGGATAAATATCGAAGAGACTATGGTCGAGGACAAAGCCATCGTCTTCATCCGTCGGCACTAGTGCAGGCGAGGTGGCTGGCGACGACTGAGCAATAGGGCAAACCATACGAGAAGCAGCTCCTCTATTGATGTCCTCATTGGACACGGATGGGTGGAATACGGGTGCTTTCATAGGCGAGGAAAGTATCTGTGATACTCCGGTAAATGCTCCGCGAGCCTGAGAAAGACAAAAAGACCCATACTTCGATGGGGGAATCAGCAGGTGCCTTGCCGTGCTTCTTCCGCGGAGGAGAATTGTCTGAGCTTGACACTGACCGCCTTCTCTTGTTCGGACGACGCATCGACACGGTGTCCAGGGAATGATCTCCAGTACTCAAGGCTGGTCTTTGCTCATGCTCATGATGCGACTCTTCCCGAGGATTGGAGTCGAGTGAAGGCAAATCCGCAATGAGAGCATCGAATTCCGGGTCAGCATAGTCAGTAGATTCCGAGGTAGCACCTTGTCGCCCAGACTCTAAGTCCCCAGCAACGTCGATAAGGTCCAGAGCATCAGGTAAATCGTCATCAGAGACGTCCAAGTCATCATCATCTACCCGAGGGGCTTTGCGAGGTTTTTCGTCCCTAATCTGAGTGAAGCTCAGGTCAAAGTTCGGTACGGGCTTGCGTTTCCGTGGAGGACCTGATGTCAAGTCGGCATCCAGTTTGATGCGAGTATGGCCACCCAGCTGCAGATTCTCCTTGACTCCCATACGCTCATGCAATGCCTCCAAGTCCTTGAGCGGTCGATCCGATCTGACCTTCGGTTTCGGTTTGGGCTTGCTCGTATCGTCTTGACGGTTGGTTGACCGGGTGTCAGCCTTCAAGGGCACTGTAAGCTTAGGGAGAGATGTGTCGCAGGCTACGATTGCCTCCAAACGTTTCCTTGTCATGGGCGGAGGCTTCGATAGTCCATCCCGACAACTGTACCTGTTTGGTAGTTGGAGGGGATGCGAACCACGACACAGACGTACCACAGATGCCTGCATTTCGTCTTGTCTTTGCAAGTGTGGTTGCATCTGGACAACTGGTCGATATATCCCCTGGAGAAGAACAATGAAAGGACGAACTCGAAGTTGCCGTTCGCGAGTTGTTTCGAGGGAGCAGACGACGCTACCGCTGGCTCGTAGTGTGTATCGGCGATCAGCTGTTCTTTCGATCGTCCTGCAACTGTAGGTAGAGGAGAGCTTGCATCTAAGTGTCGATGCTGATACTTCGAAACGTACCTATTGATCCTGTACACTCCTTATACGTGTTATCGGTGGGCCGAGTATCTTGAGCCTCATCGAATCCATCGCCCTCCATGTCCCAGAAATTGGCGACATCTTCCAGGCCCTCGAGGTCGCGTGTCTGTAGAGGAGTATAGGTTCGGTCTAAACGCGACGGTGATAACAGAAGTGTTACCATGGAGTCCTGGGGTCGAGTATTGGGAACCGGGAATGCAGATGATTCGAGCTTGGGCTTGTACGAGGCTGACACCGTGATACCGGCATATGTATCCTATCGCGTTGTCAGAAACTACCTCGGATCCTACAAGCTATGGCCTACCGAAGTCACGTAGGCGACAATCGATTGGCTAGGCTTGGTCAGCTTCGTTGCAATCTCAAAGACCTTGACATCCTTCAGAGCAGAGGTACTGAACGGTGGAGATGGGAGCAAGAATAAGTAGTAGACGTAGCGTCTCAGGGGCACATAAAACTGGAACGCACGAAATGCGACGGAAATCGACGAAGCCGTGGTCAGAGGTCAGAATCAGGACCAATGTCATGTCTCGGCGCTTCTGCTTTTTGTTTTTCTTCCAGCTTGCCGCCTTGACGTCTTGCGCCAGCCCACATTCGACGGACAATGTGACGCTGATTCCGTCCTTGCCAACGGAAAGCCCAACCTCAGACAGATCGACCTGGTATTGGGGGAGCCGATTGACAGCGGCAAGAACCTCGTGTCCGAAGGGAGGTTTGCGATTGAGCAGCTACGCCTAATTCAGTATCGACTCATCGAGCTAGGTGCTCTGAGGTCAAAGACAGACGTACCATTTCAATGTAGCCAGGGTCCTTCTTCCGTAGTGCCGCAAAGGTCGTGATGTTGTTCTCTGCCAATACCTATCATACTATGGGCATATAACACCATCATCAGGCCGTGATATCTCACCTTGAGTCTTGATAAGCGAAGTGTCAGTCAAAGGCGGTTCACAGCGTATGAGCTGAAGGACTCACGACTTCAGCCCGATGTCATCGAGCTGGCGGAAGATGACACTCCGGTCCTCCCATGCTTTTGCCGTCAAGCACCTCATCCTACAATTTGCTGAGACGGCTTGGAACAGAGCGGCTGGACAGAACTCACACTTCCAGTGCATTTTTAAGCAACGCACCAGCCATGCGGACGTTTGCAACCTCAACGACAGCTAGCAGGTAGCGTATCACATGCCTGTTTGGGCAGAACATGGGATACAGGACACACCTCGTGCGATCCGCGAGATATGGCGCAAGATCGGGATGGACTCCGTGTAGGGTTGACTCTCTGCGGTCTTATATTCATGTTCCGAGAGATTGACTGCTCCCAGTATGGCTTGAATCAGGATGAAGACTTTGTCAGAGGGCTTATCGATCTTCTTGAGGGGATAGCGAATATCGATGTGTGCTCTGAGTTTGTTGTAGACCTGCACAAATGTCAGAACGACGGCTTGCCTAGGCTGTATTCGCTCACCTGTTTCTCGCCAGATCGGAACTTGATGTCAGAAAACCTACACAGGGATCAGAGGGAGTCGACGTCCGAGGAAGAGAGCGTACTCGGTAGAACAGGATATGGTTTCGAGCTACGTGTAGTCCATTCAGTTAAATCGTCTCAGCGATTACAACCAAGACCGCCGGTTCTTCACTCACAATCTCTCTGACGGTGGCCTTCTCGGATAATTTCATAATTTGCACCATCTAAAGCCGCGCGGCTTCATCAGTCAAGAGAAGCCCACACATCCATAGGCCATCACTGACGGTCCCTTGTCGTATGTAGAACTGAGGATAGTTGTTCAGAAGATGCCTGTCGCTTGAATGAAAGACATGTACCTTGCTCATGATGTCTCCGTAGTCTGTGGAAGATAGAGCGTCATCGTCTCCGTCGCGAACCACCATCTCGCTTTGGTCGAGGGCAGTAATGCTAGCTGTGACCAAGTCGTCCATTCTCGCCTGCCAGCTCTTGTCGCCTTCTTTCTTGATGTCGTAATGCGCAGGGTTCTTCTGGAGACGTCGATAAAGGAAGGAGCTGCGTAGCCATTCCTTCGCTGTGTCCATGCTCGTGATAGTGCCTAGCGCAACCTCGGAGTTGAGGTGTTCCGAGAGCCCCATATGTAGGCTGCTTTCGAGCACCGTCTGACCTTGGGCGAGCGCTTTGTACTTCGCTTCTAGTTCTTGTTCGCACATGATAATGGCTACGCCTTCCTTGTCAAATTGCGGGCGACCCTGTGCAACGCGGCGTTTGAGACAGCAGGTCCACACCTGTAGACAAGGGGCTCACAGCGCGCCCGATCATCTGCATGACGTCCAAGTCGGAGTATTCTTGCGATGTGCCATTCTGGAACAACTTGACGCCCTTGATAACGACGGTATGTGCCGCTGCGAGACATTAGTGGATGCTAGCGTGGGTCGGTTGAAACTGGTACGAACGCAAATTCACCCCGACGGCGAGGGTCTGAAGCAGATGCATCAAAACAAGCATCAACGACAGCCCAAGTAAGGACCTACAGAGGTGGCGAACAAGACTTTCAGGTCCCTCTTGAGGTATAGCTGTTCCGTAGCGTTGCGGTCGCTCTTCTCCAAGCCAGCATGGTGAACGCCGATGCCAAAGGAAGCGAGTTCTGCACAAAAAATCGTTAGCCCATGAGAAGGGATCGGATTCAAGCAGGTCCGTACTGTCCACCTGCTTGTTGCCGAACGTGTGTGCGATTCTGCTGAAAGAAATAAGTGTGTAGGTGCAGGGATCGCGAACGTCTTGATGTACCTGGGAGGCTTCGTCCATGGGACAACCTCCTTCTTGCCCAAGGCCTCTTCATACTCTTTCAAGATGTGCTCCGCAGCATACATCACCCCTAGCAAGCGGTGTTAGATTGCACATCACTCCTGCCTGCGCGCCAAGATCACCTTTACGCGTCGGGCAGAAGACAAGCACAGGCTTATCGTTGCAGTGTTGCTGTAATACACCGTAGAGTCTATAGTCGAGAGCTTTTGCGAAGACGAAGTCGTTGGTGTCTCTGCGGCGCGGGAAGCCGTAGACGAACTTGGACAGCCGACATGGCCTGAAGTCCTCTCCAAACTGAGTGGGGAATATAGTGTCCATCCTCACAACGCAAGTAGACTTACTCTCACCTCTTTGATCGTAGCAGGCCCTGTATCCGAGTTGTTTCCAATCCAGTCGGCAACATCTCCGATGTTGGGTACCGTCGCAGATACCACGATGAAGCGGACAGACGTCCCGCGCAGTTTCATCCGAGAGACGACAACCTCCAATGTGCTGCCTCTAGTCTCATTGAGCAGATGGACCTGTGACCATCAATGGGTGAGGAGGTACTGGATCTCCACCGAGGGACGGCCTACTTCGTCTATGAGGAACAGTTTGACTTGAGACAAGATGTGTTGGTGATCTTGCCTGAAACATCGCAAGTCGGACCGTTGCTAGAAGCCACCACTGTGGGCCATAGCTTCCTGAGGACGCACCAGTTGCGAGTTAAGCTATCCCATTTCTCCCCCTGTCAAGTGTCGGTGGAGATTTCTCTGTGCTGTTGATACAGAACCCACCGTTGTCACACTACAACGGCTGCTCAGCGGAGACCCGATTCTGAAAAATGAACGCCACTTGCATTATTGTAGCATCCTTCGCATCCCCCCACGCGCCCCGTCCAGTGTTGACAGTATCCCCAGTAAGCTCCGAGCCTGTGTGCAGATGAACAGACGGTCTCAAGTGTCAGGGGTGAGACGCACATTTGGCTCCGAACGGCCCAAATTTCGCCTCCCAGTCAGTCGCTTTCTCCGTACATAGCGACTGCATGTCCTATTAGCGCATACATGCTCTCAAGTCTGCGGCGGAGCTCACCTTCGTAGGAGCGATGTATACACAACGCGACTTGAGGCTTGTGCCTGACGTTTCTTTTAACGTCTTGATGATAGCAAGTTCGAATAGCACGGTCTTGCCGCTGCCAGTCGGCGCTGCATAAGTAAGTCAGTCGAGGGAGAAGCGACGTTGTGTCAGGACGGACCACTGATAACCTAGAATTGTATTGAGTTGAGTGCAGAGCTGGTACTACAAGGTCGAAATCCTACCATGTTCTCGTCTGATCCCATCACCTGCTCACGTTCGTTATATCGAGATGTGTTCTCGGGCAGCGAGACATACCGTATCAAAACATTGAGACTGAACGGGGTTGAAAACACCAAACTTGAAGAGGCCCCGATATATGTCAGCTGCATGATGAGCAATGAGTTGCGTGCGCATCCCCGCTGGCAATCTCGATGTGCACTCACGAAGGTCGGATACAGGACGCAGACGTATGCCTCGACGAGGCTGAGGACCCGGATGGTCGCTATATGCGGTGTTTGGAGCAGCGGAAGTATGTTCGAGAGGCGCCGAACGGTCTCCCATTACGGTAAATCCCTCTCTGTAAGGTCTATGTGAGTCAGAAAGCGGCAAGTATTCATGCTCTGACAAGGACACCGGGAACGACGTCCCCAAAGTGTCGGCATAGTGACGTGCGACAGGCTGAGTTGCAGGGTACGAGTTCTCTTCAAAGCCACTCTGTCGACCTCTGTTGTTCACAACACGTGCTGACTGGCGGTGCGGTGCGCCATAAGTATGGCTTGGGGCCTGCCAGTTCTGAGGATATCGTGAGGCAGAAGGCGACAATCCCCAGGGTCCAGGACGCTGGGTGCGGTCCGGCGGAGAAGGCGACGAGTTCGCTAGAGGCAAAAAAAATTGGCCTCACAATTGGCTGTCGTCACGCATATACTCACCAATCTCGTCCAGCAGCTCGTCTACCTCGTCAATATACTGGCCGTCGTCATATTCAAATTCGCCAGAATGCACACTGTATGAGAACGGGTTGTCAGAGGTAGGGTCATGGTGCTGTTCTTGCACAGGATCGTGGAGCGGATAGTGGTAGTAGTCGTCCATGCGAGCGAATGGTGGTCAGGAAGAAAGGAGGGCCAGGCTGAGAAGGGACGCGGTGTAGACGAGACGGACCCGCTCACGTGGTGGCGGGGTCACGCGTGACCCGTCGCGTCGAGAGGTCGGGACCGCGCGGTGGCCGATCGCATTGTCTTCCTCTTTGGCCTTGGACCGTCACTTGTCACTCCTTTCCGACTCGGCTTCCGCTCTCCAATCCACGCCATCGCTCTTCTCTCCGCGCCAAACAACTGCATACACACTCCCATGGCTACCAAGGACCCCAAGGCTGCAGAAGCTGTTCGCAAGCTCGAGGAGTATATTGAGAAGTACGCTTGTCTCGTGATTCATACGCCCAGTCAAGAAGAGACTGACTCTGTCCCACAGAATCCACTATTCCGAACGCTACTCGGACGACGAGTACGAATATCGTCACGTCATCCTCCCTAAACCGCTCTTCAAGATGATTCCCAAGAATTTCTTCAGCCCCGATAACAGTGGCACCCTGCGGCTACTGTCCGAGGAGGAGTGGCGGGGCATTGGTATCACGCAGAGTCTGGGATGGGAGCATTATGAGGTCCACGGTGAGCCCAGCTTTCGGTTCTCCCTGGGTTTCTGGGCAAACCCGCCTCTTGCCCTAAACAGCACCGGAGCCCCACGTCCTCCTCTTCCGCAGGCCCAAGAACTTCGATCAGGTGATGGCCAGTAGAGCTGCAGCACCCGCCGGGAAGGCCCAGGCGAAGCGGAAGTAAGCTGGCCGGTATCAACCCATCGCCCCTTCTCTTTTCCTCGCGTGATCGCCTCCGGGCTCGTCAGGAGCTTCCACCACGATTCCTCGTTCTCATGGATTCTCTCGTTCATTTCACCCGGTCTCTACTGTTATGTACCTGATTACGAGCTGTGTTGTGCATTATCGCATCGCTTTCCCTTGCTATACGCTGTGAATCGATAGATTCAATCCCTTGATCGCCCATATATGGTTACTTGACTGCTACTCAAGGTGTTGCTTGACAAAAGCCGGTATGTCACGTAGCGTGTTGTGTCTGCATATGACCGACACCTCATGCATTCCCACTCGTGGCAGACGTGTACCGTCGCAGTCCCGGTAAAGCGACGAAGTACTACGTACTGGAGTGTACGTCGGGCGCTCGCGACCTTATGCCTGCACCCTTCTCCGAGCCCAGCAAAGTGATATTTCTTCCGAACCAGCTTCCCGCTAACCCCTACTTTGCTCCGACGCCTCATTCTCGTTCTCATCGGAGCCAGATTGTCTCTCCAGGCGGCCCCTCGAATCTTGATGCTCTGCAGTTGTATGCCGTAAGCGGATGACAGAAAGGACAATTGCCAGCGTCGTAGCCTGATTCTCCCACCTGCATCCGACGCGCATGTTGCGACTCCTCGCACATTCAGCTCGACCTCGTCTCGCAGCTTATCTTCGCGTTCCTGCGTCGGTTTCCCCAGTCTTGCTATCGTGCTCTCGGAACAGCCTATCCCTCCGGTCAGGCTTCGCAATGGTCGCTTTCCCCTCAGATTCTGCTGGTGCTTGGACGCGCGTTACGTCCGGGAAAATACCCTACGATGTCTACACGAAGCCCATCAACAAGTCTCCGCAGGACGATCGGGAGTACAGGCTGATTAGGCTGGACAACGGGTTGCAGGCCATGCTTGTGCATCACGCGAAGGCGGACAAGTCCGCCGCTAGTTTGGATGTGGCTGTCGGACACTTGTACGACCCGGTGAGCGACTATCTTCGGTGGTGCAGAAACGTCCTTTGGTGTTATAGTGGCCGCGCTGCTAAGACTTGTCGGGCGGACGCGCAGAGGGGAGATGCTAACAGTTTGCTTTGCAGGACGACATGCCCGGCCTCGCGCACTTCTGTGAACATCTGCTGTTTATGGTACGACCGTTTCGCCATATATGACGACTTGACTCACGCTCGCCCCAGGGTACGGAGCAATATCCGAAGGAGAACGAGTATTCAGAGGTACGTGTGACTGCCGGCAACTCACGCGACCCATGCTCAACCCCGCGATCACATCCAGTACCTCTCCAAGAACGGCGGCAGCTCCAACGCGTACACTGGCACCTCGAATACGAACTACCACTTCAACGTCTCCCCCACAGCACTCCCAGGCGCGCTCGCCCGCTTCGCCGGCTTCTTCCACTCACCGCTCTTCGCGCCCTCATGCACCGTCCGCGAGCTAAACGCCGTCGACTCCGAGCACAAGAAGAACCATCAGAGCGATGTGTGGCGCATCTTCCAGGTCAACAAGCATCTCAGCAAGGACGGGCACCCCTGGCGCAAATTCGGCTCTGGGAACAAGGAGAGCCTCTCGCAGGTCGGCAAGGACCTGAAGGCGAAGGGGCTGCTGAACGGCAATGGCGCTATCAAGAGCGTGGACGGCTCGCTGGCCGCTAACTCGACTTTGTCGAGGGCGGCTTCCCCCGCGCCGTCGGTCAGCTCTGCTATCAGCGAGTCTGAGGGCGATGGGGGCGTCGTCGGTCGGGAGACTCGTCGCAGGTTGGTCGAGTGGTGGAGCAAGGAGTACTGCGCGAGCAGGATGCGTCTTTGCATCATCGGCAAAGGTGAGCACGCTCCCAACGTCGAAGGGGCGCTGTTCGCTTATACACTGCGGCAGAGTCACTGGACGAGCTCTCGGAGATGGCTGCCGACTATTTTTCACCGATACCCAACCGTGGTCAAGAGCCGCTACCTATGATACCCGACCACCCTTTCGGACCGAACGAGATGGGCGTGAGTTCCACGGTCGTTCATTCTGTTGTTCGATGACTGAGCCACGCCCCCGATAGACACTTGCTTCGGTACAAACGGTCATGTCATTCCACGCCTTGGAGATCAGCTTCCCTCTACCGCACCTACCGCCGTACTGGAAGTACAAGCCTGCTGGCTTCCTGGCCCACTTCCTCGGCCACGAGGGACCTGGCTCCCTCCACTCGCACTTGAAGCAGAAGGGCTGGATAACCGGCCTCAGCGCTGGCCCACAGAATCTCGCCCGCGGCTTCGCCATGTTCAAGGTCACGCTCTACATGACGCCCGAAGGCTTTGGTGAGCGGGTTACTCAAGGGCCAATGAGGCGAGCGACTGACATGATTCGTAGAGAACTACGAGAGCCTCGTGCAATCCGTCTTCAAGTACATTGCCTTGCTAAAAGCATCGGAGTTCCCACCCTGGCAGCAGCGCGAGCGCAGCCTCATTAGCGCGACCCGCTTCCGCTTCGCAGAGAAGCGCCGTCCCGACGACTACGCCGTCTGGGTGTCCGAGCACATGGCCTGGCCCGTCCCGCGTGAGCTCATTTTGAGCGCCCCACAGCTCGTCGAGGAGTGGGACGTGAACGATCCCGTGAATGGTGGGGAGAGCGAGGTGCGCGAGATCCTCGACTCGCTCACGATCGAGCGCTCGCGGACCGTGCTCATGGCAAAGGCGGAGGAGCACGAGCGCGTGAGAGGGAAGGATCTTACGTGGGAGAAGGAGCCGTGGTACGGCACACCGTACCGCGTCGAGAGGTTCAGCGAGGAGTTTGTCCAGAAGGCGAACCAGCCGAACGACATCGAGGAGCTGTACCTCCCTGGTCCCAACGAGTTCATCCCAACCAACCTGAACGTTGAGAAGCGCGAGGTGGAGAAGGTGCCTGCTTCCCTTCCCGTGAAGACTGGTGATTGCTGATTGACGTGTCTGGATGCAGCCTGCGAAGCGCCCATTCCTCATCCGCGAGACACCTCTCTCGTCTTTGTGGTTCAAGAAGGACGATCAGTTCTGGGTGCCCAAAGCTCAGGTCGTCATGGACCTCAGGACCCCGGTAGCCTGCGCATCTGCACGCGCAACGGTCATGACCAGGTCTGCAATCTATATCTCGCTCCCGTGTATGGTATTCTCATTGTCCTACCTCCAGATTGTTCTCGGATCTTGTAACTGACTCTCTGACCGAATTTGCGTACGACGCCGACCTTGCGGGCCTAACCTACGGTCTGAGCAGTCAGTCGCTCGGCCTGTACATCACCCTGAACGGCTACAATGACAAACTCCATGTTCTGGCTAAGGACGTCCTGGAGCGGACGAGGAACCTCAAGGTTCAGCCCGATCGGCTCGCCGTCATGAAGGACCAGGTGAGCATTTCTCCAACATAACCATGTTTCGGGGGGCTCATGAGTGATTGCAGGCCAAACGGGAATACGAAAATTCGTTGCTTGGTTCGCCGTTCCGTCTGTCGAACTACTACATCCGGTACCTATTATCGGAACGTGAATGGACTCCGGACGAGCTGTTGGCTGAAGTCACTTGTGAGTTCATATGTGACGTTCTTCGCCCCAAACGGTCGATCAACTGAGATTTCGGGGACAGCGGTCACCCCGGAGGAGCTTCAGGCATATATTACTTCGTTGCTGTCGAAGCTGCACATCCGAATGGCGGTTGTCGGCAACATGTACAAGGACGTGAGTGACAGCAATACACAAGGGTTTGGTTGACAGGAGTTGCTGATGGAGTCATCACAGGAAGCTTGCAAACTGGCGGAGATGGCTGAGGACATTCTCAGGTCAGAACCTTTGCCGGCAGACCAGCTGTGGAATCTGTCGCTCGTCCTTCCGCGTGGTTCCAACCATGTTTGGTCCGCGCCGGTGCCTAACAAAAACGAAGCGAACAACGCCCTAACGTACTACATGTCGATCGCGAAAGCAGGCGACAGGCGTCGTCAAGTGCTCGCTGCGCTGGTCGCGCATATCCTCTCGGAGCCTGCGTTCAACATCCTGCGCACCCGTGAGCAGCTAGGGTACATCGTTTCGGCTTCGCACTGGCACATGACTGGTGGCGGACAGACCGGCCTTGGCATCATAGTGCAGAGCGAGCGCGAGCCGAAGTACCTGGAGCAGCGCGTGGACGCCTTCCTAGGCGAGATGCGGGAGAAGATCGCGTCTATGAGCGACGAAGAGTTCTCTGAACACAAGGTCGCGCTCCAGAAGCAGTGGCGGGAGGCTCCGAAGAACCTCACAGAGGAGCTGAACCGGTACTGGCCGCAAATTGAGTGGGGATACCTCGACTTCTACAGACGTGAGCTTCGATCTTTTCCTAGGTTCTTGTGGACGTCATGTTACCGTTGGGTTCTCCAGGGGACCTTGATTCCGAGCTCATTGAAGGTGTGACGAAGGAGGAAGTGCTGTCGCTCTTCCGCTCCGCCATCGACCCATCCTCCACGGAGCGGGCCAAGCTTTCGGTGCACCTGAAGTCCCAAAAGCCGCGTCCGGCGAAGATCAGCGTTGCTGCCATGGAGGCATTCGCCCGGAAGGTCGCGGAAAAGGGATACACGGTGGACGAGCAGGCGTGGCGGAACGCCCTCGCATCAGACGGCGACGCCGCACTGGACAAATTTGGAAGCTACTGGCGGGATGCGCTCCTGGCTCAGGCTGCGACCGTCCCTCCAGAGGTTGCGCAGAGCCTGACTGCCGAGGTACCAGTACTGCTCAAGGAGTACCCTTCAGGGGATGAAGGCAAGGATGACGTCGCGCTCGACGAGAGGGTGGCGTTCATCCAAGATGCCAAAGCATTCCGTGCTTCGTTACCTGTGTCGGAGCGGCCGCGGCCATTGGTTGAATGGGGCGATCTTCCTACGTCAAGATATTGATGAACGTAGAGATTCCTTGGATACTCATGTGTAGCGATAGATTAGCATTATTGTCCATGGATAATTGGGCATTGTTTATGGCTAACAATGTATGTCGCCGCATACGAAATGGATCAAGGGAAAGTCGAGAGAAAGACAATTGGAGTCGGCGCCTGGGCAGCCTAATACGGCGTGTTGAGCAAGGGCTGGGAACGAGCCTGTGCGAGCGGCAGCGTGTATCCGCCTTCACCACCGCGTACGCCTTAGATTCTATGCCACCAGCGTGTCCTACGCTCCCCCCGTCCTCCTCCCTCCTCTCTCTTACCCTGTATCACTACCCCAGACCGTCTCTGCCAGGCTGACACGAGGAACCACGTCAAGACACGTGTATCACTACCAGACATGCCGAGCTCTACGCGCTACAGTTCCCAATCCCTCTCGGGCAGCCCGCCGCTCTCCGCGTATTCTGTCTCGCATGCAACGGCGCTTGGACCGCAGAAGCTCAACGTCGTTACGCGCGTTGCAATCGAAGGACGCGCGGAGAGGGGGGCTAATGGCGCGTCCATCAAAATGTACCTCAAGGTGCGCGTCCACTCCGTAACCACTTGCGCATGCGCGAGCGAGCTACAGTCACTAACGCGCTCTGTGGCACAGATTTCATTACCGCTAGACAGTGTTACGCCTGGAGCTACGATACCACTATTCCCTGGTGAGTGTCCCGCGTTGTCGTGCGAGTATGTATTGTAACTTGTCATTGTTGTAGAGGAGAATCTCAAGATTCTAGACTCCGCCGTCCACCCGCTGGACGCAAACTCGAACCCATATAACTTCCCAAAAGACTCCTCGCTCCTACACAAGGCGGCTCGCGCACTCAATCTGCCGGCACGTTCCCCCTACTCTTATGTCTCCTCGGCTGCCAGTACATCTTCGTCTTCGAACGATACTCCAGGCCTTGACGAGAAGTACACTGGGCAGATACTAGTGAGCGCGTATCATGTGTCCTACATAATACCCAAGGAGTTTCCCCGTCGGGAGAGTGATCCAAGAAGTAGGCGGCCGTCAACTTTCGCGCAGTTCATGGCCGCCATCGACATCTGGGCACCGTACATCTCGCAACCGCCCCATGCGCCATACCTTGTGAGCTCTGCATGTCAAGTGTTACGACTCCCAGCTCCTGACTTGCATCTAGCTATCGATCCCCGTTCCCCGTTGCCTATCAAATCACATCAGGCTGAAGATATTCCCTCCAAATACGCCCAAACCGTCCTCTTCTCTTGCATCTCTATCTTCTGCCGACGAAGACGCAAGCTCTTGGGATCTCACCTCTGATCCTCACGTCACCCGCAGCGCGTCGGCGCGGTTGTCTCGCTCGCATTCTTACAACAACTTTGCGGACGACGAATCTAGTGACGCGTCTACTTCGGCCGGCTTCTCTGACGGACCGGGGATACAAGGCTCATTCCCTAGCTCTGAACGGATACGGATTCGGTGGGCGCGCCCTATAAAGGCGAGTCAATTACCCACTACCAGCGACGGCCGCAAGAGGGTCGGTATCCGGGAGGTGAAGGGAGACATGAGTTGCACGGTACTTGGGGCAAGTAAAGGCAAGGGGCGGGATGCGTCAGAAGGCCTCGTAGTGCGCGTGCAGTACGAGGCTACGTGCAAAGGGGTGTGGTTTCCTGGCGTCGCGACCCTACTGGGTCTAGATGTTGCATTGGAGGCTGGTGACTGCGACGTCACTTGGGTACCTAGCTCGGAAGCCAAGTGGTCCATTAACGGAGGTGTCGCATTCACGGGTTACGCCATGGGTCCACCTCCGCTGTTGGCACCTTCGCGACAGCAGTCAGAGGAAAACCCGTCCATCTACGTGCTTCCATCTTCACCTGATGCTCGAGGAGCCGTAAACGGTGGACTACCCCCAGTACGCCACGACTCGTCGTCCTCGACCTCTTCGCTACTCCGGGCACCCTTACCGAATCAGCATGTTCCTGACTATTCCTTTGAGAGCTCACCTGCGTCAACTCCCATCTCTTCCCTCGCGTCCCTTCCACCGCTCTCGAGTCCGGAGCGCGATCGGAGGAGTAGAGCTAGCTCGATGAATGGTCGCTACACTGACTTGGAGACGATCGACTTCGATGAGGACGAAGTAGAGGCGCGCCCGCCGAAGGTCCCTATCACGATCCATCTGAACATGAACGACCTGCAGCCGCCCTCAAAACACGACTTCAAGTTCTACATCTCGGGCACAGTACTGGTCAAGCCTCGCCAACCTGTGCTCACCCTTGGACATAGACGATACACCTCCTCGCCCAACACGTCTCAGCCCGCTTCCGACAATGAGGCCGAGTCTGACGTGCTCGTTGTCCCACGCTTCCGAGTGCTCCATGCCGATCGGGAATACATCTCTTGTACCATCCGTAACGACGCAAACGACTCCACTCTGGACGTCTACAATTCCACGGGTGATATCCGAGACGCACAGACCCGCAAGACTGTGCTTCAGCGGGGAGGCCAAATCAAATGTGGCATAGACGGCGCGCGTATCGCACTCCGCCCCATAAGTCGGTCGATATCTCCGCCTCATCGAGGCAGGGAGGACAGCTTGGACGCCTTGAGGCCGTCGAGGGTGTCCCGCAGTCGTGCCCGCACCCCTAACGGGGTCTCAGGACGTTCGCATCGCGACTTGTCCCCATCCATGCTACGGCAATCCTTGTTTACGTCGACGCTGCGCACACCTGTTCGTCGAGATGGGCCTTTGATGATCCCCTATGTCACAACGACTATCACTCCTCTGTTTAGCGCCAGCTCACCGTCTCCGCCGAGATATGCGGTACGAGTAAATATGCCCGCTCCCACGGACGAGGAGTTGGAGTGGCTCGAGTTCGGGCTCGCATTGCCTCGGCCCGAGGGGAGCGCGCCTGGCGATCCACCTAACGTCGAGATTGCTAGCGCGAGCATTGAGGGCGTCCCTGTGCGCGTCTCGAGGAGGGCGGTCGTCAAGCCCGAGGGGAACGGCAACGCCGTGCCGTTTGGAGAGGCGAGCGCGAAGGAGTGGATTACGTGGGTGAAGGTTCATGTCGGAGATGCTGGCGGCAGGACGGTCGACATAGTCTATCTCGTCGACGGCGGAGAGGCTGTTGCCGGCGAGAAGCCGCAAAGCAAGATTCAGCCGACGAGTCCAGAGCCAGTCATTCTCAACGCTATGCTCCCGAGTTTTTCCCTGCCCGTGGGTGAACTTGACGTCAATGTCCCAGCGCAGAAAGGTATGCGGAGGACATCATTGATTCGTCCATGAGTTCAGCTCACAGTTAGCCTGCAGGTTTCAACGTCACGTCATGCGAAACGAACCTCAGCCATGAGCAACTGACAGAACAGGGACGCAAGCTCTCTCACTACTCCATGGGGGAATATTTTTATCCGAAACTTGTTCTCACATTCCTACCTTCTACGCCCGAGGTCGCTCAAGTGCAGCACAGCCAGTCGTGGTGGAGCTGGACTCAGCTTTTAACAGTGCTGCTTGCTGTCGTCACCGCCCTCCTTGCCATCAACCTTCGACAGACGCAGTTACAGCTCTCCGATGCCCTTCGATCTGGGAGTATACACGATCAAGATCACGCCGCCGGTTTCAAGGAAATGCCCCACATCCCCGACGCCGTCGAGACCATCACAATCACGGCGACCACGACCGTTGTTGCGTCCCCATCGAAGGAGAGTCCTACGCGGTGGTACTACCCGCATGCAGGCTCGCCTCAGGAGTTGGAGAACGACGGTCAAACTCGCGTTGCTGAGGCGTCGTCTCTCCCATCTATGCCCTCATCCGATGCTCCAATCCCCGCAACTCCGCAGATCCCAACACTAACGCCGACGCCCGTGCCCTCGCCGTTAGACGAGGGTGCGCTCGTCCCGCTCCATTACTTCCTCAACCCCCTCTCGATCCGCCTTGAGCTGCCGAAGATCGATTTTTCTCAGTTCCAGCTGCCCGATAGCGCGAACGCGACGCTGCACCAGGTGTTACAGTCGCTCGGCACAGTGTACCAACTCTTCAGAAAAGTATTGCATTATCCGCTCGACCCGCCATGATACGCTTATACGATATATTCGCTGGATGTCTCTCCCATTCATGACTATCTCACATATATTCCGTCCCTTCTGCAGTGCCGTTCACTAACATCACATGGATATGTACTGACGGTGCCCTCTCATGTCTTGTATGAAATTATTGCTCTTGTTATTGTAGTTACATGTAGAGTTACGATACCATAATGATTCGGGACGAAACAGTCGTTTCAAGCAGTAACCAGCTCACGCCGACTAATGTACACGATGGATCTTGCCAAACAAACATGATATCACCGATCATGACTTTCGGCACAGGGAGCCCTCAGCACTGCAAGTATGACCGGAACTAGTGTTGTAACGTTACTCAAGATGGAGCAGCTCCTATGCGGATTTGCAACGCGGATACCCGGATGCTGAAGCCTTGTTGTACACGTCCTAAGACATATAGTATCACACTCATTACAGAGGTGTCTTGAGATAGAATGATATCGTTCTCGGAGCCGCTCCTTTTACACGACTGCGTAATGGTCAGTCAGAATCAGCCACAGGCTATGTCGCCTTTGCTCAACCAACGAGCATACTAGATAGCTTGAATAGCAATGATCAGATCGAGAATGCATTACGGACACGCGGTCTTTCGCTCCCTCATTGATACAATCTCCAAAGTCTGCATGGTGTCAACCTCACTAGCACTTATCTGTTACATCCGTGCGCGTCCGAAAGAACAATAGGATCACTGGAGACATGACCACTTTATTGATGGGATATTAATGTACGGTAGTTGCTGCTTTGTCAACTACTTAGCTTTATTCATCTTGGACAAAATCACTCGCTTGTTCTGGTATTGTGAACACGTTAGCTTCACGATTACCTACTCGGAGATTGTCAGCAATCGGCCACCGCTGACCAGCGCTGACTCGCGACCTACGAGACTGCCATGTGCGTGCAGCTTGAAGCATCCAGTCAGTGTGAACGACGAGGCATCCATGCCAGCTCGCCGAGTACGGAAACCAACACAGCATCGTGCCGCAGAATACAACCTAAACCCGGATCAAATATCTACAAAAGAACTGCGCTTATATACTGACGCGCGCCCAGTACATATAGTTTAGCAGTGAGAGAAGTACTCACAGCGTTATGCTGGTGAATTACGACGCTGTACGACACGCCAGTAGGGCGCTGACGCTTGAAACTGCACAGGACTTGGATGTGCCCAAACTGATATTCAGCTACACGCTACAAGTACAAGGAATCGGATGCCAGTCTTGGGTAGCACACAGGATACAATGATCATCTAAAACAGGTATCGTACCGTTTACCGCGCCCAGTCGCTGGTGAGAAGAAGGTCCGCGAGATATTTGGCCTCCTCACGATAATTCAAAGGCAAGATCCGCGAGATCCCGTATCGCACCCGCGTCTGGTCCTGAGATCAAGAGAAACAGGAGCATTTCAATTTGGGGGGTAGCCACTAGATAGGAGATTACACATACGTTGTACGTATCCTGTTTCGCTCTGCATGTGAAGTTGAACGTCTTGCCGATCGAGGCGTTTATGACCGTGTTATACTGAAGTTCTTCGCGATCCTGTAGGTGTCGAGGAGCGCAGGTCACAACACCAATAAAGGCTGAGCGGCTAAGACATTCTCAAGAAGCCTACGCACCTTGATCTCGACGAGTTCATCAGCGGTCATCCCGAAAACGGTTTGGCCGACATCATTGAAACCCTGAAACCACGCTTGACCGGAGTAGTCCGAGACGGCCATCGCGACCATGTACCTGTGTAGGCAATAGTTCGGGAAGGCTTCTCTAAGTGATCCGGCGCAGGCAATTTTGACTACGGCTGTAAACGTACCTGTGCTCGGGCTTCGGGAAGGACTTATCGCACTTCTCACATCTCCAGCTCTCACCCATCTGGAGAACCTTCTTTCCGCACCCAGTCGTAGGGCACGCCGGGTATGAAATGTTGTCGCTCTTGATGTGCATGATCGTGGCTCGTGCACAGAAGTTATCTGGCTTATCGAACATACCAAGCTCCGACACCTTTACGTCATTGAGGTTGCGAATCTCTGCGCGGTCAAAAGTGATTCCTCCGCCGGAGACCATCGTAACGGTGTGCGACTGGAATTGTTGGTCAGCACCGGCGGCGTCATACCAGCCGCGCAAAGCATGCGCCTCGGGAATGTCGGGATTGACATGCATGGTGCTTGAGCTCATCATAGAGAGCGAGCGACCTGTGTAAAAGATCAGGAACACAGCTTGCATGGTGTTTCGCATGACCGACCTTGGAAGTCACCGACTTTGGCTCCCTTGAATGCGATCACGGGGTGGTCGTTCTCGTCGTACTGCTCCGCTTGCTTGCCCCACAACGTCATCCTGACGGAATATCCGGAGCGGTCAACGATGGTGAGTTCCCTTTTCGGGATCTGCCATCCCAACAATGTTAGACAATTGTATGACAGGTGTCAATATGAGTAGTTGCACGTACCACCTTGCTTGTCGCTTTCGAAGTGATGGAAGACAATTCTGACACATCCTTGACGACCCCGATCACATCTGTATTCGACAGATGTTTGTATTCCGTGAAGGAGGTGATGTCCCGTTAATCACTTACCGCAAGTGGAGTCCTTGGCCACATCTTGCAAGCTGCTTATGTTGATGAAGTTGAACTTGACGGTAGGGACGTCGGTGGCATCGTGACACTAGAAGATGTATGTTATGCACAGCAGAGATAGACACGCCTATGAATGCACACCTCTTCCACTTCAGTACTGCGCTCAAATGTGAGCTCGTACTCATTGTTGACGTTGGAGAACTTCTTCTTTGCAAGGTTGACCTTCGCCTTGGAAATCAGGTAGACCTTGCCGTCTTGCAGACGGTCATACAATTCGTCTACCGCAGCATTGAACGCTGTGGCCCTAATTTCGCCGCTCTCGTCCATCAAAGTCACGCTGAACAGCTTGCCCTCGCCCCTTTGGTTCGACCATGTACGGATGTCCGACTTGTTTGTGACACGTGCCTTGATCGTCCAGTGAGTCTGGTATGGGCTAAGACTCTCAATGGGATAGACAGCAGCAGCCCGTCCACCGCGGCCGGCCTGTGTTTGCTGACGCGCGGGAACAGCGGCTGCGGCAGGCGTGGTGGAAGTGGACGGGCCAGGGGTTACGGGTGCACTTGCGGGAGCTCCATCTTCACCGCGAGGCTGCAGTGCCTTTGGAGAGCCTATTTTCTCCGCATGCTTGACCAGTACTTTGAGAGCGAGGATGATCAAAAGTCTCAGGGCCAAGACGCGTCAAAGACGCGGCCAAAGCTGGACACGGACGAGGAACTCACCGCTTCCCTTGAACCAGGTTCACCGAGAACTTTTCGATCGTCGCAATGGTCCCCTTCGCAATTTGATCTTCCTCCACAATGTAGTTCATCTGCGTCGCGAGCATCGACTGGAGGAAGTGCTCCCCATCGGACACGATCACGCGGTAGCGGTCTTGAGTGGGACCGCTGGTGGGAGGAATCTTCTTGAAGGAAAGGAGCTGCACGGTGGGTTGTATGTTGAAGAGTTGGTCATCCTCTCTGACGTTGTCGTTGATGCGGGTGCAGATGCCGGCAGTGAGCTGTGGAAGGTCAGACATAGTGGTTGAGGGAGAAGAGACGCGTCGAGCTCCTCCGACGCGCATCGCTTATGTGGACGCGTTCATTACGTAAGCTAATCGCCACCTCGAGGCAACCGCGCCTTCTCTGTGATCCATTTTCACCTCATACCTCTTCTGTTGCTACATAGCTTCCTCTGAAGTCCGCCCGGATCCTGCATTGGTGATATATTAGTCACTTCTTGTGGATTGTACCGGGGAACACGTCTAATATTGGGTCCAACGGGGATTCGTACGCTACACTGAGGCCATCTAAAAAAAACTACAAGTCTAGGCTGCCAAGAACAAAACCGGATACAACTATTAGGAGGGTTACAGTAAACATTCACGAGTAAATATTCACGCCAATACAATACTATTCTAGGGAATGTTCTGATCTATACGTCTTCTATTCAGTTCATATGTTTTCGCCAACCCAAGTCTACTGGTCATGGAGCATCGTACGCTTGGTCGCGTCACGGCCCGCCTTGAGGAGAGCGGAAACAGGGTTACCACCAGTCCCCTTGGACCGTCCCTCTCTCGTCACCGCGACGTCCGGCGCGCCCATCCACTCAGGAGGCTGCGACCTCGCCTGGGAGACGATGAAGAGCGTTCCGGTGATGATGTGCGTATCCCTGAACTTCTTGAGGGCATCCACTGCCGCGTTGTAGGGCGCGCGAAGCGCAGGAGTCCGCTGACATACGTCCCGCACCTGACGCTTCTGTACCTCTGCCAAGTACTCGCGGTGCTCAGCGGGCATGTACAGGCGCATCTTCGCCATGAAGTTCGAGCTTGCCGTCCGTTTGTTATCCTCGGATGGCGCAGGCTGGCGGGCGTGCTTCAGCGCGTGGTCGACGTCAAGGAACGCGTCTAGAGCATGCATGACTGAGCTCTGACCGGCAGAAGCACCGCTCAGATGGGGCGTGCTGTTGGGCGGGACGCCCTCGAAGACCCAGGGAGAGGCATCCCCCGAGCCGTTCCACCAGGGACGAACAACCCAGTAGAAGGTGTGGGGATGGACAGTCTTTGGGGCCTCCTTCAGAGTGGCGGCCAGGTCATCAATGACCCTGACAAGCTGCTCGAAGTCACGGATGATAGACGCGACGGCATTGCGATCCAGGTGACAGGCCATGTTCACCACACGTTCGATGATCTGCAGCATCTCCACCCCCTTCAACTCGGCCGCTGCAGAGAGCAGGTAGAAGTTCTCTTCCGTCTCGTTTCCAGAGAATACGTTGATGTAACGCATGTTGTCCAGCGATAGCGGCTTGTCCGGGTTCTTGAATTCCCAGTTCCAGAGGACAGTGTCTGCAAAGGTGAGGACGGGCGGGAGACTGATCCTCTTCGACACCTCGCAGAGGGGGACGGCGAGAGGCCTCGGGATGATGGTCTGACCTTGGGTCTGTATGGTGGGGAGCGAGTGAACGTAGAAGTGCAGAATGCAGGTCAGCACGTAGTGTGCACGTCGCAGAGTCCAGATGTTGCTGCCGAGGGTTTTCACGTCAAGGAGCGGCCACTACATAACATTGTGAGTGCCCTGATAACATTCCATCTATGACGTGACTCTAGACGCTTACATTCCTCACGCGGTGTCGCCACTGTTCGGCCTGCGCAGCCTTCGCGATCGCCTCTTCTCCTCTATCAGCTGCCAACTTGAGGACGCTCCGTGCTTGTACAAGGGTCCGCTCCCACAGCGCAAAGTCTCCTTCGAGTTCCCGAAGCGGGCGTCGCGGGAAGAAGCCCGTCTCGGGGTCGACATCGTAGGCGTCGCCGTTGAACGTCTGAGGGACAGCGGACTCCGTAAGGCTGGTGCGCAATGTGTTCAGGTCCATGCTGTCGAGTAGGCGGTTGACCATGTGCACAGGGGAGTTGACGTTCATGACTGGAATGTTATGCGAATGAATAAGGTTGGTCGAATGTGACGTGTGTGAGTGTGGAAGGAATGGGACGTGCTGTTGAATGGCTCTCTATCCTGACATCTACCGCTTATATATGTATACATAGGCGTACGCAGGTCCCAACGAATGTTTGCCTTGGCTTGCTGGTTGTCTCACGCCCTACCAGGAGAGAACCAACGCGTCCCTTCCTCTAGGGGCGTTCCGACTCGCTCAACAACGGATCGTCCTTACACCGCAGATGGGAACAAACTACAGCCTTTGGAACTGTGGTTGTCTGCAAACCTACCAGCGCCCATGCAGGTCACAGCGTGTTCCGTAGACCGCTCGCCAGAAAGATCAGGCGCGCAAAGGGGAACAGCCGAAGTCTTTGTTGGTTCGCCACAGCGTTTGTGCCGTCCGGTTGTCACCTCACAGCCGATTACCCTTGTTGGCGCGGTTAACTAACCATCGTGGTGAGAACACAGATACGCATTTTGACCTAATCATCCCATTTCCGGGAGTGATGTTTTAGATCTGTAACGACGCCTTACGCTGAAGCACAATCACAAATGTATGCATATCCCTTTTGCCCTCCCTCCCCTCATTCCGCTCATATGACTCGTGGCTATCATTCTTCTTTGTCAAATACACCATTGACGTATCATATGGACAAGAGTCACACTGTGCGGCATACATCAACGCCCTCAGATAGGCGGATTCAGTTATAGTGACGCTTCAGGCCACTGACACATAATAGTGGGCCTCCTAACCGCGTCGTAGACTCGAGATCTCGCATGCAAGCTGTGCCATCTTGCGGACCAGAGCGGACACAGCAGCCCTATAGCCCGGCAGTGCGTCGAGCGCCACTCGACTATTCCAACCATACCACTCTTCATCAATTGAGATCGGGCGCGCTCTTGCCCCTTCCCACTAGTTGGGAGGTGCGACCGGAGGTCTTGCCCGGACGAAGCATTGCGGTATATCCAGTCCCTCAATTATGTCGAGCGCGGTGATACGGGTGTACCGAACGGGCTTGCATCTTGCCGCTGCACGCCCGCTAATGGTGTGGGTCCTCCTGGGACTATCACTGCATGCGATGCCTAACACGGAGGCCAACGAACACATCACCGCTCCAGATCAGATCCGATTCGCACACCCGCGAGGCGTCTGTAAGCCCGTCACTAGCCGACTTCAAGAGGCGGCAGCTCGGGCTGCCGCAACGTGACGACGAGGCCGCCATTCCGACAAGTTCGCAAAGTAGGCGGGTGGGCTTGTGTGCGTCCGCAGGTGCCAGTCTGCATTACTGCGCCTTGCATAAGTCCGTGAACGCGCGGATTTTTTTCTCTCCGGCGTCTACCCTACCCGACCTGCCTAAACAGGCTACATCACGGTTACAAGCATGGCAGAGCTCCCCGCTGAGTCCGCTCGCTGGACTGGCATCGGCATTCCCAACTTGAAGCTTGAAGGGTGAGCATGCAATGAATCCAGTAGACTCGGCCATACTCGGAGTCATCCAGTTTTTATGGTGCGCGGAGATAGCTTGCATGAGGGGCAGCATAGTCACTGCATGAGAAGTGAATTGGGCCCTTTCCAATTAATACATGACTTGTGACATTGTGTGCGGTCAGATTCGAGTTGCTCCTAGTACCTGAGCGCTGTATGTGCATATCGTTGATGAGATACGTCGAGGATGTGTCACAAGGCATGTCGAAGCCTCTGCACTGACTCAGGCATGTCAACTGCACCTTGACTATGGTACCTCCCGTTCAAATCAGTGTACAGGATCCCCAGGGAGGACCAAAAGGGGCTGAAATACAGACATGAAAGTACCCAGGCACCCATATCCATACCTCATCTACCTGGGTACGCGTGTGGTCAACCAACGCCCCTTCAGTGAGGCCGTGACGCCCTGTCATGGAGTAGTCCTGTAGGCTGATATGGCCTGTTTAGGCAGGTCGGGTAGTGTAGACGCCGGAGAGAAAAAAATCCGCACGTTCACGGACTTATGCAAGGCGCAGTAGACGGGTTGACCGGACGCCTCGGACTCGGAGGAGTTCAGGCGCTTGCTTGCAATACTTGTCTGGCCCAGTCCATCCCCGTGACAGTGGTAATGATATCGGTGTTGGGACCAGCGTGAACGAGGGTCGGGTGACGGCTTCTCGCCACTTCGTAAACGCGAGGAACTATCTGCGCACGCGAGGCGCAGCCGGAACACGGCGAAAGCCTGTGGTTCTCACGGAAAGAGACTCGAGGCGGCTGCGAACCAGGGCTTATGTAAGTTGAGTCTAGTCGAGCTGCCAATTCGTGATGACTTGCCGTTACGAACCACATATGTTCTTGAAACGAGTTCCGGTGAGTTGTAAGCACTTGTCCCTCTATTAGGGAGGGCAGGCGAGTTGAAGAGACTCGACCCGGCGCAACATGATTAGATCCGTACTTAGGAGAACCTTCTTGATGACACGGCCGGGGCTGATGTCTCCGACGTCATGATTTTACAGTACAAGACATACCATATGTACCATGTCCAGAGTGGTGGGGCATCCACTTCGTGTAACTGTGTAAGTACAGGTAACATCCGAGCGCAGTTTGGATAATTGACGGATGTCATACGTTTTGTGACCTCATGTAGCGCCCAGAGGCGCCGCTGAAAGTAGAGTACACCGAACAGGGTAGAACGTTGACCGTTGAACGGGCAACGTGCGGCGTTCCTTGGCATGCTGGGAAGACGTAGGCTTGAGGCATATCCTGAGATTGTTCCTCGGATCAACACCTCGTGCCTGGGGGCCGGCAATGTAAGGATAGGGAAAATATGGCATTGTGCGTCAGATACTAGTAGTGTATGTCACGGTGGGAGGGGCAGAGTAGGCGTATGATATGTGGCAAGACGGCAAAGTGTATCAATGCCTCCACTGTAACCACTTCTTGTCCGTGTGCTTGTCTTGCTCAAACACGCACTTGCGATCCACGACCTCAAGAATCTTCTCGCGCACGCCGGCCTTGCCCCCGCGCATGCGGGTAAACATCCCGAGAAGCTCGTCGAGAGTGATGGTAGTCGCACCGCTGTTGCGATGGCTGCCGTCGACCATGGAGCGAATCTCTGCCTCCGTGGGGAGGGCGAACTGCATCGGGTCTGCGAGGTCAACCGGCTTGGGCAGGTAGGATGGCGGGGCGAGGGAGGGCACGTTGCCATTCTCTGGCGAGTATTTCTTGAAGAATGTCTCCAGGATTTCGGAGTCCTGCACCTCGTGGATATGAGCGGGAGACCACTGCGGCCGTTCCTTGATTTTTTCAATAAGGACAGCAGTAACACCGGTCTTGAAGTCAGGGCTATCGCCATTCTGTATGCTGGCGGTTATCACGGAAGTAACAACGACGAGACAAAGAGCGGCATACGCAGAAAGCGGTTGCGATATTCATTTCCATCTGCAGAGCTTCCAGGAGCGTCATCTGTTTCCCGCGGCGGACGGCTGTCAGTGCCACCTTCAAGCTGGTAGGGCTGCGTAGCTCAAGCGTATCCAGGGTCTGCGCCGCCCACTGCCGCACGCTTTCGTCACTGTGACCGTTGGAGATTTGAGTGAGCTCCGCGATAATATCCTCAACGGTGTTGTGCCTGAATGCTGAGTCCAGGGCCGCACGCTTTGCGCCAACAAAGGAGGTGGAAACCTCGTCCGGTTCCCGCTCGGCGACCTCTTGTTCAATGAGGTCGTTGATGGCCCGGTAGGTAGGCTCCTCCAATGCGGCAAGACGCTCAAGCAAGGCAGGAATGCGTCTTGATGGCACATAGTGTGTGGCGAATCCATGTTCACTGCAGATCAAATGGTGAGCGTACGGCGGATCGGAGTAGGAGGGAGCTCCATACAATACCGCCCTGCCTGAAATCGTGTCACCGGTCAAGGCCAGGTAAGTTCCAATTTCACCGTCCACCCGGGACAAGAAGTAGCTTGCTCCGACGTCGGGACAGTAGCCGATTTTGGTCTCAGGCATCGCGAAAACGGTTTTCTCAGTCGCAATCCTGAATTGAGCGTTGACGGAGAGACCGACACCGCCTCCCACTGCGCACGTTGTCAATCAAGGACATCGGAGAAGCACCGGACATAGACATACTAGTGATGCCATCCATAACAGCTACGTATGGCTTTGGCACGGCAGCGAGTATGTAATCCATTTCGAACCTAGCATCCGGATATCAGTTTGAAGACAGTTATCCGGTGATGTCGCAAGACCCACTCGCGGTGGAAGAAATCTATTGCCTTCGGACGAGTCTCAGCGTCGCTCGCATACCGGACGACGGCTGGGGATGCTTATTAGTACACCGGAGACATGGATAGAAGGACGACTCACTCTCCACATCACCCCCAGCGCAGAAGGCCCTTCCGACGCCACGTCCGACTATAACTTTTGCTAGATTTCCTTGACACCATTCCTAGGAGCTCCGAATTCACGGAGGAGTCCACACAAAGACGGAGATGGTAACTCACCTCGACCTGTGGGCGCAGGATATTGAGCATGGGCTCGTTAAGCGCATTGAGCTTCTTTGGGCGATTAAGGATGTATGTCCGAACTGAGCCGCTTGATTCGAAGAGCACAGGTACCTCATCAGGGGGCTCGACTCTCGGTTTGGGGGCCGAGCTGGAGGTAGACATGAGGTGACGACTGATGGCAGCCGTACGCTGGGCTGCAGTGGCTGAAGGGCGACTCATTGTCCTCAAAAGAACATTACGCGCATACATCTGGCAGAGACCAAGACCAGAGTAGTCGGCGACCAAGGGCAAGAACGGGCGGGAGCGGGAATCCGACACGGACGGTGGAGGGAGCCTACGGACAGCTGACGGTCAGACGCGCACCACATCCGGCAACGCTCTTGGCCTGCAGGCGACCCGGCCCGGCGGCAATGCGCGTCTGCTCAACTGTCTGCTCCCCGACCCCGGCGATGGGATCGCATCCAGCTTTCGGTCCATCGTCTCCTCCTTCTTCTCCTCACACCATCATCGTCGTTCGGCCACCCTGAATATCCCGCTGATTGGGAGCGATCGCCCGCTCAATGGCGCCCGAACTCCCGGCGGTGGGTACGCGCCTTAACCATGCAGGCTCCCTGGGAACCGTCAGGTATGCGGGCGCAGTCGACGGCACACAAGGACTGTGGCTCGGAGTCGAGTGGGACGACCCCAGCCGCGGAAAACACGATGGCGTCAATGACGGAAAGCGCTATTTTACCTGTCTGTGAGAATTGTACGTTCATCCACAGCTCATGCACCATTTCCTTATGCTCCTCCTAGCGTTCCGAATAGCGGATCTTTCATTCGCCCCTCTGCTGCAATCTCGTACGGCGTGTCATTCCTATCCGCTCTCACCGCCAAATACATTGAGACACCCCATGGTGGCGCATTGTCGGAGAAGATTGTTCTAGGGTCCTCGGGCGGTGCTATCGAGGTCGAGGCTGTAGGCCTGAACAAGATCAGAAGCAAGCAAGCTCGCCTGGAACGCTTACGGGAAGTCAGCCTGGATTATGAGAACGTTTGCCGGGGCGATGCGCCCGGAGAAATACAACGAACTTGTCCAGGTATGTTTTCCGCGGACCCCCACATAATATTGTCCAGTATGGTATGCTCCTTTCCGAAAAACGGTTGGAAGAGATTGCCTCAAGGTTCAGGACGCGCTAACTGACTTCGCGTCTGATCCGTGGGCTGTCGCATAATCCTTGATGCTGCACAGGCTCGCCACCGCTCTTAGCCTCCGCAAATTGGTGGAAATTTATCCACACGTCAGATCCATCGGTGCGACGTTGTGGTTCGTCCCTAGTAGCGGCAGACATTCTCCTTGTCTTGTTCAATCAACTGGTCTCACCATCCCCGGTCTCGCCACTCATGACACATACGTCGCCTATCTGAGCATTCTGGCCCTGAATGATTTTGTCCTATTGGGGCCAAAGTTTTAATTTCACTGGCGACAATATGCTTGGTGTTGCTTGATGTATACAGGGGTCAGACGTGCTTCCGAATCTGTCGGGTCGTTGACAAGCCGCATGGCCCCCAGTTGTCCCCTCGTTACTAAGCCGTGTTTGCACCTGTATAGTGAATCGTTCTCTTCTAACCTGGGCAGATGCATTGCTATCCGTCAATGCTGTCACCACACCAGCGACAGCATCTCATCTCCCTGACATATCTATGTATTTCGCATACAACCCGTTCACCATTCCATCTGTACAGGTGTCCGCGGTCTCGACTTATCCAGGAATCTGATCTCCTCTTGGGATATTGTCGCGGAAATAACGTCCGAGCTTACCGATCTCCGGAGCCTCCGCCTGAAGTAAGCGTCGTCATAATAGTTCTGGTGGTGTACATGGCATGTTACATGGCTGCTCACCAAAAATTACAGCCAGAACCGTTTGTTGCCCCTGAGTTATCTCCGTCCTGACTCTACAGCTTTTCATAAACTCGAGGAGCTGCAACTTAGCGCTACCTTATCGACATGGAGGGAGTTTCAAGCTCTGTTGCCCTTCATGCCTGCCCTTAGGATTGGGGAGCTGGGATACAATAGACTACGACTACTATCGGGCGATCCGGGGTCTCTACCGAGTATTTCTTCTCCGGCCCTGCAAGAGGTCAATCTAGATGGAAATGAGCTCAGCAGCTTTGTTGACGTCCGCGAAGCGGTGAGCAATCTACCGGCGTACGTACCAGTACCTCCACCACCCACATCTCTCACGAATAGCACGTCTGACTCATTGACGTATCCCACAGCTTGCAGCGGCTCGTCCTCACCTCGAATCACTTTTCTCAACTCCATCCGCCGCCGCTAGAGCCTGAAGGAGACGTCACCGCTGGGACACCCGGCGGTGCACAGCCCTCTCCGCTCGGAGGGCTCAAGCATCTTGCGCTCGCATTCAACAGGCTTGCCTCGTGGCGCGACATTGACACGCTTCCGCGCTGGTGCCCGGAGCTCGAGTCACTCTCGCTTGCGGGGAACCCCCTCGTTGACGGTAAGTGTCCGAATCTGATGACATAGCTCGTTTACAACGTATTCCACATGTCTCACTATCCGTGTCGCAAAATGCCAAACTACCCTTCACCTCTGTTCTCGCGCCGACGATCGTGACTATCGTTGCTCTGAATGCGACTTGCATGCATATTTTATATGTCGGGCGATGACGTGATTCGACCGACGCAAATCGATTCTCCTCTACACACAACTGGGTTATATTCCCACTATACATTCAATCGGTGGCATTCTGGATCTGGAACCTCGCATCGCTCCAGATCCCAGTCAAGCAAGCTATGCTCGGGCGTACACCATCGCCAAGATTCCATCGCTCAAGGTGCTTGATGGTGCCGCAGTGAGTCATCTATTCCTCCTGCTATGCACATGAATTGTCCTTGTCCGCCCTATTCCTGCCATTACTGTTCTCGACATCACTCCTTCTGTCTTCAATACTGCTCCGGTTGCTGGGCCCATCTGGCGAGGTACTACGCACTAGCGTACAGTCACTAGTCGTTCGACCTGTCCTTTAACGACCAGGCTCTGTATTTCAAATCGTCAATGTGGCGTACGCAGTGCTCGCTGACCGCATCGATATCCATAACAGATCTCCCCTCGCGAGCGCACGGACTGCGAACTCCTCTACCTCTCCCATATTGGGAAGCAGACCTTCACATCTGACGAGGAGAAGAGGGCCGCCCATCCGCAATGGGAGGTGCTGTCAATCAGTGCGTTCATCTCGATCGTTACAACCTAGAGCACCGCTGACCGTTTTGCTCATCCGCTCCAACACTCTCCGTGATACTATGCACGTCTGTCCGTCTGCTACATTGTATTCCCTTGCGTCGCCAATACACCGATGGCCCCCGCGCTTCTAATGTCCTTGTACTTTGTTCGCTTCGCCGGCGATATTGTTTCTGATTCTCACGTTCCAACCACACTCCACGACTGCCACCATCGTTCACACCCCCAACGCACTCCCGAACGCCTAACACCGAATCGTAGAACACGGTGTGGCGGATTCCCCAGTTGCGGTGGTAACCTCGGACACGCTCAGCAGTCGCCTCATCAGTAAGAGATCTCTCTCTTTATTCCTTTCCCTCTCCCCCGTCCTCGGGGGACGCGGTCAGATCGTTACTGACATCAAATGCTTCGCCTTCCTCTCGCCAACCTTCCCTGATTGTCTCAGGTATTCGGACCTATTACTGCTCTACCGTGCCCCCGCAATCGCTAGCGGCAGACGAATTGGCCGCCTACTTAGACCGCCGCAAGGCCGAGCTGACGCTTCGCGTGCTTTCGAGCATATCTGTTAGGACTCTCCGCCTGAAACTCATGAAGAGTTTCAAGATTCCCAAGGCGCAGCACGCTGCTGTTCGGTTATGGATGGTGATGCCCGACGGGCATTTCGTGGAGCTTGACGCAGAGTACGCTGAACGGGACCTCGCGTATTGGGGGGTGGACGAAGACACGCAGTTTGTACTCGTAGACGAATGAACAATGTATTCTTTCCTGGTCTAACACGTACAGGAACTCAACATATACAGGGACTAGAATATGCAGGTCGCTGCAAAAGAAGTCTCTCACGTACCTGTTGCCGCCGATGCCTCCTGTTGTCATCCCGACATGTCATGTCGCGATGTCGATTATTGTGATATCCACGGACGGAGCAAGGATTTTCGCCGGATCCCGACAAGAGAAGAAGCCATTCGCACGAGTAAGCGCGCCCATGCACGCCCACAAAGCTGCCGCGACGTCCTGGCCCATTATTGAACGACAACCAGCCAGCCCCGCGAGCGTCTCGACGAGGAACTCCGACAACCGACAGGAGACCAGCGCAGATAAAACGGTCCTTGTTTTGCCCGCTATATCGGCACACATCCGACGATACCTTGAATCAGGTCCATCCGTCTTGAGGCCAACGAGTAGCGTGCAGCCAGTATCCAGCAGTGGAAGGTCCTCGGATACAAGGAGATAAACGGAACTCGGCGCCAACTCCTGCGGTGGGCCTGGACGCGCCGGCGGAGAGAATGTGGAGGTTACAAGACGGCGGGATATCCTTCGAGCTCGAGATACACGACCACTCCTTTTCCATACAGCAGAAACCTATTCAACCGAAGCGAGGGAAGTCCAGAACGCCTTTTCGGAACCCCGGGTCCACAACGCCAACGGATTTCAATCCGGAAAACCATGGCCTAATCCTCAGCGTGCCCATGTGTTATCCCCGTTAGCGTGCCTCGGCGGCCTATCATCGACACGATCGTCCCTCTCGTCCCGACGGCGATCGTCCCTGCGTCTGTCAACATCGTCCCTGCGGCGGTCATAGTAAGGATCAGGGCCTCTTCGGTCATCATAGCCACCTCGCCGATCATCGTACCCTGCAGGCCTTCTATCATCATCCCTCTTAGGAGGTGGAGACCTGACGGGGCGACGATCATCGACTTCAGTGCGGCGAGGAGGCGACCTGGAGCGTTCCCTGCGGTAGCCGCGGTCGTCCCTGTGACGATCTTCGCGGTGCCTGTCATCTCTGTAGCGGTCGTCGCGGTACCGGTCGTCGCGGGAATACCGATCATCGCGAGCGTGACGATCATCACGGCGGTCATCACGACGATAGTCATCAGCCCCACCACGCTATAGATGTTTGTTAGGATTGGTGGAGAAACGATACAAGCGACTGCTTACCTCACGGTCCAAGGCAACACGAACGGGCTGCCCACGGAGGTCACGGCCGTCAAGCTCCTTAACGGCACGCTCGGCATCCTCACGCGACAGATATTCCAAGATACTGCAAAGACGTAAGGATATGCCGATGTAGATGGTACGGAATGCGACGACTCACCCTTCGCCTGGAGCATCGCGATCTATGTCAGCGTAGGAAACGCTACCGGCTTCGCGTCCGAAATCTTTCAAGTCCTGGGTTGAGATGCGATAGTCAGGGCCGGAGTCCAAGCATACTTAGTGGCGGAGTAGGAGATAGGCCATCCAGGAACCATCGTAGGCAATAGCTAATTCTGCAAAAAGAAATTGGTCGAAGATGAGACACGTACCTGCCAGCTGGTGTCGCGGGAGATGCCCGATACGATCAGGCGGAACCCAGGAGGCCGTCTGGCGCGGGAAGCACGCTCAGCTTCGTACGGGTCGCGGCGAGGACGTGTCTCCTTAGCGAACTCCACGACGATACTACTGAGTGCGTTAGCACGGGCAACCTGGAGCGCTACGTGGGAAAAGCAGCATACTTGGCGCCCATGAAGCTCTTGCCATTGAAGTGCTGAAGAGCATCCTCGGCGTCACGGGAGCTTTCAAACTCGACGAAACCGAAACCTACGAGACGGTATGAGTATGAAGCAAGAGCAGGAAGGCAGCACGGTGACGAACCCGTCATGACGCGACAGTCAACGATACGACCGTAGCCGTCAAAAAATTTTGAGACGTCCTCTGAGCGAGCATCTGGGGGCAGCTCTGTAAGGTAACAACGATGATTAGTTTGGTGTGCTATCAAGTGAGCAGCGAAGAGGACGCACTTCCAAGGTAGAGACGACGGGCCATTGCGGAGTGGGGAGAGGGAAAGATGGAGATGGGGAGAGACACAGGCTGCGGCGAAGATTCAACTCATCCTGTGACTGGTCCGTGCGCGGGACAGCCAACCAGATCCGCTCTTCCTCATATGGTGCTAGTTGGAGCGCCCATGGGGTCACAGCTGGGGCGTAGCCTGGTGGAGGACTGGCTGCGACCAATCACAGGGGAGAGCCGAGAAGACTAGTTCCTAACCTTCGGCATATCTCCGACTCCCGTGACGGATGCGGCCGCTGACAGAGGAGTCTTGGGTCGTTCATAAGTCACTTATCAGATAACTTGTGCCTCTTGCTCGTCGTCCACCATGTTGTCTCGGCTTTCGACAAAGTCCGGAAAGGCCCTCTGCCGTTCAGCCCTCCGCTCCTCATTCGCCAGAGTCGCGGTCAAAGATGAACGCAGGTCGTTCGTTCAGCCCTCCGGGGCGGATCGGGCTAGCGTAGTCGATGTCCCCTCGGCTTACCAGGAGGATACGGCGTTTGCGCCTCGAGTCGGTGAGCGACCGTCGCTCAACATTGCAGTAAGAGAGAGGGTTTCACAGTATGCTTGCAGACATGTTTGGCTTCAAGCTTGAGGCAACCCGCCGCGAAGGTGGTGCTCAGGAGCAAGCTCGTCCAATCTATCTAGACATGCAGGTAAGTCGCCATGGGTTGGCACTCGCACGGTTCTCTGATAGCAGTTCTCAAGGCCACCACGCCTGTCGATCCACGAGTATTGGATGCCATGCTGCCATATCTCACCGACCAGTTTGGCAACCCACATAGTCGTACACATGCATACGGTTGGGAGGCGGAAAAAGCAGTTGAGGATGCACGCAAGGTGTGTTCAGTAGCCCCTAGCATCAGTCTTGCTGACATCGACGCTTGTGGTCAAGCACATCGCCGACCTCATTGGTGCCGATCCCAAAGACATTGTCTTCACCTCTGGCGCCACGGAAACCAACAACATGGCAATCAAGGGTGTTGCTCGTTTCCACAAAGACAGGAAAAAGCACATCATCACGACCCAAACAGTATGTCTGTCTGTCTCACACATAATTATTCCATTCTCATGTGTGCTTCAGGAGCACAAGTGCGTGCTTGACTCCTGCCGCAAGTTGCAGGAGGAAGGTTTCGATGTGACATATCTCCCCGTCCAGACGAACGGAGTAATCCGTCTCGAAGAGCTTGAAGCCGCAATACGCCCTGACACCTCTCTTGTTTCTATCATGACCGTCAACAACGAAACCGGAGTCATCCAGCCAGTCAAGGAGATTGGCGAGATCTGTCGCAAGCACCGAGGCGTCTACTTCCACACCGATGCAGCACAGGCTGCTGGCAAGATCCCCGTAGATGTGAATGAGTGGAACGTCGACCTCATGAGTATCTCGGGGCACAAAATATATGGCCCTAAGGGAGTCGGTGCTGCGTACGTGCGGCGGCGACCCCGCGTCAGATTGGAGCCCATCCTCAGCGGAGGTGGTCAGGAGCGTGGTCTGCGGAGCGGGACTCTTCCTGCGGCGTTGGCGGTTGGCATGGGAGAGGCAGCGAGGATCGCGAAGCAGGAGATGCCCGTAAGTTCACTTCTGTTCGAGCCGCCTTGATGATATCATGCCACGCAAACCATACAACTATTTGTCGGGAGCATCGTGGCGCGTAGCTCGTCTACGAGCAGAACGACCAGCCTTGCAATGACACTGCGTGCAGGGGTACTGAGCACTGCAGTCTGTACAGTTTGCGGTAACATGAATCATTTGCTGACTTTCTTTGTTACAGCGGGATCGCGCTCGCGTGAAGCAGCTTTCCGACCGTCTCATCAACAACATCAACTCGCGTGTCGAGCACGTCGTCCGTAATGGCGACCCCAATGGATACCCCGGATGTGTCAACCTCAGCTTCGCCTACGTCGAGGGTGAGAGTTTACTTATGGCGCTTAAAGTAAGCCCACATCCCATGGTACAGCATCCTTGCGCATATACTGACTTCTTTCCGCTATCAGGACGTCGCGCTCTCGTCGGGCAGCGCGTGCACATCCGCATCGCTTGAACCATCGTACGTTTTGCGCGCGCTTGGAGCCGCGGAGGACATGGCGCACTCGTCACTCCGCTTTGGCATAGGCCGCTTTACCACCGAGGCCGAGATCGATTACGTCGCGGACAAAATAGTCGCCGTCGTCGAGCGGCTGCGCGAAATGAGGTAGGTTCCGCGTCCTCCCACGTTCTGCTTCCACATGAGCGTACGTGCTGACCACATGTTCTCTTTCGCAGTCCCTTGTGGGAGATGGTCCAGGAGGGCATCGATATCAACTCCATTGACTGGTCTCAACACTAAAACGGCTCGACTTTGTAAATGGAATCGTCACCTCCCTCGACTCCCATGGCATCCGACAGAGCGCACTTTCTCGGATAGTGCCGGACGTCCTACGTGAATGCATCATCTTGCTCTCTAATGCCACGGGGTTTACGTTTGTGCCCGCGTTTGCCACGAGTTCCTCTTGAACAGTCCTATCCACCTATATTCCATTCGTACCATTCGTAGCATACGTTCGCCTGGATGATCAGAATTGCCCGTGTATTATGTGCACCTCCTGCGGAATCCAGTAATGCCATGCCCAGTTTCTCCAGGCATACATGACGACATTTTCTTGATTGTGTTCTGTAGTGATTCAATCTATCTCCGTGTCTCTTCCGCGAGCTGCCGGTGATCTTGAGAACATCACTTGTGCTACCCTGGTCCAATGTCGCCCGCACTTCGTATTGAACACCATCCCGTTGGATGTTATTTCCGTCTGACACCTGCGCGTGACCCTTTCCCTGACTGTGGGACTCAAGTGCACGAACAGGTCACCTCTGGTAGAATATCCCTGAGACCATTCGCATGCTTACTGTCATGAGAGCGGAAGAAGACCATAGATTTTGAGAGGTACACTACACATAGATACAACAGATGCGACCATCGATACACTCAGAAGGCACGTTTTACAGCGGGGGGTTCGCCTGGGAGACGAGGGTCTCGAAGTATGTCTGGAACCAGGTACCAGCCTCGGGCGCGGGCTGCGTGGCGTCGGAGAGCGAGCACGTCGAGTCGTAGCGCGGCGACGAGGAGTTCGAGGTACCGTCTGACTCGCCTCCGGGCTTGACGAAGACGATCGCGTCGATGTACGAGTTGCCGGTGTCCGTCGTCGGACGCGTGCCGAAGCCGGCGCCCTTGATGTTGCACCAGTCGCCCCATTGCTGACGCAGGTTCTGCTGGCCGGCGCGGCCCTGGTCGACGATGAACTGCGCGGGGAAGCCGGCGGACGCGAGCATCGGCGCGAGCGCGTTGATGTAGTGCGACTCGTCGTAATTCGGGTTGCCCTGGGTGATCGGGTCGGGCGAGGCCGCGGTGAGCGCGTTGTAGTTGGCAACGTTGGTCGCGAGGCCCCGGACGAACGGAGAGCTGTTGGCGGACTGGTACATCTGCGTGAAGAGCGTCGCCGCGGGCTGGATGTTCGCGGGCCAGCCCAGCCAGCCAGCGTGGCCGGCGTCCATGTACTGGTAAACGCCGACGGACGAGAGCTGCTGCAGAGCGTAGGTGACGCATGCCTTGTAGGTGGACTCGGCGTTGGCGCACTTTTGCACGTTCAGGTTCGTGACGAGGTTCGCAAGCGAGTCGGGCTCGATGACCGCGACGACGCGCACGTCGGGGTACTGCTTGATCTGCGCAACAATCTGGTCGATGTAGTCGTAGTAGTTCTGCTCGCCGTTGTCGGCGATGCTGAACTCGCCATTGGATGCCTTCGCAGCGCAGTCACGGTCGGGGAGGTCATAGACGACAATCTGGACGAGCTGCTTCTGGCCAGTGCTGTTCTGGATCGATGACGCATCTGCGAGGTAGGTACCGAGGTCGGGGACCTTCGCAACCTGGTCGAGCCAAGTGAAAGTCGGGATGTTCGCAACACTCGCGGCCTTGGCAGCCAAGGTCGCATCAGTGATGTTAGCGGCAGCCGCCTGCACCTCAGCAGCGTAGTAGGGGCTCAGGTAGGGCTATGTCAGGTTCGCTGCTCAGACTCTCGTGAACAGCAAATCTATGCCTTGGTGTACATACCGTGTAGCCAACGAATGGGTTGCCTGCAGCCGGGGTGGTCGAAGGAGCAGAGCCGCCGCTCGAGGTCGATGTAGGTCTTGTCGTGGACGAAACAGTGCTGGAGGGCGCGGACGTCGTGCCGGGGGCACTGGAGCCAGGACTAAAAGCCAGACAGTCAACATCCCAGTGTTGCTCAGGCAGGCATAACAACACCTACATGCACTGCGAGTAGTAGTCATTCAGCTCAGTGCAAACCGAGCCAGATGCGCAGGTCGTAGCACCAGCTGCGGAAGGAGAACGGTGGGTCAGCCCGCGTCTTGACTTAGTAGGTATAAAGTATACTCACTCCAGCCAATACCACCGCACTGTCCCCAGACGGGAGACTGGGCGTAGGAAACGGCGGGGAGAACCGTGAGGAGGGCGCAGAGTGTCGCAAACTTGGACATCTTGGTTGACCGGGGTTGAGAGGGTCTGTGATCCTGGTGTCTACTTCTGTCGACAGGATGTTATATAGCTGGTATCCGACCTCGGAACGAGCATCATACGGAACACTCAGAATATCCGGCGAACAACCGAGGAGAGGGTGCGGAAAGACGTCGGGGCAGCTCAGTGGTCGACGTGGACGGGGTCGGGAACAGGTCATGGGACTCGCTATTCCCCCGCTCCGATCCATCAAAGCGAGTACAAGCGACCAGTTGCCTGGTACGACGACCGTAACACAAGGTCGGCACATGTTCGGAGGAGGTCCTTGGCGAAGACGACGGGAGGACCACAAGCTCTGTTTTTCCGCCAGACGCGAGGAAGCTCTGTAGCAATGGTGGGACGGAGTGGAGATCGAGCAAAGACAGATGCCTATGGCATGCGTCGTTCGGATCGAGTTCGCGACGTCCACGGGAGTATTGACGAGAGTTCGAGTAATTGGTACCTTTCAGGTGAGGTAGCTGATGGTGACCAGAAACAACGAGCGCCAGGGTGCCCCATCTCCGCCAACCGCGCGGATGAGCTTGACTGACCGCTCAAGTAGAGCGACCCATGGGCCGGCTACGAGTGTGATAGGCAGGTGATTACTGACGGGTCTTCCGCATCATCCACGGCGGAGCACTCTCTAGTACAAGTGCTTGGCCGCGTGGGCTGCACAAGCAAGAGCCGGAAATAACAAGCGAACCCGTGCCCCAAGTAGGAACCTTGTGATCTTCGCGGTACTTGACTTCTTTCACACCGACATCACTGACTTTCGGTGCCTATTGGAAGGGCGTAGTTGACTTATCATATAGATCTCCCGACTTCATCTTCCGTGACATGTGCGACGACGGCGATTTCGCTTGGTTGATGAAATTGACACATATTTGCTGCTTGTTCATCTCTGGACAAGCACTTGTGCTACCGATGCCATAGTGTAGAGAGCAATTGCTCGCGGCAGTGAATATAAGTATTTGCAGGTTGGAAGTGCGAGTTCGGATAAATCTGAGCACAAGCAGGAAGCTGCGAGAAATGGAAGACCAAGTGCCGGAGAACCCCTGGGTTGTACGGTCTGGGTATAGCTCGAGGAACGTGGGTCGCAGCGCGAGCGGTAGGCTATCACCGAAACCCGGAGATGCCCCTTAAGGTCGGTGAACAGCGTTGCAGCGTCGAATGTTCAAGTCGTGCATGGACAAGGTCACGATGATCTTCCGGTATTGTAGCCTATTATGTAGAGTGCATCCCGCGATGCGGTGACGCCGTCAGTCCAATGAAGCCCGACAACTGGAGAAGATCGCGTCAACGATCTAGAAGAATCCGCGGAGGACAATCGGAAAGAAAACCCAAGCAAGCGCGATGTGTAATGTACATGATGCAGAGGACAAGGTTACCGCTTCCTTGGCGCACTAGGAGGCGGGGGAAGAAGCGCAGGGATACCACCACTGCCAGATGAGAGCCCTGAGCCACCAAGGCCATCGCCTAGGAGGTTCAGTCCCGAAGTATTGTCATTGGATGGCTTGTTTGCCTTGCCGGGGATGGAGATCGAGAACGTCTGGCCTTCTTTCAGGGTGTAGTCCTTCTTCGGACCGGCGGGTACATGAGGAGAAGGCTGGTTGGCTGGAGATTCAGCAGGGTTCTTCAACGCTCGCCACCGTCTAGGAAGCACAGAATAAGTCGGTAGGTGTTCCGGGCCTTGCGCAGTGTCGCGACTTACTTAGTGTAGTCCTGCAGCGCCACATCTGCAACAAGTTTCAGTCATCACAGGACAATTGAAGACGTCTAAAGACGTACTGAAGTCAAAGCTGTCTGATCGCTCCAGGAAACCCATCCCGATGTATGCTCTCCGACCGTTGTCCTCTACTCGTACGACAAAGTATCGCGAAGAGTCAAGGACAGCCTCTACGCATGGCTTGGCTGGGTCATAGTCAGCCTTAGCGAAGACTATAAGACCACGTCAGATCTTGGAGTGGGTGCAGACTCTAGTGAACCTACGTTCACCTAGGAGCAGCGCAAGTCAACTTTCAGAGAATATACAATGATGTTCACAGTGCACTCACCGGTAGTCGCATCTTCAAACTGCAAAGCCACGCCCGAATTGCGCTCAACGATACGAATCCGGCCCTTCCATAACGGCTGCGCCAAATCACCCCATTCCTGCGCTCGATGCCCTTCGTTGGCCTTCAGAGGCGGGATCTTGTACACTACACCGTACGCGTGATGAGTGGGATCGCAGCTACTAGACGACGCCGGGCTGACCTGAGACTTCACGACCAATGTAGAGGATGCTCTCGATCTCATCTTCCTTGAACTCGTCCATGGTGTGCAAATGCGTGACGGGGTCACTGGGGGACGATTTGCAACGTAGAGTCGGCGTTCAGAACAGCCTTTGCCGCACTGGTCCGCGGGAGGCGCGCAATCATGAAGGCGCCCATTTAAGTCGGCACGTGGACACTATATGTGCATTGGCGTCTATACATACGTCGTCCTTGCTTGCTCTTCCCGCCTCCATATAGTTCTTTGCGTGTGCATTTTCCCCCAATTCACCTGTGGGAGACTTACAGATGACCGGACCACCTACTCCCCCGCCATCTAGCGCGACTGAGATTCAGGATGCGGCTCGCACGACAATGATCCCGCCACAAGCAGCGGCAGCTGCACCCGATCCTGTGGCACCCGTTGCCCAGCCCGCACCTGAGCCAGTACAAGCTCCCGCCGACGTCGTGGCTACTAACAAGACCTCATATGAGCTACTGTTTCCGAGCATTGTAACGCTGGCACGGAATGGAGACCTTCGGGATCTGATTGGGCTAGCGGAACACGGAGATCTGACCGTATGTGTTTATTCAACGATGCCATGCGTGCCCCATCTTCAGCTTATATCAAATGCATAGGGCGGAGATGATGCAGATCATACGCGACTGTTTTTGGTTGTGCCTTTGGTGCTCGCATACATGATCAGGGACGAGCTGTATGTTATGCCTTCAACTCAGTTCGTACCCGAATTCACGCCAATGCTCAATTGACTCGGTCGATAGTACTCCCGCACGTTACGCGCTCATCAGACTTCCCAACGCGTTGTCTTCGCTCCCGATTACTCAATCGCTCTTTGGTCTCCTGGCCTCCGTTTCGGAGCGCAAATTTAGTCAGATCTATACTAGAGCTGAGGCGCTACGCAATATAGTCTCGGAACCAGGCTTCCCTAATCCAGAGCTTGGTCAAGTCCTCGCTGGGATGATCGATGCATTCGTTGGCAAGTATCCTACGCTGATAGTAAATTCTACAGTAGCTGAACCATCATGTGTAGAATCTTTCCGGAAGAAGACGTTCGCTCTACTGGCCAGGGCGTATACCTCACTTTCCCTGCCGCTCGCGCAGACATACCTGGGATATACTGCCGAACAGGTCGTGAACGGTGAGTGTTCGTTTTTTCTGCGCAAGCGTAGGTGTTGACGTTGGGGCAGTGGCTGTTCTGGCTGGATGGGACTTTCATGAGACAACGTATACCCTGACGCCACCGAAACAAGCAACCTCAAGCGCTCGCCTTGCAGTAGATTCTGGTACGTTACATTTTCGTATACCTGCTAGGAAAAAGCTGTAACTGATCGTTATGCCAGTGCCTTCATCTTTGATGGCGCTGAACCTGGTTGTGGAAAGTGTCGCAAATCTAGAAGCGTAGGAAACGGCCGCACGGCAATGAGAGGTGTATGATTCCGTCAGCGTGTATGATCTCCTGTATACTAGTGACCGTCTCGAGTTCTTGTGGTACGGACACCGTATCGAGCATGCTGCATGTACCCTTACCCCGGCATTTCGCGCTAGGCAGCTAAGTAGAGTGCTGAGATGGTTATCCGCTCCAGACGTCGGCAGGTGCCTTGCCGAAAGCAGCTAGGCGGGCCAGCAAGCGCCTTGGTATTTGTATCTGAGATCTGGGGTAACCCGATCACAAGTCGCAACCAAACCACGAGTTCAGCATCCTCAACTCGCGCACGCGGCCCTCATCGTTGCGCATCATCATCCAAACCATCTGAAGACCTCTTCGTCAGCTCATCTTGGATACTCAGAGCGACGCCTCGCATACAGTGAACCTCGTACATGTGCAACTAACTGCCAAGACGACATCGTGAACATCTGACACAGTTCAGCATGAGTTCCGAAGCCGCACGACGAGCAGAAGAAGGGCCAGTCGCATCCAACACAACAGTCACTGTGCAGGTTCGTCGTTTATGCTTGGAGAGGGGTGCCCCTGACATGATGCGGTCTCAGGTTGATCCTGCAGAAACGGACCAGAACGAGACATGGATCCATCTCCAGTTCACATGGAGCGGGAAGCCATTCGAGTTGGACATTGCAGAGTCCGACAGGTAGGCAAAGTGCCGTCGAAAACGCTTTCGGACTTGATGTGGATACTCTTCTTGCAGAGTCTTTGACTTGAAGGCGGCGCTTATGAGCCTGACGGATGTGCCACCGGAACGTCAGAAAATCCTTGGTCTCGTCAAGGGCAAGCTGCCTACTGACGATGAAAGAATGTGAGCTTACGAGCTCCCCCCTGAAATCCGCTCGGGCTGAAGTCCTGCCAGCGGTGACCTTAAGCTCTTCAGCGGCAAGAAATTCACACTCGTGGGCACACCTCAAGGACACGAGATCAAAGATCCACACGGTGGGCAAGCTGATTTTCGATTACATAGTTCGTGGTCTGTGCCGACGTCCGAAATTTCGTGTAGACCTGGAGTTTTTGCCTGACGTGATAAACGACCTCGACGTGGACTTCAGCGCAAACCCGGCGGCAGCGGCAGCGTACATAAACGATCAACGCAATCGTCGTAAGGTTAAGGAGTACACCGAGAAACTTCAAGTCAACATCATCAACCCATTACGGGAAGGGAAACGACTACTAGTTCTAGATATTGATTACAGTCGGTTGCATTCGCCTTGACAAGCAGTCTCCCAGCCTAACAAAGTATGTAGCGATCTTAGACACCAAGCCCCTCACGTCGGGTGCCTTGCCTCCACAAGAATGTGCGCGACCAGGTCTTCACGAGTTCCTGGAAGCAGTATACCCCTATTATGACATCTGCATATGGTACCTTTCCCCACTTTTCCGCCCCTGATACAGCTTTGAGCGTCTGAGTGTAGGTCGCAGACGAGCTGGATCTGGCTGGAGACCAAACTCGTTGAGCTAGGGATTGTCGGCGGCGTCAGGAACTACCGGGTGAGTGCCTCAGGATTCAACCCATGACAATCAGCTAACAAAGAGTGTGCATCCCACAGATAGCGTTCGGTGCGTAAGTTGCCGGATCCCACATCATTTTTTCCTTATTGCCGCAGTGACAGTCCTAGACAAAACATCCATGTTCACGGTGTTCTCCGTGAAGGATGGAAAGCCGTACAAGCACTCAGTGAAAGCGCTTGAGATTATATGGAAACGTTTCCCTCAATAGTAAGTGACTGTGTTATTATCCGGCGGCATGAGTCCATTTCGTGTGAATCTTTACTAGTTCGGCAAGAAACACGATCCATGTCGACGACCTGGTGAGTACAATTCCTCGATCCTCTCATTACTCGTCGCCAGCAATTGCTATATATACTCTGCGATCATCTTTTTGTCCTTCCCGCCATGCTGTATAGGGGAGGAACTTTGCACTCAATCCGAAGGAAGGCCTGAAAATATCGGCATTCAAGAACGCGCACACTGAACAAGCAAGGGCAGATAGAGAACTTAGCAAACTTGGGATTTATCTAGTTCACATAGCGACCAGTTGCGAAGACTTCCGCGAAGCAAATCACGCTGTAAGCCCGTATGTCCTCTTTTCTGTGGAATGCTCTGTTCACTGTCGTATACAGCGATGGAAGGATGTTGTGAAGGCCTTCCCGCCCCCATGATCTGTAGACGTACCTCAGACGCCCTACTAGCTCCCCGTGTGTAAGGACGTCGCCGCTTGGCATCCCTAAGACTCGATAGTGCGAGTCATGTCCTTGGAAATTGTCTTGACAACACGTCGATCTTGAATTTTTGATACGGACGGTGGACACCATGCCACTCTACACTCGGTAATAGGTTGACAGGTGATACACTATTGAAGTCCGCGATTGCCACAATATGCTCTTCCGAACTCACAGGCCCGAGGACTTCTTTAAATTACAACAAATGCGTACCCGGGAAGTGCTCCGTGCTGGATGCGACGCAGTGCTGCAGATGCCTAGGCTTACGCGCCGGTGTTCGGTAGCAAGCGACTAAATCAGAACCCCTGGTGGCGCTTCGGGATGTGGCCGACTATTTGACTGCGGGCATTGTAACCAGCGGGCCATTAGCGACCAGCCCATCACAGAGGCACGCAGTCGACAAGGCAGACTCGGAGGTACAGTATGGAACCTCATTAATGCCAATTGCAATGATTGCTTGAGGTGCGTCCACTTTCACGCATGTACTAACACAATATCTTGTTTGAACTATGTTAGCGAAGACGCAACGCCACCATCGCTCTGAGCTGCTCTCGTGTGGTGTGCGTGTGTGATATGATAGTTCGGCCCGACAGAGGTCACCTGAGGTCACTCGCGCCGTCCTTGCACAGCATTGTATATGGGTTCTTTTATTACAACCATGATCTCACTTGCCCGGCCCCATGTTATCCGACGACCGGTCAGAATCAGCCGTATGCCAATTTCGTGCAGCTTTCCGGCCACCAGCGCAACAACGTTTACATTCTATTACTCGACCACTCGCGCATCCACGATGTCGTCAAGGCCTGCTGCAGGCATTGTACAATCACGACCGACCCCTCAAGCCCCGAGGCCGTCGGCGACTGCCATCGTCGTTAACTCTCAGAACGAGGTGTTGCTTGTCCACAGAAATCCCAAGTCGTCGTCGTTTGCTAACGCACATGTGAGTCGAAATCCTCTGATTAGGCAAAGCTTTGTACGTCTGGTGTTGATGAACCCTGTACTCCTGGTGACAGGTGTTTCCGGGAGGAAATTACGACAAGAAGCAAGACGAAGGCCAAGGACTGCCGTTTACCGCAATTCGAGAAGTCTTCGAGGAATCCGGCCTCCTTCTGGTCCATCCCTCTAGCTCCGGCTTGCCTATTGACGCGGAGCTGGACAAAGCTCGCGAGGCCATCCACGCCCAGAAGCGTCTCTTGAACGATTTCTTGATTGAACATGATCTCAAACCTAATGTTGAGGGTCTTTTGCCCTTCACCACGTGGATTACGCCGCCAATCTATCCCAAGTGTGTTTTAATCCATGGTTCTCCCGTCGTTTCCCTGAGGACTGAACACTAACCAGGCATTCCCATCTATTCCAGGCGATTCCGGACACAGTTTTATGTCACATTCTTAGATGAGACACGTTCAGCGGGATTCTCGTCTGGGGACAAGCAAGAACGTCTTCCCACCCCTGACGGCGGACAAGAGGTCATCGAGGCGCGCTTTGTGCATCCTACAAAGGCACTCGAGGAGTTCTATTCTGAGCGCATCACACTCTTCCCACCGCAATTCTACCTCTTGACAACCTTGTCCAGCCTCCTCGAGGGGCCGCGCAACACTCCGGAACAGCGCGAGCGCGTTCGGGCGCTATCGAACGGAGCCTTCGGGCAGATGGTCATCAATCCCCGCGTAATCCGCGACAAGGATGCCGAGGCGGAGGGTTACAAGGTCATTACATACGAGGGGGACGAAGCGAATGGAGGCTCACCTGGCCGACGTCACCGATGCCGACTGAAGTTTGGTCAAGGAGGGGTAAGTCGCGCCGCTCCTTTAGGACTTGCCGTCCGCTGATAGTGTCTGCAGTCTGCCACGTACATTACTCTCGAGCGCAACTTCGACATATTCACTGAGATAGAGAGCCATCTATTCTCCGCGCCTGCCAAGCTCTGACATATCTCGCATGGATTGTACGCTACCTCTCAGGACGATTTTGTACTGCGGGGCCATCTGTATCCTACGTTCCACAGTCATATCCAGTCTCGTACATGACACACTGCGTTTCGACAGGACCTGGGCGTGTGGCATGTCACAGGATACCGGTAGCTCAAGTATCTGTGACCTGTATGGCTGTGCTTATTCGTCAACGTTTCCGATGTTGGACGAGCTTGTCCGCAGTACACGAACAGAACTTTTGGCATCGTGAGGATCAGGCACATCCGGATAGTACAACGTCACATATGTGTAATCAGCAAGGCTACAAATTAGTACCACAACAGACGAGGTAGAACGTGGGCTGATGCTACAGAGGGGCCATGGGGCGCGAGCGTACCCCGAGAGAAACGTTATGGATACATGTCGAGTCGTGTCAAACTAGGAAGCCAAAGTCAAGTGAAGCACAAAACCCCAGAACAAATGTATACCGTGCCATGGAAAGCAGTGCAATAAGGCAATGTCAATTGAAGAGGGGAACTCGGGGTGAGCAGCAAGCCAAGTTCAAGGTGAACGACGAGCACAACACCGAAGAATTAGGGTACTGAAAGCTGAGAAACAAGGAACCGGATTAGAAGGCGTTGTATAAGTGATCGCAGTCGTCATGGAAGAACAAGGTCGTGAATCCCTTGAGAACAAGGCCAAGGAGTTTTGGTAGGAATTTGACAAGCAAGAGCGTGAGTTAACCGTCGTAACCGTCTCGTTCTAAAGGGTGATGGCTTAGTTCAGAGGTTGAAGACCTGGTAGTCATACTGGACGAAGTTGCCCCAGTAGCTGGTGTTGCACGCGCCGACAGTCGCCAGGCCCGACGCGCCTAGGTTGATGGCATTGACGTTGTCGGTACCGGCAACGCTCCAGGTCGCAAAGCCGTTGGCATTGGGGGACCCGGTGTGAAGGAAGCTGTTGTAGCGCGCCTGTATCTCGGTAACGAGTGCAGATTGTGCGGACGTCGGGTTTTGGACAGTCCCAAACTACAGAGACCATCAGTCAGAATTTGGAGACAGAAGCAGTCACGCTGAGACTTACTAGAATCTCGATATCATCCTGGTGGCAGACAGAGCCGCCGGCGGTGCAGAAGGGAACCTCGTCGTTACCGGGGTAAGTCGCGCCGACCAGATACTCCCCGACATATGCCTTCCCGCCGGCGCCGACCCAATTACGCGCGAACGTCCAAGTTGCGCAGCGCCATATCTGGTCAGTACCGAGCTCCTCGAGCTGCGGGCGCTGGTCGGGGTCAACGCCATTGACGGCCGGAGAAACGGCGTAAACGGCAGTATTGAGGATGCGCGATGTCCGCGGGCTACCGAATGTGAATTGCACAAGTTGCTCGTACAGCGAGGTGTCGACGGAGTCGGGGAAGCCGCCGTAGATGGTCGGCCCTGCCTCATTGCGAACGGTGGAGACGATGATCGGCTTCGACTGCTGAGGGAAGCTGGCGGTCAGGTCGAGCGGATTCGTGATCAGTTGACCGTCGCGGACGGGCCGAATCGGTTCCGATGCACCAGCGGCAGGATCAAGCTCGTTGTTCGCCGCGGCGTCAAGTAGGTCATTCTGAGCGGACATAATGGCGTCCAAAGACAGCGAGTTCAGACAAGATGTATCGGTGGTACTGCAGTTGAGACTCTGCGTGAAGTTACCGAGTACTTCTTGGTGAACATTGGGAGAAAGGAAGCCAAAGTCCTTACAGGACGTCAATAACACAGTACTCGAGAGCGTTCGAGAATGGACACACCATGGGATCGGAGTGCAGAGCCGCTGATTGGAATAGCATGGACGCCGACGGCACAGCAAGGAGCGCCCTGACCATGTTGGCACCGGCACTCTGCCCCGCGATAGTGATCTTCGACGAGGAGCCGCCGAAGCTTGGGACTACTACCTGCAAGAATGCAAGAGCGTTCATGACGTCCTTCACCGCGAGGTTGTATCCGCCGTTCGGCTGCAGGAACCCGAGCTGATGGCACGATGAGCTCTAACACGAAGTAATATTGCGGTAACAGTACTTACAGCACCGAGACGGTACTGGATGACTGCGACGATGGATTGGGTGGCAGCAGCAAGCTTCGAACCATCTAAACCAGGGCCAGTTGCCGAGCCTGAGACGAACGAGCCCCCATGGATCCACGTGAACGTCGGCGCGTTCGCGGGTAGCGAAGCCGGGACGTAGAGGATCATAGACAAGCAGTCCTCAGTGCCGATCGTGTTACCGTTGTCATCGCTCTGCACGCACGGCACAGGTAGCGCCGTGACATCGGAAGAGCCGTTTCTACGAGTGAATGCATGTCAGCAGCGTGATCGCGGCGAAACCGAAAATAGGCAATGGCGTACGGGAGCTCCCATGTAGTAGACACCGTGGAAGGCTGCCAACGCGAGGCAGACGCGTATTTAACAGCGAACCGTGTTGCACCCGCGTTGTCCGAAGTTCCCTGCGCAGTGCCAATAGGCGTGTTCACAGAGTTCGTACCCCCGGTACTTTGGCGGGGACAAAGGGCCTTTGAGATCTTCGGAGACAGCTTGCAGAGCTCGGTCTTCCAGTTGTAGGGAGGCATGGCCACATGCAGCGGAAGAGCTGTCGCCCAAGACGCGAGAAGGAGAGAAAAGACCAAGGACTGGATGCCGAACATGATTGCCCTATAGGACCGGAAGGCAATAAGGTAGAGTTGAAGAGTCCAAAGTCTATGCAAGGGCGGCGGGGCACAGCTGCCTGAGGGCCAAGATTGTTGCCGGGGTTTATATGGAAGAGCTGGCCGGCGGCCCTTCGTCAGCGATGCAGATTAGGATACGGGAGACTCTAGAAAAAGAGAGACAGGGGAAGATGACGGTAAGGAACAGAGACTGTGTGATACATACGACCTGGATGACATGCCTGGGATTTTGACTAGATGGAGAACAATGCCCGCCGAGCACAGAATCTCTGGCAGGTGGAAGGTTGCTTGCTCTTCCTAACACGTGGGCCATCATCTTGCTCGCTTGCCTTATATGGCACCCCCCTTGTTCCGTGATTGGGAGGCGTCCTCTCCAGCGTCCTTGGTGAGCTCGACTTCTTCTTGTTCGTGCCTGCCCCAAGCAAGCGTGCCTTGCGCATGCACTTACGGCGGAGACCAGGATTATCCTCGGCATCCATTCCCGCCTGAGCATCATCAGTGATCACCGGCCACCTAACCAGCGTGGGCGCCAACAGAGACGGCGGCAAAGAACCACGCCCAAATATGTTGTACAAACACGGGTGATCTGTGCTTGCCCTCGACCTGACGAGGATAGACCATGGCGACTTGGCCTTGGAGCTCGTGTGATGGACCCCTGTGCGCTTCCAGGCGTCCCTGGCATGGTCCGGATTCACATTCCACGTACCAGTATCTTCTGTGATATATCACCATCGATTCCGGGCCATATGGTTCGTAATTGAATCATCAGAGGCTGGGAATCCCGAAGACGGCTTGTTTTGTTGATATCGACCCTGCGGCAGTTGAGCGCGTGCAGTCACTCTGAAGGGAAGGTTGTATAACGCGAGCGTGATTGAGCCAAACTTATGGAATTCCGGTAGAGTTCGCAGCCGTAACGCAGCGCCGAGTGTGTACAAGGATGTAATGCGGTGCTGTCAATAATGGCATGGGATGCCGCTCACCCGGCCGGATGAGCGCGCCACCGTACTCACGAGCTGGGATGGTGCATGAGATCTTCGAAGTTGATAGGCATGCGCGGATTATTGGCTGTACCTGACGCCGAATGCGGGCCGTCAGCGGAGACGCAACAACATGGTCAGACAAACCGGAAGAGATGTGGTCTCAGGGCAGCGCCGCGACTGTTGTCAGGCTTGAATATAACTGCGAGACAAGGGTTATATGAGAAACAAGGACGTCCTCTACAAATGGTTGAACGGCAACGGTGGCCGTGGGTTGAAGGAAAAGGGGTAGCACACCGCAACCCCACTTCTGCAGGCAAAGGGTCAGCGGCGACCCAGTTGCACCCTTATACTGTGAGTGCCTAAAGATGAATCAAGAATGTGCCCAGAGTGCCTGGAGACGTTCAGTTCCTTGTTACCGTTCTGTTTACATATGCGACAAGAAGTGGCACAGTGATCCAAGTTCAGGTAGCAATGTATCCCTTGTCTGGTACTCTATGATTGTCAATGCTCCATCCTTGCACGAAAGTTAAGAGACCTGGTACCCTATTGCATAGACCAGTATTTCAACAGTCTGTTTCTGCCGGGTGGTTTTCCATAGCGGACTCCAGCTGGTGGTTAGTACCTTGGTGCGAATCTCCGACTGTAAGCAGCCGGTTTATACACAACTAGGATATTGAAGACCTGTGGATTCTAAAGGATGGCACGAGTATTGAGAGGCTATGAGCGGTGTAACGGACGAGTAGCTTAGTGACAAGACCGTCGCAGTCGTGTAGCAAGTTATGGGACTAAGCGCCCTGCATGTTGCGTCATACAAACGTCCAAGCGCCCCAAGAACTTAGCTCCTACTTGCCACCCACGCGCGTAACGTCTCTTGCTACGATACGCTCTCTGACTTTGTCAAACTGCGCACTGATGCGATAACTGCAGACAAGCCACGCCGATAGCTGTCTACCACATCTGCGTAACCTCAACGACAACGGCAATACTCACACGTCCCGTTATTACTCCTTGATATGTCTACCGCAAAAGTGTAAGTTGATACTACTTGCCGATCTCGGCTTATGCTGACGGCTTGTAAGGCTTACTGTGGGATCCGCAGTTGGGTCAATACGAGAGCTGTTTGCGAAGGTTAAGTCCATCGACGAGAAGCATGGCAAATTTGACTTCGTTCTATGCCTCGGCGACTTCTTCGGCCCACCAAAGGATGCGGAGGATACCTACGAAGAGGATCATGAGATTTTGCAGCTTTTGGATGGACGGTTAGAAGGTTGCGTCGTATCGAGTCATCCAGTGTATGTATGTTTCACTCAATATACGCAATTCAGCCCCCGTCGAGTGCTACATCATGCAAGGCGAACATTCCCTGCCAGCACCCATCATTGAAAAATTTGCCAAAACGGGAGGTACTTTGAGCAAGAATGTATTCCTCCTACGTGAGTTGTACGCTTCCCCCGCTTGTACGCATACTCAAGCGTGGTGTTCAGACAAGTCCGGGGTGCTTACCACGCCGCACGGTATCCGCATCGGATGTTTGGCGGGGATCTATGATTCGAACGTGTACGCTGCTGCAGAGTCCGCCCACGTACGTCATCCATGTTAAATTCAGCGTGTTTAAACTCGGCCCTCACGCAGACGGCAGGGATTCACGTCCCCCTACTTCACCGCACAAACGGTCGAGAAACTCCTTGCTAACACGATGACCAGCTCCAAGCCAAAGGAGCAGAACTACACCTCTCTTGCCTCCATCAAGTCTTCCTCGGCCTCCTCTCAACTCATAGACATCTTCATCAGCAATGCTTGGCCGGCCGGCATCACCGAGTTCTCTTCTGCTCCCCTGCCTGCTCCAGAGCTTGCTGCAATTGGAGTCGAACCTGTCTCGGAGGTAGTCAGGAAGACCAAGCCTCGCTATCACTTCGCCGCCGGAGGAGGCCGCCCTCCGCGGTTCTGGGAGCGCGAGCCTTACATCTGGGACGGCCCAGAAGACACAGGTCGAGTCAGCCGGTTTGTGAGCCTCGGTGCGTTCGGCGGCGAGCAGCCATCTGGGAAGAAGCCTCGTGTGCGTGTTCTTTCCAGTTTGCCTCGAGGGCAAGGTGTGTGCGGGATGCCTCTGGACTGACACACTATTGGGGGCGTCTTACCTGCAGTGGTTCTACGCATTCTCAATTGCGCCGCTGTCGGCAACAAGCGAGCCGCAGCCCAAGCCTACCAATGCGACGCAGAATCCGTTCTTACACTGCGCACCCAAGCGGCATCTCGACTTTGAAGCTCAACAGCCGGGGAAGCGGAGCAGGACAGGTACGTGTATATGGCGCGCTTCGTTGATCGGAAGGTTGACGCGTCGCAGACGGGCCACAAGGGAAGCCGCCCTCGGGCTATAAATGCAAGATTTGTGAGTCGGAGGAGGTAAGATGGAGGTATCCATTGTGTAGAGGCGTGCTAAAACGGTATTTCGCGCAGCACTTCATCACGGACTGCCCGGAACGGGAAAAGCCAAATGAAGGATACATTTGCAGAATCTGCAACGAAGTAAGTCTTGCCATATGGCCACTTAGCTTCGAATGATGACGGTACTCCGTCTCCGCCAGCCCGGGCACTTCGTTCGCGACTGTCCCGTGAAGCACGCCGTAGGGGATACCGGTGGCCGTAAACCACGTGAAGGCTACGTTTGCAGAGCGTGTGGAAGCGAGCTGCATTACATTCAAGATTGTCCTGTCGCTAACCAGGCAGGCAAGGGGCACGCAAGACGTGGCCCACCAAAAGAAATTGCACGTGCGTTTGTTTCCCACTCGACTTCGACGCTGTTGACGTAGGACGCTGACCGGGACCTCTTAGCGGAAGAATGCTGGTTCTGTCTATCGAATCCCAACTTGTCGTAAGTCCGCACCAGTTGCTGCTGCGGTATTACTACTGACCGAGCCGTTCCGCCAGAAAACATCTTATTGTGTCGATTGGGACGGAGTGCTATGTGACGCTACCGAAAGGACAGATCATCCCGACGCACCAGGGTGCCAAACACCCAAATGTCCCTCGAGTACCGGGCGGTGGCCACGTCCTCATCGTCCCTATCACCCACTACCCCACGTATCTGTCTATCCCTCCAGATCTTGCAGAGCCTATCATCAAAGAGACCGAAAAGTGAGTCTTCCAATGCTTTGGACGCTGTTTGGAATTACAACTGTTGACCCAGGTACAAGTCCGCACTACGCGCGATGTATGCGAAACACGGGGCAGCGGCAGTCTGCTTCGAAGTCGGGCGGCTGAGTGCCAAGGGCGGCCACGCGCACGTTCAGGTCGTCCCGGTTCCAAACAAGCTCAAGAACGCTGTCGAAGACGTGTTCAGGGAGGAGGCCCGCGGGAGCAACATCACGTTCGAGGACGATCCGGACGAGGCCTTGCGAGTGGCTGAGGGAGGCCGCTGCGGATACTTCCGCGTCGACCTGCCAGACGGGCGAAAGCTCGTGCACCTCATGCGCGAGCGTGGGCCATTCAGCATCCAGTTCGGAAGGTGCGCATTTCCGTGCCACTGTAAGTTTGCTCAGGGCTGATGGCAGGACGACAGACAGGTGCTCGCTTCGGTACTGGGAATGGCTGATCGGTTCGATTGGAAGGCTTGCACGCAGCCGGAGCAGGAGGACATGGAAGATGTGCAGGCATTCAAAGCTGCCTTTGCCCCGTTCGACCCGTCTCTGGAATTGTAATCTGAACGCAGCCATGTACCTGCGCATTCTTGTATCCCCGTCGCAAGTATCGCCACCCAGTCGACGACTAAAAGATATGATTTCTAAGTGCATTGAGGATATACGATACAATGACGGGATCTGCAGTGGTTGCGCTACAATGGGGTATCTCACCAACACTCACGTTCGTGCCCGCCTCATTCGTCCGACTCTTCCTCTTCTGAGCTCTCGGCTGTACTCGCCATCTCGTCGAGATCGCCGGTCATGTCAGCAGTGCGGTCCATGTCTTCCATGTCGGCATCGAGGTCTTCTTCCTCCTCTGAAGAGTCATTTTCGTCCTCGTCCATTATCGAGTTGCCGTCACCACTGTGGTCCGACCCGTCTGACCCTTCCGTAGCGTCGTCGGCCTGCACGAGACAGGGGAGCATCGTTAGGGGGAGAATGCACGATGTTAACTAGCTTGTCGGGCAGAGGGTGTACTGACATCGTTCTTCTCTTCGTGCTGCGTCCACGTTCGGCCGATGGGGATGAGGAAGTTGTACCCTCTGGTCTTGATATCCGTATTCTATTGGATCAATTGCAGATATCACGGTGGTATGAGCGATGGAACGCGTCGAAGCTGTCGAGACATGCGTCGCACCTGGTCCTCAACCGCGTCCTCTTCGTCGCTCAGTTCCTCCATTTCACGCCATATGTCGCGGTAGTTGATGAACCGTTCTCGTCGTTGGAAGGAGGGTGCTGGTGGTATTGGGTGTGGACGCGGTGGTAGGGGCAACAGCCGAGGGAATACGGGACTGCGGGGAATGAGAGTGGGAGAGGCGACTGGAGCCACCATGGTGGTCGTCCGGGAGAAAGGTCCGGGACGCGTCGTAGGCGCTGGCAAAGCAAAGCCAGTAGTTGCATACGCGCGGTCTGCCGCGTTCGATATCTGCTGCACTCCTTCCATCGTGCCGCTAGAGCATGCATGCATAAGCCAAATCATAGTCTTCCCCTTGACACCTTCTTGCAGGCTATGATACTTACTGAAATTAGACCACAAGGGTCGTCATCGACATGCATCGACTTGGCTTCTGTACCATTGTGATTGTGAGCGTTGGAACACAATCCCAACGTAGACCAGTGGGGGTACAGGGTAGTTGTGCCATTATGACCCTGTACATGACCATTTGTCAAACGTTCACTGGCCGGTAAGGCGCTTGGTTGGTTGGATGAATGAGACCTGGATTATTTCGACTGCTAGTGCGCTTTCCATGATCCCGTCCATATATATACCGATGATCTCTAAAGACTGAGGTCATACGGTGACCGACACCCGTGTGTCGCAAAGTCATGACCTTTGACTTGACCCTTAACCGTGAGACTGTTCCGGTGGCCTGCTCTTCCCCTGATCCCGGCGCTCCGGCCAGGATCATGCGCCTCGTCTACCCCGCATCCCGACCGCGACTTCTCAGTCCTCCTAACATAAGTGCGTTGCTTGGACTTGTTTTGTGGGGCTCCATTCCTGCTTTCTCAGTGGTGTTCTCCTGTGATACTATAACACACTACTATCAACAGCCACGCTCATTATGTTGCGTTCGTTCTCGCGTCTCCCCGCCTCGGTCGTGTTCAGGACGCGTGCTACCGCCAACGCGCGCACCGTCGCTGTCGCAGCGCAGCGCAGACATGCGTCCTTCTACAACACCGATGTCGCTGGGCTCACGGAAGAGCAAGCCGAGGTGTGTCGACTACTTGCCCTCGATCGTGACACCGGTGGCAGACGAGTGGAGGTACTGACCCAAACTCTTACTTTGCCTTTCGCAATACGAGAGTAGTTCAGGAATGCCGTGCATGAATTCGCAGAGAAGGAGATTGCGCCTCGCGCCTCTGAGATTGATAGGACGAATACGTTCCCAATGGTACGTGCCCGTACGCCTCTGCATCCCTATTCCTCCCCGCACACCATCTACTATCAGCTTCAGTGTACTCCTCCTCAACGTCTTTCTATCCACACAATGATTCCACTGCCCTGCCCAAGGCATATGACGCTAACGGACGTGCACACAGGACCTCTGGGAGAAGTTCGGCGACATGGGCCTGCTCGGCATCACCGTCAAGCCCGAGTACGGCGGGCTCGAGCTCGGGTACTTCAACCACACGCTCGCGATGGAGGAGCTCTCGCGCGCGTCGGGCTCCGTCGCGCTCTCCTACGGCGCGCACTCGAACCTCTGCGTGAACCAGATCCACCGCTGGGGCACGCCCGCGCAGAAGGCCAAGTACCTGCCCGACCTCGTCGCGGGCCGCAAGGTCGGCAGCCTCGCGATGAGCGAGCCCGGCAGCGGGAGCGACGTCGTGAGCATGACGCTCCGCGCGGCCAGGGCCGACGGCGGGTACCGGCTGACGGGGAACAAGTTCTGGATCACGAACGGGCCGGTCGCGTCGACGCTGGTCGTGTATGCGAAGACGGAGCCCGAGAAGGGCTCGAAGGGCATCACGGCGTTCATCATCGAGAAGGGCTGGGAGGGCTTTTCGACGCACCAGAAGCTGGACAAGTTTGGGATGCGGGGGAGCGATACGTGCGAGCTCGTGTTCGAGGACTGCTTCGTGCCCGAGGGTAAGTGAACCTTGGAAGTCTGTGCAGCCACCCGGTGTAATGTCTGAGCTCCATAGAGAACGTCCTGGGGCCGGTCAATGGTGGCGCGAAAGTTCTGATGTCCGGCCTGGATTTGGAACGGCTCGTTCTGAGCGGTGGCCCTCTCGGGTGGGTACCATCCCTCGCTGACATACTTCCGACGCTGAAAACGAACGCCATTCAGGCTGATGCAAGCCGCCTTTGATTACGCTGTGGAATATGTCCACCAGCGGAAACAATTTGGCAAGCCGATTGGCGAGTTCCAGCTCATGCAGGGTGAGATCCATGCTTCGGGTCTCAGTCCAGGTACACGGTAACCAACATTGCCCGGACTGCAGGTAAACTTGCAGATATGTATACCAAGCTGAATGCATCTAGAGCGTATGTCTATGCCGTTGCGAAAGCGTGCGACCAGGGGAAAGTCAGCCGTAGAGTAAGTTATGCTGGCTTCGGAATATAGCAGCGTCCTGACAGTAGTACACTACCAGGACTGTGCGGGAGCGATCCTCTACTCTTCCGATCGGGCTGTTGAGGTCACAATGGAAGCCATGCAAAGTCTGGGCGGGAATGGTTACATTAATGGTACGTTTGCGACCCTGATTGAGTGTCCTGCCTCTCGCTGAACCACGCTTCGATTGCGTGAACGCAGAGTATCCCACCGGTCGATTCCTTCGGGATGCTCGTCTGTACACGGTCGGTGCCGGTACGCAGGAGATCCGCCGGATGCTCATCGGGCGCGAGTTTAACGAGGAGTTCAAGCGCCAAGCTGCATAAGCTGCCCAAGTCGATCTCCATGGGGTCACTGAATCGGACGCTCTCGACGCGCTTGTAGCACAATGTATGACTATCATTCATCGCACGCACCAAATAGAACGCGTTGGGAAGGGTAAGTGAGTACGCTGCGGCCTGCGGCTCGGGTTGGCGCATGTCGGCTGCTGCCGTGATATTACTTAGCGCGATCGACATGTCGCGATCGCGAGGAGTGCGGGGAAAATGAGCCGCCTGCCTTCCGAGCCGACTATCCGACCCTTGGACTTTGCGCGACCGACACCGTGCTCAGCGACCACGTCGTGCGTCGCAGCGAGCACCGTTTCGAATATTCCTGTATACACCTCTGCGTCTGGTGACTCTGCGTCGACCTGCAATGAGCCCATCCTGAAGCGGACTCGCGCAGACGTCAACTGAGTTTGACGCGCGGAATGCGGGGAAGAAACGGGCGCGCTCGAGCTCATGGGGCTCCTCTCCGGCCGCGAGCTCTCGCAATTGTTCAACGTTCGACGTTTCAGCGAGCCGTAAGCATCTTTATGCGGGCGATCAGCCACGCTCAGGGGACAAATCACGGCCAGCTGACTCCCCGCCCCTGCACCGGACATCAAGTGCTTGACCTTCATATGTCATAAAATTTGACCCTAGTCTCATAAACCGTCCCGCCGCCCCGCTCTTGCCTCGCCCTCCCCTCGAGTCATACTCGCCGCCAGCGTAGGCTTAAGCCTAAGGCCGCCCCCTCCCTTCCTGGATCACCACCACCGCACCTTCGGCAGTCCAAGAAGTTGTCATGGCCGACGGTAAGTGCGATCCGTACTAGCACAAGCCGCCGACTGCTAACTGGCTCATCGCTCCCTCTGATGCATGTAGTCAAGCACGATGCAGAATCGGATTCCGGGCTGGAGAGCCGCACAGCGCCCTCCGATGTGGAGAAGCAGTACAATCTCGCGCCGTATGGCGTCCCAGAGGAAGGGGCCTACAAGGCGCGCTTCCCGAACATCGACGAGCGGAAGGTCATTCGCAAGATCGACATGCGCGTCGTACCCGTGCTTTGCGTCTTGTACTTGCTCGCCTTCCTTGACCGGTGAGCATAAGCTGAGGTTATAGAGCGCGCGGGCTCATAGCTCACAGTCGTGGTGTCCCCGCTCCAGGGTGAACATCTCGAATGCAGCCATATTTGGGCTGAAGAAGGACCTGAAGTTGGGAGGGAACGAGTTCAATCAAGCACTGGTCGTCTTGTAAGTCGTGATGTCACTGCAGCAACCTCCCTATTCTCAACGCGCCCCAGCTTCGTGCCATACGTGTTGTTCGAAATCCCCTCGAATGCTCTGCTCAAGCACTTCAGGCCTCACGTCTGGCGTATGCCCTTCTACCTTCTCGCATATACGCGTGTCTGACGCGTCTCTCTAGTGTCCCTTTGCATGTTCCTCTTCGGCCTGATTACTATGCTGCAAGGCTTCACACAAAACCTGAGCGGCCTGATCGCGACGCGCTTCTTCCTCGGGCTGGTCGAGAGCGGCGTCTTCCCCGCCTGCTTCTACCTCATCGCGATGTGGTACAAGCGTTCGGAGGCGCAGAAACGCTACTCTTTCTTCTTCTCCTCCACCACCCTCGCCGGTGGGTTCGGTGGTCTGCTTGCCAGTGCCATCGGCAAGATGGACGGGCTGCGTGGGTACCATGGCTGGCGTTGGATCTTCATCCTTGGTTAGTTCTCTGCTATGAACGACGTGTAAGACCATGCCCTCAACTGAAATGTGCGGGACAGAGGGCGTCGCAACCGTCGTCTTCTCGGTCATTCTATACTTCACCATCTCCGACTTCCCTGAGGAGGTCACGTGGCTAAGCAAAGAGGAGAAGGAGTTCGTGAAAGCGCGTCTGTACGAGGATGTCGGCGCGTCGAAGCGCAGCGAGCCACTCACATTGAAGAGTGTCCTCGAGGTCTTCAAGGACTGTAGGCATATCCCGCACTTTTAACCTATGGGCCCCAGAACTGAGAGGTCGTGTAGGGAAGATCATCGTCGGCGGCTTCATGTACCTCGGTCTCGTCGTTCCCGCCTACTCATACGGTCAGTGCATGTCTTCCTCTTGTCCCGCCTCATGCCCATCCCTGTGGTCCGCCAACAGCGTACTTCGCGCCCTCGATCATCCAGAGCCTGGGCAACGGCGCGATCCACACGCAGCTGCTCTCCGTCCCGCCCTGGGCGTGCGCATTCGCGCTCGCGATGCTCTCCGCCACGCTCTCCGACTGGCTCCGGATGCGCTTCGCCTTCGTCCTCGCCACGACCGCCGTGTCCCTCACGGGGTTCGTCATCCTGCTCGTCGTGCACGACAACACGCACCTGCAGTACGCCGCGCTCTTCCTCGCCGCGATGGGCACGTATGCGGCGATGCCGATCATCGTGTGTTGGTTCAACACGAACCGTAAGTCCGCCGCGTCCTCCGTCTCCGTCTGGCGTGGGGAACGTGGGGTGCTGAATTCCTGACTTGCTCGACAGTGGGCGGCCACCACAGACGCGCCGTCGGCACGGCGTTCCAGGTCGGCTTCGGAAACAGTACGTGCCCCGTGTTTCGCCTCCCCGCATTCCCACTAACACTGGTGCACCGTTCTCGTCCATATCTCCCAACTTGCGCCCATCGCCTCGCAGTCGGCGGTATCATCGCGGTGTTCGCCTTCCTCGCCAAGGACGCGCCGAAGTACATCTCGGGCTACAGCGTCTGCATCGCGTTCATCGCCGTCTCCCTGATCGCGAACACCGTCTACTTCCTGGGCGTGTCGTGGGAGAACCGGACGCGCGACCGCAACGCGGCCAAGGGCGCGTACGACGACCTCACCCACGAAGACAAGAAGCGGATGGGCGACCTCAACCCCGACTACAGATACTTCACGTGAACGCTGTCCGGGTGTGCGCCCGGGGTCGGCTTCCCGCTGTGATACGGGCCATAGGATAACTCGCGTGCTACCAGCACTAAAATACATACCTTGTACTATAGGTGTTCCCGCATTGTATTGTGTACATTCCCCGACATGATCATAACGATGCATTTTTCTTCCTGGCGAGCGCTTGTTTTTGCTCGTTCCGAGGCTGTCGAGAGAGGAATGCCATGTCCAAATGACACATGCAACGTCTCCGCGAAGCCTGTATTCGAACAGCAGCGTACATTGCTGCCATGGGTGCTATCGTTCCATCGTCGCAGTGACGTATATCAACGAGAGCCGAGCGTCTTCGCTAATTCGCGAAGCTCCCAGCATCTGTGCCAAGACCTATGTACTCCTATGGGCGCAAGCGTGTCGTATCGTATCGTATCGGATCGTCGAAAGTCCGTGGTTAGCATGATAAACTTGGTGGTACAACAATGGCCAAATAACCGTTTTCTCCTTTTTTCACAACTGTCGTCGTCGTCGTCGTCGGAAACTAGCGCGTGCGCGCGCGCGCTCGACTCTGGCCACGCCGCACTCTAGACGAACTTGTCCGCCTGGGAGCTGCCGTCGACGCTCTTCTTGTAGCTGTGCCCGAACGCGTGCCCGCCCTCCTTCTTCGCCTTCTTCAGCACGCGCGCGATCGCGTCGAGGCCCTTGTCCAGATCCTCCAGCGGCGGCCCGAACGAGAGCCGCACGAAGTGGTGGCACGGCGAGTGGAAGAGGTTCCGGCGGTGCGCGGGGTTGATGTCGAAGAAGATGCCGGGGATCACGATCGTCTTCTCCTTGAGGAGCTCCTCGAAGAACGTCAGGCCGTTGTTCAGCGGCGCGGGCAGGCGCTCGAGGTTCAGCCAGATGTAGAACGTCGCGACGGGCGGCACGGCGACGTGCAGCCCGAGCTCGTCGAGCCGCTTGAGCACGTGGTCGCGCTTCGCCTTGAAGTGCTTCTGGAGCGCGATCTTCTCCGCGTGCACGCGCTGGGGGTCGAGGAGCGGGACCGCGGCGAGCTGCAGGCTGTGCGGGGGCCGCGGACTCTGGTTAGGGGTGCTGGTCGTGGTAAGATAGAGGTTGCGGGACGTACGGGTGGTTGGCTCCGCCGTCAAGGAAGGACCCGGACTGCGAGAGCGCTGTGATCAGGTTCTTGGGGCCGAGGACCCAGCAGACACGCCAGCCGGGAAGGCGCCAGTTCTGGGACTACAGCGTCAGTCCTCTGTGACGTAGCTCGTACATTACGAGCAGACTTCACCTTGGTGAGACCGTTCACGATGACGACGGGGTCGCCATTGACGTTGTCGATGTAACTTGCGGAGGAGACGGACTTTCCGTACTCTTCCTCTTTTTCCGGGTACAGGTACCACGAGTAGAACTGCGGATGCGCGTACCGCTCCTCAGAAGAAGTCGTGCAGTATGACCCAAATAAGACTGACCTCGTCCAGGATGAGCGTCGTCGAGGCTTCACGGCAGGTGGCGACGAGCGACTTCAGTTCTTCGCCCTGGATAACCTGGCCTGTGGGGTTGCGCGGGTTGGACGCGATGATGACCTCAAGGCCCTGGGTGCGGATGTCGCGCTTGATTTGGTCCACGTCAAGGCGGTACTGTTGCTCCTCATCAAGGCTGCGTGGAACCGAAAACCCGATGGCCAGTGAGCGTGAGGCGATCTAAATATGGCTGTGTGCGTCTTACGCGGTAGGCACGGGCACGAGGCGTTTGAACGCGCTCAGAACCTGATCGTATGCGGTGTAGTCGGGCACTTGGTACGACTGGATTGGTTACAGATCCGGGGTCAATACTTCGTGCATGCTCCACGGAACGGGAACGAGGCTATGCTTACGCAATAGACTTCACCGATGACAGCAGCGACGCGAGACAGACCAGCGCGACCTCCGGGAACGATGCAGACGTTCTCGTAAGTGTACTGGCTAATCTTGTCCTGGCGGTACTGTTGATTGTAGAGGTTGGCCACTGCCTCACGCAGCTCTGTTGCGATGGACGCAAAGATAGACAGATAGATGTGAATACGCGCTCATCCAGAGTAACCAGTGTCGTTGAGACACACTCACCCTTGACACCGGTGGTGGGCGCGTACTCGAGAGAGTCCTCGGGAAGAGGGATGCTCGTCGGACGCGGAGGCGCATCAGGGATGAGACCGACTTCGGGGGCACCCTGACCAAGATTAGCCCACTCGTGTGAGGATGCGTAGGAGAAGCCGTTGGCCATGGCACGGTCAGAGCAATAGATGACACCGGTGGAGCCCGGGTGCTCGATACCGGGGATGGTCTCCTCATCTGGGTTCACGGTCTGAGGGAGGGCTGCGCCGCCCTTGGGCTTGTTGTGACCAGCGGACTGGCGAAAAAGCTACACGGACCCGGGCTGTGAGTCAAGCTACCTACTGAGAGCAGACAAGACACGTACCCTGTGGGCCTCTGAGTCCTTTTCATGACGGAAGTGTCTGACGACTTCGTGGACCTGTTGTTCGAAGCGGGATTCGGCCATGGTCAACAAGAGGGAGACGAGACGAGATTGGGAGCGGGATACGCACTACGTCGCGGAAGTGGAGCGGAGTTGAGCGGCCGGACCTGGATATGGGGGTGCTCGCGCCGGACATGACGAGGAAGTTAGGTAGGAGATGACAGCGAAGACGAGGGCGTGGGGGGAAGACTAGGGGCTCTCTGAGTGGGAATATATATTGGGAGACCACCATCGATATACATATCCATCATGAAAGATGTCGCCTGCAGGCTGGGGCGCCGCGAGCTGCTATAGGCTGTTCCATCCATCGCCGTCCGCTACGACAACATCCACCTGGGCCAGTGCTGATGGCAGCGTATTCTTAGTACGCCCTCTTCAAGATTAGATTAGATCCTCTAGCGCCCCATGTCGTCACGAGAACACCCACACCGATCTCGGACCTTGCTATTGCATCAAGCACAGGCGCCCATAAAAGTGTTCTTATACTGCTGGCCACGTACACTTGGCACGTCTTACTCTGTTGCTCGCTGTCTAACCTCATTTATATTCTGCTCATCGCATAGAGAACGTCTACTCGCCCATAATGACCGCCCAACTTCAATCTTCCGTCTCCCGCTTCCTCCCGGATCCAAAGACCGTCGCGGTAAGCGAGTCCTTCTCTCATCTCATCTTCCCCGGGTCCTCACGACCCCGAAGATCGTGGGTTGCCCCTTCAGGTGAGCATCTACCATTCCATATTCCAGACACGCGTCAAACATGCGTACCGCGTAATCCCAGGGGTGGTCAGGTATGTCGCATGACCACACCTGTCGCTTCTCCCGGAATCTCATCTCGTGATCGCGTCTGTGCTTTTCAGGCAAAGCTCGGTGTGGACAAAGGTCCCATCCGCCTCGTCGAGGCCGGTCTGCCTCAGCAGCTCGCAGAGCTCGGTTGGGACGTCAAATTCGACGGCCACCACCAGTTTGAAGATATCGGCACCGAGAACGACCCTCCCATTGGCAAGCTCAAGAACCCTCGCTTTGTGTCACGCGTCTGCAAGGCCGTCGCGCAGGTCGTCGGCGACCATGCGAAAAAGGGCCAGTTGCCTCTCACCCTCGGCGGCGATCACTCTCTGGTGCGCCCTATACTCTCATAGTGGCGTAATCGCGCTCATCCCCGTCGGCGAGAACAGGCCATGGGCACTATTTCCGGGACACTTGAGTACGTCAACTACTCGCGTATACTGCAGTCCCGTCGCGGCTTCATGCGCTTTGACGTACCATAGGAAGTATCCCGACGCATGCGTCATCTGGGTAGACGCACACGCCGACATCAACACCGCCGAAACCACCGATTCCGGTACGTCCGCAAACCCTACCCTTCATATCCGCCCACACCGCGTGCGCCGGCGGTGCGCCCGCCACCGCGCCCGTCGCCTCGCTAACCCGTCCCTCCCCCTCCGTCCACAGGCAACATCCACGGCATGCCGCTCTCCTTCCTGCTCGGCATCGGCCCCAAGGTCGACGAGTTCGCGTGGGTGCAGCCGCTGCTCAAGCCGCACCGGCTCGTCTACATCGGCCTGCGCGACGTCGACGCGGGCGAGCGCCGCATCCTCAAGGAGCACGGCATCAAGGCGTTCAGCATGCACGAGGTCGACAAGTACGGCATCGGGCGCGTCGTCGAGATGGCGCTCGACCACGTCAACCCGGGCCGCACGCTGCCCGTCCACCTCAGCTTCGACGTCGACGCGCTCGACCCGACCGTCGCGCCGTCGACGGGCACGCCCGTGCGGGGCGGGCTGACGTTCCGGGAGGGGCATTATATTTGCGAGGCGGTGTACGAGACGGGCTGCCTGGTCGCGCTGGACATCATGGAGGTCAACCCGTCGCTTGCGGACCAGGCGAGCGTGGAGCAGACGGTGGCGGTTGGGTGCTCGCTGGCAAGATCTGCGCTTGGTGAGTCCTCGCGCTAGTGGGCACGTCCGATTGGACTCGCTGACGCTGGAACTTAGGTGAGACTTTGCTGTGAGCGATTTGTTAGATGTGAAGATCGCATTGCGTATTGCTACTAGACGTAGTATACCTCTTGTAATACGACGCTCTTGATTCCAGTCCTCCGTGCGCCGTCTGCGATCGAGATTCTGATGAGCGCAAAGCACCATGTCGGCGTCGCGAAGCAGTGCCTAGGCGGCCATGGTCGTCGATTCATTACAGCACTTCAATTCGATCCACGTGATGCCGCAGACTCGCAAGCACGATCTCAGGAAACTCTACAGTCTCCAAGCACTCCAGCCTCGCACCCGCGGAGGCCCTCGCAAGACAGCACCGCTCGACGCACCACAGCTCGTCCACCCCCGGCCGAGTCCACCAGTTCACCCGCAAGCTCCTCAGCGCCGGGCACACGATCTCTCCCTCGGCCCCCTCGCCCCAAGAATCCTCCTCCTCCTCCCCTTCCTCCTCCTCAAGCTCCTCTTCCTCTTCGCCACCCTCCTCTCCGATCCCCTGGCCCTCCCCAGCCTCCCCAAGCGGCAGCTCCCGCGCCCGCGCGCCGAGCGCCGCGAACACCCGCCGCGCATGCGCGGGGTGCACGCCCACCTCCAGCCGCCGCACGGTCCGCACGCTCTCCCACAGCCGCCGGAGCCGCGCGACGTCGTCGCGCTCCGCGGGCTCGCGCGCGTCCGCGTCGTAGAACGGCACGAGCGCGACGGACAGCTCCGTGAGCGCGGGGAGCGGGACCGCCTTGAGGCCCTCGCAGAGCCGCGGGACGCGGCGCGGTCTGCGGGCGCGCGGGGAGCGCGCTTCGTCTTCGGAGAGGCGCCACTGGACCGTGAGCGGGGCGAAGGGCTCCGCGTCCGCGTCGGAGTAGGGGGAGGGGGGGAGAGACGAGAAGGAGGCGAGCGTCGGGCGGTGGAGGACGAACGCGGCGCGGCGCACCGCGCCCGCGAGCGCCTCGAGCGAGCCGCAGTCCTCGTAGAGCGGCGAGGAGACGCGGCCGTCGAAGCGGAGCGTGACCGCGGTCGTGCGCGGGGCGAACGCTATGTGCGGGAGGACGGAGAACGCGGCGTCGAAGAGCGGGCCGACGTGGAGCTGCAGGCGGCGGAGGCGCGGGAGGAACGCGCGGGGCTCGTCGGCGAGCGCGTGCGGGGGGCGGCGGAGGTCCGCCTTGGGGGTCGCGGTGCGGAGGGCGAGGAGCTCGAGCTGGGGGCTCGCGCGGAGGGTGTGGAGGAGGGCGGCGAGCGGGGGCGCGGGGCCGCAGGCGAGCTCGAGGCGGACGAGGCGCTCGTAGGGGAGCCAGGGGACGGAGATGTTGCGCGCGTGGAGGACGCGGAGGGGCGGCATCGCGTGGTCGAGGAGGGAGGTGCGCGCGGCGGCGAAGCCGGAGCCGGAGTTGGCGCCTGCGCTGTCGAGCCAGAGCTTGTCGAGCATGGGGACGGGGCAGCGGCCGAGGGTGTCGAGGACGAGCGCGACCTGCTCGGAGGTGTCGAGGACGATGCCGAGCTCCTGGATGCGCTCTGAGCAGTCGCCGATGACGCTCGCGAGGGCGAGGAGGTCGTAGACGGCGCTCGGGTCGCCGTCGGGCTCGCTGTCGGTATGAAAGGGGTGCGTGAAGAGGACGGAGATAGGGAAACCTCCTGTGCGTTCGAGCATCTCGTTGATCATCATGCGGTTCGCGAAAGAGCCGGTGACGCGGAGGAAGGTCCAGAGACGGGGGCGAGTGAGCATGAGACGACGCCAATGGGTGCAGACGTGGGAGAGCGCGATGACGTTCGCCCATAATGGGACCGGCCTGCGCCTCGGACCGTATACATTGCGGTAGTCCTCGCCATCGTCGTCATGATCGTGGGGGTAGAGTGGCTGGGTGTCGTCAGGTAAGCTTGTGGGAATGAGGGGGACAAGGAATGCACGGACCTCTGAATGTCGTTCTCCTGGGAAACACATCAGGCTACGCATGGCGTGGAAGATCTCTTCAAGGATGTCATCAGGGAAGTCCGTCAAGCGAATCATCGCAGTGGATGGCGGAGGGATGGGTGCAAGTGTCTTGGGATACTGCCCGCAGGAAGCTGTGAAGACGTCCTAATAGTCGTCCTAGAGGTGCACGTGTCTTAGGCGCGAAACAAAGGGGGTGGCGACACTGGGGTGGCAGAGGAAGATGGTGTGCATCAGAAGCTCGTGTAAAACCCATTGTACACACCGCAGTCGATTGGCGAGAGTCGCCACGATTGTGCTCGTGGCTTTGAGTTTAGAGCTTGCAGCCAGCCCTAGGCCTTCCACCACTAACACGAGCACGTGATGCCGCACGCGTCGCGTCGCAGCCTGAGGTGGTTTGGCTCTTCGACCCCTGCCACAAAGGCCGCGCGCCTCAATATCGTCCGCTTGGTCAACCTCTCCGTATTCCATCACTTCGTGCTATCACGTCCGCGTACGTCCGACGAACGAATAGCTATACTTCATGTCTTCGGAGACAACGCTCCATCGACCATGGGGGGATGTCATCCCGCCTCGCCAACTGTCACCGACTATTCGCTCGGGCTCGAGCACTTGTTCTCAACTCTAGACACGGCGCATTCTTCGATCATAGGTATCGTCGATTCGAACCAATCCAAGGCGATCCGCTCGATCCACTCCATCACGTTCGATGTGACCACACCAGCGTCGGCCTCACGATCGCCTGTTCGGCCCATGTCAGCCGTCAGCCACCTCTGGTTTGCCACTATATGAACCTCCCGAGAGCACGACTAGACCGCCCTCCCTCTCTTCTCCTTCTCCCTCGTGTCCCCGCCTTCCTCCAGGTGCCAGCTCTGGGCCTTCAAGCCCGTCTAGCTCCTGGATCTCCCTGGTCTCCGCGTCAGTAATCACCACCATCAAGAGGCTGTATCGTGCAAACGGGCGCATAGAAGACGGTCAGGTGGCCAGGCTGGGGCTGGTATGATTCTTGTTTGCGGCCTTGGCTTTGGTTCTGGTTCTGGTTTCCGTCCTCAATTTGTGGAATGGGTTCCGGTCCTGGAGGTTCCCAGCAGGGGTTCGGGTCTGGATGGCTTCGGTGTGGTTGTCTGTCTGGGGAGCTTTGGTCCGACGTTCTGGCCTGGTATGTCTGTCTGGGGTTTCGATACGTGGTTCTGATTCGGACTCTCGGGATGCAGCTTCGTTGGAGGCTTTGGTGTTGGTCCTCGGTCTGTGGTTTCGGTCTCGGGTCTTGGCTCGAGCTACTGGTTTGGGAGCTCGGCGTGAAGAGTCGGTCTTACGCTTGGCCTGGGATCTTGTCTGGAGCTTCGGCCTGGGACGTCGATCTGGTGGTTTTCTAGATCGGGCTTTCGAGTCGTGACGTTGGGTTGGGCTTTCAGGGGGCTGTTCCATTCGGGGGCTTACTTCCGGGTTCCCGTCATGGGGTTTTGGCGTGAGGGCTTGGTTCGCCAGAGGCTTGAGTGCGGGGTCTCAGCCTGGAGTTTCGACCTGTGGCTTGCGTTTGGTATCCTGGGGTGCAATTCTCGTCCAAGGCTCTGTTCTCGGATCTGTGTCGGCACTTTCGGTCTTGATGACGGTTCCAGGCTTCTGTCTAGGATTTCTGGTGGGCGCTCGAAACTAGGGGCTACGGTCTAGGAAGCTGGTCTGCGATATCAGTCTGGGGATTGGTCTGAGTCTGGGGCTTACCCGGGGGAGGGACTTCGGTCCTGGCGCATACCTTTTCGTGGTCCTCGGGATAAGTACCTCGTCGCGCCCTACTCCTCGTTACGGCGGGGATTAGTGCGCGGGGAGGGAAACCAAAATGCGTTATGTTGTCGCCTAACGGGCGATTCGAGCATATGGGCACTTCGGATTGGCACACCGTTCAACGCTCAATGGAGCGTGTATGTTGTGGCATAAACCCCACAATATCTTCCAACGTCTCATGTGTCTTCGTATTGTGGAGGTCGGTTTTCTTATGAGGTTTAACAGCATGTTGATTGTGCGTTACGCAGATACATGTCGAGCACGTCACGAATCCTGTATGGTCACGGTCAGAAGGGTGATGACACCATCCACAGCGATGCCTGCGGACCAATCGGCTCGTCAGCTTGTGCTGCTCGAGTGCTCAAGCGTCCAACGCGCTCGCACCGTGATTGACACCGTCGCTGCCAGCTGGCATGAGACCGGTGATGTTCTTTGCTACCGTGTTGTACGTCACGCCTCCGTGGCTTTTCGTACCCACTGCAGCCGCCACGAGTTCGTTGCTGTCATGGTATGGAATGAGTACCGTGCCCACGCATGGTTAGAAGCAGAGACGCACCGTCCGATGTTGTAGCCGTCGTCGACGAGGTCGTGGTTCGCGCTCGCGTCCTGCTCCTTGGAAACGCTAGAATCAGTTGTGACATGTTATCAGCCCGACAACGATTGTGCATATAGTCATTGTAACGTACGCAAGGAAGAGCGCACCACTGTTGGCACTCGGACCATTCTGGCGCCAGACCCTACAAATGCGGATACAGTCAGTTTTACACGATGTTCAAATGGGAAGCACGACGCTCACCGGAAGTGGTTCCCGCCGAGCAAGCTCTCGAAACACGTTCCGAGGAAATCGTTCCCAAAGTCCTGGCGGAACTCGATCGTTTGATTCAGCGACCCGTTGCCATCACCGAGGTTGGCCGTCTGAGGCGTTCCGAGGTGCAAGCCGAGACACTCTTTTGAGCTGGGCACGTTTTCGAGCGGCGAGGGGGGGAACCCCCGCGATGCGCCCTGTCAGCATCTACACATCTGGGCGGGCGTGCAGTTTGACTTGAGCACACTCACAAGCTGATCGCCTGTGCGTAATTCAAGATCCCGTCGTCCGTGAGCACGTCCGGGGAACTCTGCCCCGAGATGATCACCTGTGAAGAGCGAGGGCGTCAGGACATGGGCGTCGATCGCTGTCAGGAAGGGGGCGCGCAGCACATTCAAGGGTTCGCCGCCGAACGTGGCGTTGTCGAAGATGCTCCCGCCGCCCTGTGCAGGATCGAAGAAGTCGACGGCGCGCTTCTGGATGGCCAAGCCGGTGACCGCAGAAGCGTAGAATAGCCCGAACAGAGCGAGTGGAGCGCAGAGCATGTTGTCGTTATTGGCGTACGTCGAATGCGATAGTTTAGAAGAAGCTCAAGGGGTAGACCGACAAGTAACAAGACGCAAAAAGGCCAAGGCGTGAATACGGAAGGGAGCGAACGGGTCGACAACCAGCTGTTGACCTAGCGTCTCTGGCTGTCGGTGCTCAGACCTTTATAGGTCTCCGGTGGTAGAGGGGCTGACAGGTACAACAATCCTGCCCGTCGGCTGACAATTCGTCGGTCGACGACCAGGATCGCCAAGCAGGACCGCAGAGACAATCATCAACGCAACGTGTCGACGTCGCTCGTGTCCTGTATTCGCTTATGGAGGATTTGCCGCCAGAGAGGAGAGCGCATCGGTCTCGAAGAGGGCTGCCGTCATCGCCCTCTATCGACCGAGCACTCTAGTAGCATCAATACGTCCAAAAAAGGCGCTACCCCCGCGCGCCCGAAAGTAAGGGCCGGATGCTGACCTTAAAGCCAGGGCGAAACCAAGATCAACTTGCCACCGCTGAATAGCCTGGTTTCACCGAGCTACGCAACGTCCCTGATGCCATTGCCGGCAGAGGTGTCCATGCCGCCCTTGCCACAAGGAGCAGACACCAACGCGGACGGTTTAGAGAGGTGTTTGATGGCGGAGGAGCGGGATGACGACCACGGGTCGGCTTGTCGCCATCGTAACCACGGTGATCCAAGTTATCGGCGAGTATGTGAGGACGTCGAGGTCTATGCGACTCACGGTCGGGCGCAAGCCGCACTTGGCAGATCGTACGAGAACGCGTAACGTCACAGTCACGTGAACACAGCAAATCCACCTCCGACGGAGTGCAGTTCGAACCACTCCGAGGACCGCGACCACATATGGCCCGTCTCATTTCCGACTCGTCCGGTTGGCAAGGTTGTCTACCAGAGATGCACAGCGCAGCACTTACCGCAACGGCGCGTTATGCATGCCAAGTTGCGTCTCGCGACTCTCGCCAGATCGGACTGGGACCCACGACTCACGAGGCAGCCACAGCATGTGTCGCTTGCCATGTCATGTTCAGCTACGCCTGCGACCAGTCGGAGATGGGAAAGCTCGTGGAGAGGCTGCTATACAGGTCCCGACAGGCAGGCCGGAATCGTCACTGACATACGAACGACAGCGCAAGTCAGCCTCTGTCAGCCTCGATGCCAGTCTCGCCCTACGGGGCACCTCTCCTACGCCGTGCTCGACCCGTCGATAGCGCGTCCTCTACATCTTTCCTACGGACATGCAGTTTCCCCTCAACTTCTTGCCGCCCGACGTGCTGGCCACGCACCCTCTATCTGCCTTTCATCCTCGCAATGGCCATCAAGTCCAAGGTCGGAAGTCGCCCGCGGTTTCCGCTGCTCCCAAGGCGCCCGGTCTACACCCTCTTGTCTATGCGCAACAGCTCGGCTGGTCCGGGATCAGGGACGACAACGCTCTTCAAGCGCGACGTCAGGCGGCCGCCTCTCCGCAGGTCCAAGCCGCATACCCGCAAGCCCAAGCCGCGCAGGTGCCATTTGCCTCAGCACCCCCAGTGCCACCACTTGCCAGCACCTTCCAGACGTACCCGTTCGGTGGCTTTCCTCACGGCGGATCGGGACCAGGTTCTCAGGTATACCAACTTCCTCAGCATGCGGCCAACGCGACGATGCAGCAGGACCTAGCTGTATACCAGACACAGCTCCTGCAAGCTGCGCTCGAGCGGAATCTCGTTATCCCCTACTTTGTGCAGACCCAAGCTCAGACGCACACAGAAGCAGCAGCAGCACCACCACCACCACCACCACCGGCCACCGCCACCGCGGACGCAGGGCCAACGATGAGCGTACTGGACACCAAGGATCCCTTCGTGTACGTCCATCCGCCGCCCGAGACGCTCACGACGGCGCAAGGCCGCAAGCTGTTCAAACGTCTACCCAAGACGCGCATCAGGATCGAGCAGGCGTGCGAGGCGTGCAGGAAGCGGAAGAGCAAGGTGAGCGTCATACTCTGCTCTGGCTGTCGGAGCTTCCATCTTATACCTCACCCTCGCCGGCAGTGCACAGGCGAAAGACCGACGTGCAAGCGCTGTGACAGGCAGGAGGTGGAATGCGTTTATATCGCGGAGCACCGGGCGAATAAATGGAAGCGCATGCAGAACCGGGTGCCGAGGCCTATGGACTTGGACGAAGGCTACGACGGCGACGGCACTGGCGCTCTGTCCCCTTGTCCGCCTGCTGATTCCTCGCGTTCGTCTTCCTCTGTTTCCGTATCTGCGTACTCGTCTGGGACTGCGGTCGACAGCCGGGCTCCGCCGCAAGGGTCTGGCTGTGGGTCGGCTGACACGCTGTGCGCTCCGTCTATGTTCTACGTCCCTCCACCTCTGGCTGGATCTTCGCTTCCTCGGCCTTCCTCTGTCGGAGACGTACAAGCTTCTGCTCAACTCCCTTCTGGCAGCTTTGCGGGGGGCAACGATGCTATGGCCGGGCCTTCTAGCACACTCCGCTCGTCGGTGTCATCTCAGACTATCGCCTCAGGTACCTCACTTCCACCCCCGACGTTATGCGTTACAGGAGCTTCTAGTCCCCGCTCGCAGCAACCCTTGTCAAATGAGCCCAACGGCTTTCTGCAGTACGTACTATCCGCTCCTTAGTCCGGGACTGAGTTAACCCGAACACTGCGGCGCCCCATATGTGACCTCATGACACTCAACGTAAACTCTTCCCACAGCCCCCAGCAATGCAGGACAAGGATCCCCACGCCGCACTCGACACCCTTGGCGACGACCACGGACCATGCGACGAGGGCAGGCGACGTCGCGGACGTGGTCGAGCGTCTGATCTACCTGGCCAAGGAGCAGGACCTGCAGTGCCGTAACGGGCCCCCGCCTCTCGGCCGCGGTAGCTCCTCATCATCGTCTAACGCCTCTGGCGCTCGATCTGGAGCGCAGACGCCGTCCGACTACTTCGCCTTACCCCTCCCCGCGGGATCCGACCCCCCCACCGGTCTCTATTCAAAGCAAGCGGCTCGGGACATGCTGGCGGTCCCCGGGCAGGCGGAGATGGCGAGGTCGGACAGCGTAGCGACCGGATTCTCGCAGATGGCCTTGTCGTCGTCGTCGCTGTCGTCGTGTGGTGCGTCGGTGGCGGATAGCTTGGCGTCGGGGACGTCGGGGCAGGACTGGGGGGACGATTATTGCAGTCTGGAGTACGAGATGTACTTCCACTCCTCGGGTCTTCCGGACTCCGTACCTTCGGACGTGTCCTTCCATCGTTAGCTCTCAACCTTATGGCAATGATCATCACGTTTCGTTCTCGCTAGCATCAAAGGCTCGGCCGTGATGACTGTTTTCTCCTGCTGCACACACTGGCAGCCATTCACCATGCCTCATCCCAAGGGGATGCAGTCTGAGGGCGACGCACTGACAATGCAGAACGGAAGCGTTCGATCGCGTCAGGACCCATATGGACCCACCGTTCTTGGGCGGTTGGCTTACGTGATTTATCCCGAAGTAGAAATAGCGCTGAGCAAGGGATCGAGGACGGGTGCTATCAACGCTGCTCTACTCCCATTTCCAGCCACTCCCGCGAAGACGGCCGCGGATATGTTGCATCCACGCCTCTCACCCCCTCGCATCCCTCTTGCCTCCGCCACCAGCACGCCGTGAGATGGCCTCAAGTGCTCCCCCGCCGCAGCCCGTGCCCGACGCCTCGTCCAGCCAGCCCGCCGACCCGCTCAGCCCCGCCAAGGAGATCCCCGTGTTCGAGTTCACGAAGCGCAAGCGGTGGGCGGACCTCCTCGTCACCGAGCTCAACGACACCGTCATCCTCGTCCTCTCCGAGACGTGCCAGGTCTGGTACTGCGGCAACGCGATCACCGAGCTGCTGGGCTGGCGCGACGACGAGCTCGTGGACGGCGATCTGATCGATCTTATGAACGGTGCGTGTCCTTGCCGCGCCCTCTCTCTCTCCACCCGAGACGAGGCGCGTCGCCTGCATTCACGATGGCACCTTCTGACCACGATCACACACAGCGGACGACCGGGGCCCCTTCCGCGCGGCGTTCGCGGAGAGCATCCGCACCAAGACGGACATGCTCGCGTACGCGCGGCTGCAGTGCAAGAACGAGTTCTACGTGTCCGCGACCGACTACACCTCCGCCCCCAAGGAGGTCCTCTTCGAGCTCCGCGGGCGCCCGCACTACCTCCCGCACTCGGACGACTTCAAGTGCTACTTCGCCATGGCGCAGCCCTACCCGAGCCGGAACACCGCCATGTGCGTCTCTCTGCCGGTTCTGGGGCACGAAGCTAAACCGCAGGTGCCCGCGCCGACAGGCTGAACACGTTCCTCGAGCTCAAGATGGAGAACGAGCGACTCCAGCAGCGCGTCGCGCAGCTCCGTGACCAGTCGCAGGCGCTCGGCGGCCCTTCCGACAACTTCTTCGCCTCTTCAGACAGCTTTGGCGCCCCGGAGGGTGCGAGGCCGAGCTTCGAGCTTGGGGGTTCAGGCCTTGGGCCAGACGCCGAGGACGACGGGCCTCGGAAGAAGGTATGCTCCGCGTGGGATCTTTGACGTGCGCGTGTAGGCTGACTGGAGCCACGTACGTTCTGCTCTGCAGCTGAAGCGTTCTGTGGCCGATCAACACGTATGCGTGACCTGCGGGAGGACGGATTCGCCCGAATGGCGCAAGGTGCGTGTTCTAGATAATCTCCAGCAGTCAGAAGAACAGTAGTCTCACGTACTGCGGTTGTCAGGGTCCGATGGGACCGAAGACACTATGCAACGCATGCGGCTTGCGGTGGGCGAAGAAGGCCCGCAAGAACGGCGAAGGCGAGGGGGAAGGCGAAGCCTCGCAGAGCGGCAGTTCCAATATCATCTTTTAGACTCCTTGCGTCCCTCTTACTAGGGTATACATACCCTCATTGGTTCTGTGTTGTATCATACATCATGACTTTTCCCTTTAGAGCATTGGGTTTTCTTGGACCTTTTGACTTCGTATACACGACACTTATCACGCAGGCGCTTCCCAAGTACTGATGGGATGAAGTCTGACGCCCAAGCTGTGCTTGGCTCTCTATCGATCACGAGCCAGAACTTGTCTCTCCTCGACGAACTTGGCTGAAGCATGGCTGATACGCCTCAAATCGCTGACACCTCGCCCCACGACTGGAAGTACATCTCAGAAGGAGGCTCGACAATCGTCTTCTCCTACACCGGTCCGCCACACCCCCAATTCGACGGAACCGCGCTCCGGCTCCGGAAGGGCCCCGTCCCTGAGCGCGAGCACTCGGATACAGAGCAGTACCAGCAGCCTCAGTTCTCAGAGACGCACGACCACGCAGAGGAGCCGGACGACCCGACGATCGTGTTCCAGCGCGCGGTCATCGAGCGGCTCGTCCCGAGGCAGTTCCTGCCGAGGCTCGACGCCGTGCGCGTCGAGCGCGCCTGGTTGCAGCAGCTGGCGCACTTGACGGAGGCGCAGAGGCCGAAGGAGCGGCGGGCGAAGGACAGGATCGATACCGGGCGGAGGAAGGCGGTGCTTGCGACGGACTTGGTTGGCGGGGACGGGTGGGCGGTCGAGATCAAGGTGCGTCGTCGTCGCACGTCGGCTTGTCGCAACCCTCGCTCAAGCAAGCCTACGCTGTCTGCTCCTGCGTTCTTGGGGACGTCTGCTCCTGCGTTCTTGGGGACGTCTGCTCCTGCGTTCTTGGGGACGCAGCCGAAGTGGGGCTTCCTGCCCGCACGTACGCACCTCTCGGACGAGACGCGCGAGATCAAGACGCGGACGTGCCGCTTCTGCATGCACGCGCACCTGAAGAGCACGCAGGGCGAGGACGTCTCGCTCGGGTACTGCCCGCTCGACCTCTTCGCGCGCGACAAGGCGCGCGTCACACGCGCGCTGCACGCGCTGTGGAGCGTCTGGCTCGGGAGCGGGGCCGCGGTGAACAACCTGCGCGTGTTCGTCCAGGGCCGCAAGCTCACGCCCGCCGCCGACGTGCGTCTTCTTCCCCCCACCCTCGCGCGGTGGCCCTGATCCTGATTAACCTCGCCCGTTTCTGCGTTTGCATCTGTGGGCCCGCGTGCCTGTCGCCTGTTTGTGCGTCATCGTGATCTCGCCGACAGCGGCCAGCGTCCCTCGCCCCGCTCGCCGCGCAGCTCTTCCCGGAAGCGTCGCACGAAGGAGGCCCTGCGCACACGCCCGACGAGGTCCGCGACGCGCTCACGTCTGCGCTCCTGCCCCTCCTGCTCGACACGCCCGTCCTCCGTACCCTGTCGACCCTCCAACGCACCCTCGACGCGCTGGACGTCGAGGGCCTCACCGCGCTCTGGGCGCGCCTCCGCCCGGCCGACGCGGCCGAGCTCGGGGAAGGCGAGGCGGACCCCGACATGGCAGAATGGACGCGCTTCGTCGACACGTACCTCTCGCGGCACCCCCCTCGCCCCGAGTCCGCGTCCGCGTCCGAGGCACAGACGCAGACGCGGACACGCGCCTGCCCGCCAGCAGAGGCGGACGAGGACGAGCTCCGGTACCAGCTGCAGGCGTACCTCCTCTCCGCGTCGTTCAAGGACTGCTCCGTCATCCTGCGCATGAAGCCTGGACAGGCCGTCGGGCAGGGGACGATCACCGTGATCGACCTGGACGTGAAGGGCATCGAGAGGCTGGCCAAGTGGGCGAAGCTCGATCGGGAGATCGTCGACGCCTACAGGGGCATCCCGCCGAGGGACTGTGTCGATGCCTGGGCGATCTCAGCTTAAGGTTGAAGCTAAGTTTCGTCCTGTGCCTCACGCGATCTTCCACAGGTAGTGCTTCCACCGCGAGCCAGGCTTTTGTGTTGATTACGCAACGAGATGCGCCTTTGGAGTCAATCCGAGGTTATCGGGACCTGTTGCATTGCATATACACCACTACGTCCGACTGGGCAGATCACAGGAGACCCCGAAGCTTCCATTTACATCTTGCAATAAGATTACGATATAGTATGTCATGTTTTGCCTAGCAGCATGGGGATAACACACATACGTAAGTGAAGCAGGAGACGACGACAGGAATGGGAGGAAGATTGAGACAGAGCGAGTGAATCAGCAGAGCAACAGTGTCCCCACGACTAAGCCACGACAGGTATGTAAGTTACATCTATGTTGTGAGCGGAAGTTCTATTGCCGCCAGTCCATCAGGGCGGAAACTAAACCAATGAGCAAGAAATTCGGATGTCGAGGCCTTGGCCTTTAGATGATGCAGTAGCCGCCGTCCACGCGGATCTCAGCTCCTGTCATGAATCGCGACGCGTCGCTGGCAAGGAAAACGATCGCGCCAGCAAGATCTTCGGGCTCTCCCATCTGCGGTCAATCTAGTCAACACAGGTGCCGTGCAGCTTTGGGATGGAACCACTCACCCGTCCCATTGGTGTCAGGCTTTCCCAAGTTTTCTGGGGACACGCCACGAGTATCAGCACCTGATCGCACACGGGGTACACTGGTGAGAGACGTACCTTCAGCTCCTGGTCGTGTGCGAGAATAGTGCGCGTGAGCTTCGTGAGCATGTAACCTGGGCTATAGGTGGATGTCGCAAGGCACGACACGGTTAGCTCGTCGCCACAGAAGCTATGACATCACAACATACCTGAGCGTGTTCACACGAACGCCCTTCTTGGCCCATTCCACGCCCAAGCTGGCCGCCATATGCTTGACGGCTACACGCAAACAAAATGGTGAGCAAAAGCTCTCATGGCTTCCAGCCACACGTGACGGGAAGTGCTGTGTTGAAACACGTACCAGCCTTGGCCGCGTTATACGGGGTCTGGGGCTGCGGAATGTTGACAATCTAGATGGAGTGTGGGGTATCAGCCGGGATTACGCCGAGCCGCGATCAGTTGTTTACTTACGTTGGCGCTCATACTCGCCACCAGCACAACGCTTCCTCCGCCTTGGGGAATCATGTTGCGCGCGGCCTCGCGCGCAGTGAAGAACGCGCCATGGACGTTGATGTCATAGAGACGTTTTATCCGGTCGAAGGGGTAGCTGGAGAAGGAAGAGGCGGAAGAGCACAGCGTCAGCGTCGGTGGGGCGCGCCATTGATGAGAAGCGCCGTTACGCACTCGAAGGCGGAGTAGTTCTCGACGATACCTGCGGGAGAACGATGATCGGGTGAGCAGATAGCCTTGGCGTAGCTGGCGCGATGACGAACCTGCTGACGCCACGACCGAGTCGACGCGGCCGTACGTGTCCATGACGCGCCTGAACGCCTGCTGCACCGAGAGCTCCGAGGAGACGTCGCAGCCGACGCCGATGACACGGTAGTCGCTGGGCTCCATTTCACTGTCAACTTCACACCTTATCAGCGTTGTGTGGCGAATAGGCGGGAGAGGGGGCGGAGGGATCGAAAGCGCGATACTGACCGCAGGCAGCCTTGATGAGCTCTTCGGCAGCATGCTCGGCCTCTTCCTCCTTGAGGTCGACGATGGCGAGGGAGGTGCACCCGGACTGGATGAACGCGCGGCAGAACTCGTTGCCGAGACCGCGCGCGGCGCCGGTGACGAGGCAGACCTATTCAGGGGGGAAGCGCGGGGGATGAGCGGGGGGCGCGGCGGAAGTAGAGGGGCAGCGGACCTTGTTAGCCATGGAGAAGTCGGGGAGGGTCTTGACGACGCGCGCTTTGGCGGCGATGCTGTTCAGCTTGGCCTTGACGGCGGCATCATCGCTGTTGAAGCGCGCCTGGACTGGGGGTGTGCGCGGCGTGCGGGGTGCGCGGAGGAGGGTGCGGGAGGTGGCAGGGAGGGTGCGAGCGAGGAGGGACGGGGCCATGGCAGCGGGGGAGGATGGTGGGGGATGTGGGGAGAGGGGAGGGGAGCTGGGGCGAATTTATTGGCGGGGACGGGGTGGCCAGACTCTGGCGCAGACGGGTGGGACTTGGGAGCTGTCGTCTGTGCACTCGCAGGAGCCGTACATAAGCTGTCTTCTGCCCGCGATTGGCTCGCCTTCCGGGCGTCTACTGGGCTCGATGCCCCGGTCCGACGTTCCTTGCGCCGCCTCGCGACTCCCCGCCCGACATCAGCCCCATCCCGGCCTAGACCTCCCCCGCTCTACCCCGCCCCATTCTCGGTTCACCCCACGCCCAGACACTCGCTTTGCCGTCACTCTTCAAGCAAATTTCAAGCATATGTTATGTATCGTCGGCGGACGCGCGGGCACACATACGTAGCGAGACACAGGTGGTAGTAGTAGTAGGTATGGGTTCGAGGGGTCATATGTAGGAACGAGCGTGGGGTATCCGTTCGAGCTGAGCAACAGGATAGCGGGCCAAATATGTAGACACATCTAAAGTACGTAGAACAATAGCTATAAACGTAAAAGGCACGACGGAGCGAAGTCTCGAAATCGAACCAACAATCGTGATCTATCCGGGGCGGAGGAAGAATGGGGAAGCCGACCGGAAGCATCCAAAGCGACACGGTCCTCTCCGCCTGGGAGAATATTGTACACTATCCAGGTGCCGGCTGCCACCAGGATCGAAATCGATGGATGAGGTTGGGGAGTGCGCTGGCCAACAGCCGCAGGATATGTGAGATGGAAGGGGAGATGGCGAGGATGGCGAGGAGAGATAGGATGATCGTGAAAAGAAACACGTCGCGAGAAGAGAGTGAGAGTGTGAGAGGGAGGTATCCGGATCCGATCCAGCCAAATGGGAGATATGCATAAGAACACCGCACCCGCGTCGATCATAGACACGCAAACTTCGATTTGCGCCGCTGCAGCTCCTCCATCCGGCTGTCGAGCTGTGCTCGCGCACGCTCCTTCGCCCGCCGCTCCTCGTCAAGGCGCGACTCGAGTGACTGCTTCTCCTCCACGATCGACCGCCGCACGTTGACCACCTCCGCCTTGGCCTCCTGGAGCTCCGTCCGCAGATTGGCGATCTGAGAGTTCAGGTTGTCGCGTTCGCGAGCCAGCTCTGTCGCCTGCATCCGCGCCTTGCGGACTGGGAGAAGATTCCGTGACCGTCAGTCGGAACGCTCTACACGCAGATCACCGAGCAACAGACGCTTACGATTTTTCTCCGAATCCCCAAGCGACGCCTCAAGCGTGGCAACCATGTCCATGTGAGCCTGAAGGTCCGTCTCGCAATGATTCAGCTGCTTGTTCAGCGTCTTGATCATCGCTTCCTGCTCCTCGATCTGTTTCGACTGTTGCGCGAGCTGCGCAACAACCTTCGGATCGGGCTCCCGTGACCCTGCAAGCGGCGACGGCAGACCTCCGGCGAGCGAGTGGTTAACAGACGTCGCAGGCGTGGACGGTGACTCTCCGTCGATGCTAATGCTGCGCGAGGAGATACCGGCGGAAGAGGAGGAGCTAGTCTGTTCGTGCATAATTCTGGGGGCGGGGGGGATAGGAACAGTCGGCGGAGGTGTGGGAGGCGGGAGTTTGCCAGGTGACATGATGCCTGTCGCACGTGTGTAAGACACAGTGCGATCCACTGGCGGGCGCGAAGGCGTCGTCGGGCTGCCGAGTTGCTGCTGGAGGTCGCGGAGGAGCGCGTCCTGCCGGTTCTTCTCGGCCACGAGAGTGTCCATCTCGTCCTTCGTGCGTTGGAGGTTCTCCTGCATCTCCGCGATGACGGAGCGGTGCCTCTCAAGCTCGTCGACGAGCGACTGACGCTTGGACGCTTCCTTGACGAGCGCCGATGTCTCCTCGTGCGTCCGTTGGAGCTCGGCACGCAGCTTGTCGACCTCGGCTGAAAGCTCGTCGCGCTCGCCATGTACGGCAGAGAGCTCCGTTTCGAGCGCGGTGATGGACGCAGTCTTCTGCTGCATGGCCGAATCGTGCGCCTGCCGCATCTCCTCGCGCGCGTGGACCCATTCCTCCGCAGCAGCTTTGTGGGTGTCAAGCTCGTCTAAGAGGCTGTTGTGCTCCTTCGTCAAGTTCTCTAGCTCCTCGGCGTGCTTCTTGCGGAGTTCTTCTAGAAGGAGGTTGTGGTTCCGGAGGAGGGTCTCGCGCTCTGCAGCATGAGTCTGCTCCACGTCGGCGAGCGTTGCCTTCAAGTGCTCCTTTTCACGAGCAAGGAGTTCCTCGGTCTCCGATCGCGAGTTCTCGAGCTCCGAGCGATGCTGTTCCTCGGCCGCGACAAGAGCAGCTTGAGCCTCAGTCGTGGCAGTCTGGTGCTCCGCCTTGAGACGAGTGATCTCCTCCGTGTGCTCCTTGAGCAGAGCACAGCGCTGCTCCTCCCAATCGGAGCTGGACGACGAGAGCGCGGACTTATGCGTATCCGCGAGACGTCCAAGCTCCTCGGCGTGTGCGCGTTGGACCTCGGCGAGAGCAGCTACATGCTCGTCCTTCAGAGCTTGAAGAGCCGCCTCGTGCTGAGAGTGTGAGGTGGCTTGCTGTTCCTCGGCCGCCTTTGAGACCTGTTCCAACTCGGATCGCAATGCCGCCTCTGACGCGGCGCGCTCGGTCTTGCTCTCCTCCAAGGCAGCAGTCAGCCTCGCGATCTCCTGTGCGGACTCCTCGTTGAGCTTCGCGATGACTGCAGAGTGCTCATCGGCGAGTTTCTCGAGGTCAGCTTGATGCGCCTTGTCCTTGTCCGCGAGCGCACGAGCGTGCTCCGCATGCAACCTCTCAACTTCATCGCTGAACTCGAGCTCCTTCTTGGCGAGAGTTTGGGTATGATCTGCCTTCAGACGCTGCAGGGATTCACGATGCTGGTCGAGCTTCGCAGCGAGTGCCTGCACATGCTCATCCTTCAGCCGCTGCATGTCTGACGCGAACTGCTGCTCCTTGTTCTTCATGGCTGAAGCGTGCTCTTCCTGCAATGTATGAAGTGCTTCGTCGCGAGCAGACTCGGACTCGGAAAGAGTACCCTGGCGAGAAATCTCTGCCATACGGAGTTCGCGGGTATGCTCGTCCTTCAGTCGCTCCATTGCTGTCGCCGCTTCCGCCGCCTGCTTCTCGAGCGCTTGGGCATGGTCAGCACGGAGCTTGGTCAGGGCGTTGTAGTACTCCTCTTCGATGCGCGAGAGGTGAGCGGCGTGCTGCTCCTCGATGGTCTTCGTCGTCTCCTGGTGCTCGGCGGTCGCCTTGGCGAGAGCATCTGAGTGCTCGGCCTGAACTTTCTGCAGCGTCTCCTCCGCTTCCTGAGCACGACGGCGCACTTCTCCCAGGTGATCGGCCTCGAGCTTGCCTATTGCCGCCGCGTGCTCGGCCTTTAGGACGTTGATGGCGCCTTCGTGGTTGGCAGCCGACTTCACGATGGCAGCCTCGTGCTCGGAACGGGTACGCTCGAGTAGCCCAGCAGCCTCATCGAGGCGGCGATGTAGTTCATCTTCGTGCTCCGCCTTAAGCTTGCCAAACGCGTCCTCGTGTTCGTGCTGGGCCTTCTCTAGGGCAGCAGACGACTCGGCGACTTGAGCGCGAAGCTCTCCAAGAGATGCCTCGTGATCTTCCTTGAGCTTGGCAATGAGAACACCGAGTTCGGCTTCCTTAGCGCGAAGCGCTTCTTCGTGATCAGCTCTGAGCTGCTGAACCTCTGCCGCGTGAGTCTCTTCGGCTTGATTCAATGACTCGACAAGGTCAGCTTCACGCTTCTTGAGATGCTCCAACGTGACCTGGAGCTCGGCTTCTTGACGCTGCGCCTCCTCTACGGACTGAGTGAGCTCTGCCTGGCGGACTTGCAGAGCCTCCATCTCCTTGATGTCCTGCGCGTGGTTCGCAAGGTCCTCCTCGTGCTTCTTGCGAAGAGCTTCAAGCTCCGTACTCATGTTGAGGGCCTGCCGTGACGTGAACAACAAGCCCCACTTCTACCTGGGTTGACCTACATACCTGATCGCGTGAGAGTACCTGCAGGTCCTCGTGCTGCTTACGAACTTGGTTGAGCTGGCTGGTAAGATCGTCAACAACCTCCTTGTGCTTCGACTCTTTCTGTGCCATCGACCTGCAGACGTCGTACAGAGTCAGCCGAAGATGCTACTCTGGGTGTCGTTTCTACATACCGCATCAGCTCATTGAGTCTCACTAGCGACTCATCGACATCGGAAGCGGTGTATGAATTGACGTGGTGGAGGTCCAGACTCTTTCGAATCTCGCTGAACTGGGTAATGGTTTGGGGCGAAAGGTGGAGGAGAGTGTCGTCTGCATTGGGCTCAGGGGCATTTCGCTTGGACGCGACGAGAGTTTGCGCCGCCTCTGCCTGGTTCTTCTCCCTCAACGTCGACTCAAGAGAGGAGATCTCGGCCTCTCGTTCCTTGATGACATCCTGGAGGCGCATGATTTCTTCTTCAAGACTGGCAACGGAACGTTCGGTGGGGGAGATGGCGACGGAAGGCAAGGAAATGGATAGATTGGGACGAGAGTGTCCAGGGGACATCGAGATCGAACTACTTGTTCCATGACTGGAAGTAGAAGCTTTGCGCGACCTGGCCGAGGATAGCTCCTGCGATAGCGATACAGATTGCGAGAGCGATCTGACTGCCGTGTCATTAGGAAGTAAGTCTTTCTCGCTACCGGATACATACCTGGAGTGGAGAGACTCGGACGAGGCCGCGTTGCGGAAAAAAAGGCGTCGTCCTGATCCAGTTGACGACTCCTGGTCTTTCGACCTGTTGATCCTGCGCCTAGGGGAAACATCTCCACGTTCCGGAGACTCGGGCGCCGGCACAGGAGCGTTGACCTTGGCCTCCTGCAGTTGAGCAGCAAGATCGGCAATCTCGCGGAGGGCATCACGGTACTTCGCCGTGACAGACGACAGGTCCGCGAGGGTAGCCGTGTGGGTCTGCTGGAGAGTGACGAGTTGGGCTTCGAGAGAGCCATCGGCCTCGTGGGGAGAAGAAGCCTCCGAGTTGGCACCATTTGTCGTAGTGCCGTTCGTGTTCGTGCCGTTCGTCTTGACAGGGGAGACGGCTTCGAGTTCCTTCTTCGCTTTCTGGACTTCGTTCGCCAGCTCGCCCAACCGCTCCCTCTCCTCGCTCGCCGCCCTTCTCTTTGCCTCCCATTCTTCCATCTTTTGCTCAAGCTCGCGAACCTTCGCCTCCCTCTGCTCTAGGTCTGACCTCCAACTCTCGCCATCCTGCTTCAGACTCTCCAGGCGAGACTCCAAAGCCGCCACTTGATCGCATCGCTTCTCGCACTCACGCTCCAGTTTCTCCACGGTCTCCCGCAATGCAAGCACTGATTCATCCGACTTCGCAAGACGAGCTTCCAAGTCTGCAATGTACGCTGAAGAGTGCGACTCGGTGTCCTTGTAGCGCGCGAGTTCACGCTTGAGGTCGGTGATGGAACCACTAGACGATGTCTGGCTCTCATCGTACTGGCGCACCTTCTCCTCGAGGTCGTGGACGTACGCCTATAAACTTAATGTCAGCGTATAGTTGCAACATACACAACCCCTCTCTTGCCTCTGTTGACGCTTCGCGCTCTGCTAGCTTCGCGACGCGAGCTTTGAGCTCTTCGACATACATCTCCGTCGTAGCATGACGCTCAGCGAGGGTGTTGTACTCGTTCTCCTTCTCGTCGTAGAGGTCATTCGTGTGACGAAGCGCAGCGCGGTTAAGCTTGAGTTCTGCCTCCATTGCACTGATGGTCTTCTCGTACTCCTCGATGACCGGTCCAACGATCTCCTCGTACTTCGCCGTCCCGGCTAGGCGACCGCCCGTCGAGTTCCTCTGCTTCTCGGCAAGCTCGTTCCGCAGCCGAGTCAGTTCCTCGGTGCGCTCCACGAACTTCTCACGGAGGTCCTCGTAGTTGTTTCGAAGTTCCGTCATTTGCGCCAGGACCTTCTTGGGAGCGCCCTCCGCAGAATCAGAGGATGAGCTCGCGGCAACCGCACCACCACCTTCCTTGATCTGCTTCATCTCCTTCCTCAACCGCGTGACCATACCCTGCAACCACTCCACATCGTCCCAGCCCTCCTCCTTCTCGTTCACGACGGCGCGGTTCTTGATATTCCTCGCTCGGTTCGCATACTTGAGAGTGTTCACGGTCTCGTTCGCGTTCCATTCGGCAGGGCTTACACATGCGATCATGAGTGTATGCGCGTTACCTCCTAGGGAGTCTTGGAGGAGACGCGTGAGCTTGGAGTCACGATAGGGTATGTACGACGCAGTATGCGACTTCGCCTTCGCGGGGTCGCCAAGGGCGGATATGACGTTCCCGAGCGCGAGAAGACCGCTGTTGATAGAGATACCCTCCTTGATACGCTCGCCCGCGGCGGCCGTACGTTTGAGCTACTTGGTGGTGAGAACTTAATACACTGGGTCTGATGGAGAGCACTCACGCGTTCCGAACCAGCCAAATCCACGAAATGGAACTTCGAGACCACAGTGACCCACTCCCCACGATCCTCACCTCCGTCCTTCGCAGCATTCCTTCCGACATCCGGCGACAAGAATCCGAGCGAGCTTGCAGGACGCGTGCCACGGGCGATAGCAGATTGGAAGCTCGGTGTTGAGGGACGGCCAAACGTAGGCGAGGAGACCCGGCTACCACCAGGGGCGCCGACGACGACGGAGCCGGGTCGAGCAATGCGAGAGGGCGACCTTCCATTGGGAGGGAGAGGGGACGATGAGCGTGGGGGTGGGCCGCTTCCGGTGAACTTCTTCTGCATCAGTGTCAGAGAGAAGATTGCGTGAGATCGCGAAGATTGCGCGTTCATGTCCGTTTCATTGGTACGCCTGATAGAGGCCCCTTGGCGGATCAAGCTGGACGGAAGAGGGCGTTAGAGTTGTAATCCAACAACTATGCCGAACTGCGGCGTGTGATAGCAACGGCACCGCAGAAGGACTACACAGGGCGGAGGGATAGCGGATGCAACATGGACAGGGCACTCACTTCATAACATCGTTCGCATTCTTCACGTTAACCTCTCGCAGGCCTTCCCAAATGATGTGACCCTGCTTGTCCTCTCGAATCTGCACGTCGCGTCTACCGGCAGTATCGTCGGCCAGCAAGTCGATTAGGTCTTCGTTGTAGATTTCAATATAGGAACCCTTGATACTATAGGTCCAGGCCCCGCCACGTTCCTCCTTGAGCTCCCTACACCGAGAGAAGATTGTCGAAACAGCTCGAGGAATGATGCCCATGCCGTTGTTGGGATCCGTGGGGTCCGCGTCCAGGTCCATGCCAGTCATAGTAAATGTCTTACCACTACTGGTCTGGCCATAAGCCAAGATAGTGCAGTTGAATCCTTCCACGAAGCGAGAAATGAGCGGGAGCGCAGTGGAGGTAAACATGGCATATTGTGTGGTCGAGGGGGGGTGGACTTGGTCGAAGGTGAACGTCTGTTTTTTGGCGTTGTTGGCCGAGGACGACACGGGTGCAGCAGGTGCGCCCGGACCAGGTGAAGGAGTGGCATCCACGCTGACAGTGGTGTTCGAGACGGCATTGATTACATTGCGCTGAAAGCGACTTGGAATGGAAGTGAGGTCGTGCTGGGTGGTAGGGCGGATACGGAGGGCTGCAATGGCGTCGTATTGGGAACAGTGAGAAGACTGCACTGGAAGCGGACTCACCGACTTGCACCGAGGTGGAAGCCGCACTGGACGGCTGCGACGGCGCCATGGCAAGAGGCGTGCGCGGGGGCGACGAGCACAGAGCCTCGACGACGTCCCGTATGATGGTGAGGGAGTGGGAGAAGGGGGAAACAACGAACGGAAGCTGCCCGGCTCGGTGTCACTAGGCTGCCCGCTTGCTCGGCTAATCCCCGCCTTGAACGCACTTATAAATCCCCCTACTAATCAGCATCTAACATCTTATACACTCTCGTGCGAGGCGCCCGTCCCCCACTTCATCCATCTTACATCTCATTCCTATACAGCCTTTCCGAGACTATCAAAACGAGATGATTGTCCTTGAATCCTACGGAACGTGTGTTGAGACTATGGCGATGTCGAACAGATCCAGGGGCACTTCCTTCGTTCCTTAGCTGCAGCCACTCATAGATGCCGCAGTATCTGTACTTATGCGCCCTTCGGGAGGGTCCCGTCCATTCCTCAAGCGCTGATCGTTGATCTCAGCCACCGGGTCCCTACTGTAATGGCCGGTTGTCGTCGTAACCACATTACCTAATGGTGCCGCAACCACCACCAGAAGCTCAGATATGGCGGCCTGATCTCGTCGTGCACTCCGCCAAGTGTCAAACAAGCATACTGATAGCAAGCCGCCAGCTCTCTGACGCAATCAACGTTTTGAATGCCTAACCCGACAAAAGTGCGTATACACACGTTCACCCCGCCGCCCCATAGCAAGGCATTGAAACATTCTTGCGATAGCGACGGAACGACGGTGCATCCTTGCCTCGTGCTCCCCGACATATCGACTATAGTGGCATGGAAAATGCGGTCCACATAGTACCCGCAGTACATGGAAGTCAAACAGTTTGGCCACAGATGTCAGTATCCCTATAAGGCCTGGGAACAGAACCTGTCTTCAATCAATACCTGCCCCTGGTTGATCAGCAAAGAACATAGTTCAAGGAACGAAAGAACCGAAATCACCGCCGCACTCACTGCACCGATGCTTCTGCTTCCACCCCTCTTATGACAGGCGTATACCACGCGCTCCTGCCAGTTGACAGGATCTCGCCCTCCCTACTCCATGCCTTCCGTCGTGTCCGGGGACAAGAACCCCACTCTCTTGTAAATCTTTTCGACACTCGGATCATGTACGTTCAGGTTGACTTCTTCCTTCGTCCCTGCTGAGGAAGCTCCAACGACACCTTCCAGGCCGCTGGGATGGGCTCCCAGATAGTACCGTCTTCGGTAGTGGCTGCAGTCAGCGGACTACTCCTAGTGAATGCGAGGTGAAGCGGGAGGATGGAGTCGAGGTCCTCCAGCGTGGCTAAGGACATGGTAGTGCAAATGGGAGCCGCACCAGATGGAGGTAGAAGCGATGATAGAGTGGCATAACCGACTTTGACGGGCGGTCCTCGATCGACGACGCGAAGTTGAGTGCCCGGAGCACTCCTACATTGTCAGGTGCAATGACATGGCCTAGTAAAGGTGAGTCGGCGCGGGAGAGAAGGGAGTTGCAGAGGAGTTGAACGGCGTCGAGGACATCCGCGACGGGCATCTCCCCCTCGTTCCATGGCGTGCACAACAACCAAGCAGCAGTCGCAGAAGGCTTCGCGAGGCTGATCCTGTAGTATGAAACAAGCATTGTCCATAATCAGCAATACATCCAGCGAATCGAATTGCCCGCCCACATACACAAGATTGTCCTCCAGGTATATTGCGCACAAACTCATGGTGCTTGGTTCTACAGATTCTGCCAGGTTCCGTATGACATCGTGGAGGTTACCGAGGATAGAGTTCATGAAGCTGTTATCGTATTGCTCCATCGCCTCCAAGAAGGCGGATGGTTCCGCATAGTTCACGACGCGGAGTTGGGCCATGTTGAAGTCTAGATACGAGGGTTTGACGTGCCATCGTAAGACCTACTATGTTATGTACTCCATCAATGCCTACCCCATGAGTCAGACTACATACATCTCGAGCGTTGTGACTCGTCCGTACCTGTCCACTCTGAGACGCCTGCGCATCGCAATGCCCAAACGACGTTGCGATTTGCACAACAGGTCATCCTAAGTTCATTCACTTTATTGAGTATTTGGTCGGTATGGTACAAGAGCTCACTTTCAAGCTGTCGGGTCGGGTTTTCAGAGTCTATCGAAGTCGATGCACGTCTTCCCATAATCGCATGGAGTAGCAGGGCTGTGAGCTAATATCTCATTCTGTATGTTCCACTGAGTTATCGAGGGTGAGTCGAGAACAGCAGAAAATCCGCTATTGAGTATGTCGCTTAGTATTAATGTCGCTCAGGTCCAGTGCGGTCCGGCTTGGTTGGATTACGGTAATAGGGTTCAGCCGATCTCCTGGAGTGTCCTGGGCGTCATGTAGCAGACCGCTTGCTACTCTCAATTCCTTACACCATCCCTTGACTTCGCAGAGTAGACTGCCCAGAGTCCTCTGCTTATCATTCTATTTCAAAGGCTTCATAGTTCTGATATGGCTCCCATCGAGGTGGTTAGCCTCAGCCAGCAGAGCCCCGTCACCTGCCATGCCTTTAACGCGGACCGCTCTCGTACGTCTCGTACTGTTTTCAGGTGGCATCGATGTGCGTTCTCATACGGCATTTCTGCCATTGTAGAGATCGCTGTTAGCCTGAACTCCAACGAAGTTCGGATTTACGCTCGTCAGGGCAATGTCTGGAACCATATCGATACGCTCTCTGAGGTCAGTTGCTTCGTAGCCTTGACCAGAGCTCGCTCGTATTCACTCGCGATGTCACCGCCCAACTGCGAATAACAGCACGACAAGCCGATCACCTCCATCGACTGGGCTCCTAAATCCAATCGCATCGTTACCTCTGCGCAGGACAGGAACGCGTATGTCTGGCAGCAAACTCCCGATCCCCAGACCGGGAATGTAATTTGGAAGCCCACGCTTGTCCTGCTTCGTGTTAACCGCGCTGCGACATTTGTGCGCTGGAGCCCAAATGAGGACAAGTTTGCCGTTGCAAGTGGTGCTCGGTGAGTTCTTGTCATTCTACCCCACCCAAGCAGCCCATAGTCATGCCTATCAGTGCGATCGCCATCTGCTCCTTCGATCCGGAGGGTGACTGGTGGGTCTCCCGTCTGCTCAAGAAGCCCATCCGGTCGACTGTTCTGTCTGTCGACTGGCACCCCAATAATGTCCTACTTGCTGCTGGGAGTGCCGACATGAAGGCGCGCGTTTTCTCCGCCTACATCAAGGACGTCGATAAGAGGTGCGTCCACATGTATCTCTTGCTCTGAACCATCGCTGATAGTCAGTCAGGCCTGCTCCCTCTGTCTGGGGCGAGAAGTTGCCCTTCAACACAATCTGTGGTGAATACGCTAGCCCGTCCGGAGGTTGGGTTCACAGTGTCGGCTTCTCTCCTTCCGGTGACGTGCTCGCCTTCGCTTCTCACGACAGCACTCTCAATATCGTCTACCCCGGCGGCCCTGCTATCTACACCATCAAGTTGGCCATCCTTCCGCTGGTCACACTGACCTGGACTACCGAGGAGACGATCGTAGCTGCGGGCCACGATTGCCAGCCCCTGGTATTCGGCGGCAACCATGGTGGCTGGGAGCTCATTGGCAGCCTCGACGACGTGCACTCCAACAAGTCGTCTGGCGGCTCGCGGTCAGGCTTCGGTGGCGCATCGCCTGTCGGTCGTCTCAACAGCGCTGCGTTCAACACCTTCCGCAATGCTGCGGAACGCGGTATCTCCAACGTCCCCGGATCTCCGACCACCTCTTCTTCCACGGAGTCCGAAGTCTTCACGGTCCATCAGAATACGATTACCAGCGTGCGACCGTACGCAGGCGTGCCCGGCCAGGTCACGCAGGTCAGCACGTCTGGTGTGGACGGGAAGCTCGTTGTTTGGGACGTCAACGCCGTCACGCCTATCAGCGCCACTGGATTAGCTGGGAAGCTAGGAAAGCTACAGGTGCGGTGAAAGCATGTATCGATACAAGCAGTGTACAATCAGAATTCGAGAGTAGAATGCAATGGCGATACCATTGAGGTTCGGATATGCTGTTGGTTGCGTAGAAGGTGACAGTCGAAGCACGGAGGTCATTCTCTAATCGTGGCATCCGCTGTCGTATCTGCATACGGGCCCGACAGATCTGCCATGGGCTGCTCGTTGATAACGGCCCACACTGATGCCTTGAACTATTGCATGGTGTGTGCGCGCGCTGAGAATCGTATCGCGCTTGCAACACGTTGGAGCACGCACCAATGTCAAAACCAAACCCATCTTCACCTCCAACGCCCGTAGCTGCTTCAACATCTTCTCGTCCGGAGCCTCGCTCACTCTGCGTGTCTCGGCGATAAGCTACGATGTCCGCAGCGTATGTTCCACGGTTCAATGCGCGATGAAGAGTTAAATCATACCTCTTTGATGTTCTGGGAGAGCTTGGCATACTGCCAGAGCACCTCTGCCTCCAACTCGGACAGGTTGGGGTGACCCTCGTACGGGTTCGCTTCAAAGACAGAGCCTGAGAATAATGTAGCCATCCTGGTCTCAGAGTATACATGAACAACAGTGAGGAGAAAGGGAAACCAGACAGATACAGGCAATTGAGGTGGTGAAGAAAGAGCAAGCCGAGTCGTCCAAGACTGGAGCGCACGTGATCGCGGTCCCGGGCCCCGCGGCCACCGTCGCCGTGTCCGCGGTCACGATGAACGCCTCTTCTCGTGCTCTTTGTTAGCAAGATACCTCGATCGGTCATGCAGCATACTTGGCTATATGTCTCATGTCGTGCGATTGTAGTACAGCACTCTGCTGAGGAAGACACCTGGGCCTGATACCAAGGAAGCCCGCGACCATAGGCCTCCTTAGCGCATCCTGAACTTTCGCCTCCAAGGACCCTTGGATCAAACGCAAGCTTACACTATGGCCTGTACTCTTCGATGCTCGTCATTGGCCCCGTCGCACTGGAACATTCCCGCCTGTACGTACTTGTTCCATTCCACGTGTTGCTTTAGCTCACTCAGGCACGTATGCTTCTACAGTAGATCTCGAATACGAAGAGAGGGCTTATGGTTACACACCGGATAACCTTGTCACGGCTCGAAGCATAAGTGCACTTCACGAAGTCGGCACTTGCCACTTTACGGGCGCCGAAAGCAAGGCCGTTCCACAGCTGGGGGACCATGCCAAGCACTACTCTCGGACGCAGAGCGTACATGATCAGTCTATTTGATCTCAGTACTGTTTCGGACAACATAGCCTATGCATATATGCTTCTTCCAAATTTCATGGCTGTCCCTGTACCATTCGGGGCTCGCATTCTGGTACGGTGGCTGACCAGACATCACGAGATGCACCGGATATTGCCTAGTGTACGTATAACATCTTGGTCGTTCGGTATGATGGGCTTATGACTTTGTCCCGGGACAGATCAGTCCCAGTCGATGTTCAAGGACATGTCACATACGCGTCTTGCTGCATAGCGGTCATGGCCCGGACCCTCTTGTGCGCTCTTGTGCGCAATAGTCTCCGCGGCTGTAGTCGACAATAGGCACTGACGCCCCACACAATAACGTCCCGTTCGCGGACCCATATCTGAGCTCAAAACGATCGCATGCCCCTTCCTCATGTTTCATATCAAGTCCTCCTGCTGTCCTGGCTACCCCTCATGCTGCCCGAATAGGACGGAATCGAGAGCAAGGGCGACGATCATTACGAGCGCCGCCTCATGGCCAACCTCGATCGGGACTCGTGTGCGCCCCGGAGCCCACATTGACGCTATGTGCGAAGGAACAAGACACTGGCGAGTCCGCGAGCCGTTTCAAGTGTTCCAGGTATGCATGTGTGCTCGCTACTTGCTGATGGTCCGTATGCGCGCGTCGTGCTCTCACAATAGCAAGAGGTCATCAGAGCCGTTCTGGACGCGCGGATGGGCGGTACCGAGGGCCGTCTGTCGCTCCAGCTGTTTCAGCTGGCGAGAAAGGGCCCACACACTGGCGACAAGACCAAGAGGCCGCAATTCTCGGCATCAAAGGGTAGATCATGCTCTTCCGGCGTCGCTGCGCAATGCGACGAGATATTTCGCGCCACAACACCTCAAGCGCGAACGCGGGACCGCTTCAACAGATGAACTAGCCGAGCTGCTAGCGTTGTGTCACAACGATTCCATCTCATTGGGCCTGCACCGGGTGTCATACAGGGTCCAAACTAGAACGCCGCACCGAGTGGTCGCGCTCTCTGTAGCCGAACAAGTGACTGGACAAGCATATTGCACGCCTTCTCTCCCGCCAGCGGTAAAGTTTTAGAGTTACTGCGGGTGCCTCGGAAATCACCCTAAGCGTCATCTACGCAATCTCATTTTCGATCCAAAACGTAGCACACTAATAGTCATGTCCACCACGTCTATGACCTGATGCGTACAGGCATGAGCCGAGACGAGATCCTGTATCTGAACCATGATGGCATCCCATGCTCTAGCTAGCAGGCTACCAGCACGAGGCGAGTTCGTCAGAGATGTATGAGAACAAGACGCGAGATGGAGAAAGACAATAAGACCGCGATCGGGGAAGAGATCGTTTCGGACATACGGCTGCGCTTCCCGCATCGGCCACCCCGGACCACGCTAAATTCATATCGGGCTTTCTACGAGTTGACCAGTTCGGATTGAGTCCGAGGTTAATTGCATCACGCGTACATTTCAATAGCACTACAAAAAAGCTATTAACGTCCAAACGGCCCTGTAGGTGGAAAGTGATCATCTTCATGCGGTCCGCAACTTCGTCCAACATCCGTCTTTGAGTTCCAGAGATCGAGCACGCGGGAACACGAAGCGAGTGAATAACGACCGACAGTCCGCATTGAACGCGAAAATAGCACAGAACGACAGTATGGTATACAGAGCAAGTATCCTGGCAGACTGGCACGCGGTATCTCCGCCTTCTCATGGCAGCTCTTCTTCTTCAGACTACCGCGTGCGTGCGTAGCATACACCATCCTACAACAACTCCCAAGTTATCCAGGTGCTAGCGTAGGCATACGCCGGCGTCGTGTTCAAGACGGCCGGTGCATTACGGCGTCGGGCAGGTCGCCTGGCGCGGGATTATGGTGAGGGTTTGGTACAGGCGTGTCTGGGGAGTGCGAGAGGTGCACGAGGGGATTGGGCGGACGTGGCCGGCCGGCGGTTCGTGTAAGACGAAAGAGTGTCTATGTGAGGGAATGGACTGGGCGCGCAATCGAGCGATATATATGACACAGTGGACAGGACCTATAAAAGGTCAGCGAATGCGAGACAGTGACGGTTGGAGCGGACGTACTTCTTCGAGGTCTAGACTTACACACATCCAACATTTGAATTAGAATAAGATTAGCAGATGAACGTCGAAAGTGAGTCGATGGTAGTGGGTGGGTTATTAGGAGTACGACGTCCGGGATTGGGCACAGACGACGATGAGAGGTGCGAGCACGAAGGGGCACGAGGGAGTGTAGGTCATGTTGGAGCCGATCGTGACAGGCCGGTCATAAGGGGGCAAAATGGAAATCCACTGCGTTACTTGCTGACGTTACGGCGAGCGGGACAAGGCCCCGCCTCCGAGGCGCGGTAGCTGATGCCAGGGTCGGACAGCGAGTGTCCCAGCCGCCGTGCCGTGCGCTGCCGCCCGCGGGGAGGGTCCCGGGCTCGAGCCTGAGCTTTCGCCTTGACTAGCAGTACGTCTTCGTCCTCGTCCTCATCGTCGGCCAAGCACATGCGGTCCTCGTCAGGGTCCGCAAGGGTCGACTCATCCTCCGTCATGCACGCATCCGAGTCGCTGTCGCAGTCAGAGGCGGAGTCGTACTCATGGTCGCTATCGCTATCGTTGTAGTCACAGTACGTGTGCACGCGACGCCAGTAACGCCCGAGGAACAGCTTGATGTCGTCTCCCATCTTGAGATACTCGACATTGCGGGCCAGACCGTCCCAGGTGAGGTCGCCGTTGTCCAGCGCCTCCTCCATGAAGGACGTTGACCCAAAGTAGATGTAGTGAATGATGTGATGGAAGGAGGCGGGGTCGGGAACAGGCAGATGAATGACAGGATGCGTACACGTCGACGAGGGGAGAATGCAAGGGAAGCGAGGAGGAGAAGCTGCAGACTGATGCGGTAGACCTGGCAGGGCGTCCGTCGGTGTCTCCATTGCGAGGTCGAACGGCGATGCTCCGCTTAGCAGACCCCTAAAGAGCGCGGAGTGCGCACACAGGTAGTCCATGTGCAACTAGCAAGGACGTTAGGGCCATATAAGTGCGCAAGACTAGGTAACCAACCTTCATGATCATCCGTCGCGGTCGTACAGACTTACGAGTAGGACTCTGCCCCGCAGCCGAAGGGGACGCGTCCTCCAACCCGAAGGACTCAGCGCTCATCTCGGCGCTGATACCCATATCCCGGAACGCATCGCAGACACCTGCAGATGCTTGCGTCTTGTCGGAAGGTGATTCATGGTCTAATGAAACAACTACATAAGAAAAGCGAAGATGTAAGGCGACGCGGCACTCTCGAATGTAGGGTAGAGGGATGTACCAATCGTGCAGTCGGATGTCTCCGGCCTGCTCCAGTAGTGGGGTGCCAGGCGGCGGAGCTGGTCAATGATGTACTCGAGCGGAACGTCGGCGAGAGCTGGGGGCGGGAACGGGCGGGGGACAAAGGGAACGTGATACATTGCACGGCGGATCGGCGCCAAAGAAGGATAGGGGGAGGACAAGGCACCAGAGGTCCGGGCGAGGGAGGCCAGACGAGCAGAAGCGGAATGGCTTATAGGTGTGTGGACGAGGCTGCTATTGTCTGCCGGAGACATGTTTTCGGAAAAGGTATGTTGTGGAAGTGGATTGAGAGGAGGCGCCACCTGATTAGGAAGCCTTGCGCCGGAGGTGAGGCGTGCTAGGAGGGGCTCCTAAGATCACTGGTCAATTGTTTCGACTCGGGGCTTCGCCCAAGGACAAAGAATGCGAACGGAAAGTGAATGTTCCGCAAAGTCGGGGAAAAGAGGAGAGTGGAAGAACGAAGAAAGCCCGCTGTGGCGGGAGACAAGCTGGTCGATTAGCAGGGCGATAGAAGGATTTATAGAGCAATACGGAGTGATGCAACGCAACCTCGCAACAGACCCGTCGACGACAAGACGGACAGAGAACTTCCAAGTCCAGCAGATCTTCTCGATCTAGCCGCACCCGACCACTGTGTTCTTTTGCGCTCCGCTGGAATTTCCCTCGTCCCGCCTCTCCGTGCCCGAGTCCGTCGCCGCATCTGCGTGGGCGCTGTCCCAGCGTTGCCTTGTTCCCGAGCTCTTATTGTCTTTCGCTTTCCTGTTCGAGAGCCTCGTGTCCAACGCGTGCTCGCATCCAAGATCTCCCCCTGCCCACCATACATCCCTGTCGCCGGCTGCTTCGGACACCCATCACGATCTGCTGACTCGCAGACGTCCCAGGTCCACATCGCCCGCCCTTCCACCTCCCCCGTCACCAGAACATCCAAATCAGACGCTGCCATGAATCACAAGTCTTCTCAGATCATGCGGGGTTGTCGCGCTATTGCCTGCCATCACCAATGCAGGCCACAGCTTCGAAGAGAGAGACCTGACTAAGACTAGGGGATCGTTTCCGTTGATCTCACCTTGTATCCGCTTCTGCATTGTCGACGCCGCGGATAGCCTCGTGCCCACATCCACAAATTCATTTCGGCTCGAGCTCCTCCACTGTCTGCCCCGCCATCCACAGCTGCAGTCCAGGTCTCGCGTACCAGAACCCACGGCACAAGACTCACATACCTCAATCAAGATGCGCAGCAACCGCTCGTGCCGGCTGATCATGGACTAGTCAACGTTCCTATTAGAACTCGCTAGGGTCCCCGACCATAGACGCATAGCTAACGGTGAATCCATCGGAGCTAGGACAACACTATCGACACCTAGAACACACAGGCAAACGTTAGCATCGATTCGGATGTCCCTCAAGCACGTAAACCTCGGATACATTGTTGATGCTGCGTCCCGACCGTCGCTAGCGGTACGCCAACACTCACAGTACCACCGGAGCGTCTGCTAGACTTATGACTCTTGCGCGTGCTCGGGTTGATCCGAGTTGCTTTAAGCAACACCATCCATCCTTCTCCCGTCTCACGAAAGAACAAAGGGAGAGCAGTTGAGTGGACTTCTTCGAGGACGGTGAGAAAAACCAGCGCAATGGAGAGCACATTTTCTCAACAATCGGCCGTCCTGCTAATCACCGTGATGGCTGAATGTCATAGCACAGGAATAGTCACCGAGCGTCTCGCACAATCATCCTTAGAGGCCGAACACAGTTATACACATACGGTTGTGTTGGGTACGCGCACTTGCCGCGTAAGCCACCGACAGATTGTAAGATAGTCTGCCGGCGTCTAGTGCGCAACATCACAGACCAGCACAAGCAGCATCATAGATGTTCAGCTCACGAGGTCGCGGCTTCGTGATTATCGACGTTGATTGTCTTTGCGACAGCGACACAGCAGAGGAGCCGAGTCGCACGTTGCGCGTCATGTCACAGGCGTCGAACGGGTAAATGTTCCCCAGGTCTGCTTGGGCGACCCTGTCGCGTAGAGAAAACAATAAAGCTCGACCTTCGCGGCATCAAGATGTCACGACCAGCATCGGGCTGTCTATCAGGTTCACACCGTATCCCAGAGAAGCTCCGGAAGCGCGACTACAGTATCTGCCGATGTGCCGCAGTACTTCTCCCGGCGGACGACAGTAAGAACGGATGAGGGGAGCCGGTTCGTCGGCTAGACGTACTGTAAAGCGCGGAAGTTGGCGGGGCGCAGGAACTTGGCATGTCCCAGAAAGGCACCTTTCGTAGACGCTTATGTGGTCGAGTGGCTGCTGGCAGTCTCCATTCCACGGGTCAAGCTTTCAAGGGGTGACCACAGCCAGGTTCTGCTCGCAATATGTCGGCATGGCGCTGTACGCTGCCATAAGGTACCCAAATACCACGGCGCTCGATAGCTGTCCCCTTGCGCCACACGAGGAGAGGGAGACAATCTCCGCGCCCAACTGACACGCACAGGGTCTGGACAGTCCGAAGACCCATGGGGTAACACGTACACGGCGGCGCGAAGCACGTTGCGTCTGTCCCGCGAATCAAGAGGGTCGTTAATTATTCCAGCCAGTGCCACGGTCCAGATACCTCGAACCAGCGGCGGTGACTCCGCATAACGTTGTACGAAAAGGGGGCTTTCCGAACGACAGACTCGACAATCACCATGCGGGATTGGCCCACATGGCGAGTGCATCGGGACGTATGTGGGAGAACAATGGAACTGTTCTGTCGCCGCCGACCGACGACGCCATTTCGAATTCGTGCGAGTGCGTCGCCGTTGCGTAACTTGCCACAATGGGGCGCTGAATCGGCGCAACAGTGTCTTGGAAGGCCGCCACCGACCACATCCACAGTGCCACGCCACTTGCGCTCCCAGGAAGATTGTTATCAGACAGAACTTTGAAGTGTAAGGGAGGACGAGGCTTAGCACTAGGAGTAGCATACGTCGCAGAGGATAAGCTCTGGCTCTCAGGGAAGTCATCCTAGAGTTACGCAAGTCAGTGCAGCTTGGGACGTGGAGAAGTGCCGAACTAACTATTCTCGATATATGAGAGGATTCGAAGGTCGGGAACCCGGGGATTGTACAACGTGTAGCACTCGGAAGTATGGGAATGGGTGTGTGGGACGGCCTCGACGGATTGTGCATGCTGCTACGCTGCGCTTCCCGCTTCGGCTTGAGTAGTACTTGGAGCGCGGTGAATCGTCTCAGATGCCTCCTTTTCGACACGCTGCCGCTTCCGTGCGCGTTCGGCGTCTGCCCTGATTTCGTTGAATTCCAGTAGAGGAGGGGGGCGTTTCAGCTTGAGCTCAGGGAGCTTGCGCTGTTCGGGCAGTGGTCTGGAATGTACCTCCTCGCGAGGGTCCGGGATAGGGTCGGGTACGAAGGGTGCCTAGTTGCGATTTGAGAGTCAGCCATCACGTCGGTTGCAGTCAACTGCGAAGAAGGACGTACGGGATCTACTCTCAATGCGATCCGGTTCCACCTGATGTCCTTGAAGAGAGGGTGTGATCGGAGTTCTGCATTGATCATGGAGCCGTTCGGGCGCGGCGTCGACAGTGCGCCAAAGCGTTTGTCGAGGTCGTACATGAATGCATTCTGAAAGAACTTTGCGATGGCTGAAGGCACTGGCCGATTGTAATGGATCTTCTGTGCTGTCACGCTCTCCTGAATCTTCGTAACCCCGACTCCGTTAAAGGGCTGCACGGGCCGTCAGAATCTCGGGGTCAGTGGTTCGGCGGGAGACGAGGACTCACAAGGGCGTTCATGAGCATGTCGAAGAAAGTCACGGCTGCCGCCCACCAGTCGACCGCATACCGGGATTCACGCGAGCCCATGTTCTTGGCGAGCGCTTCTGGGCTCATGAAGGAGATGGTGCCTATGTGGTCGGTCCACTCCGTGCGTTCGTCGATGTATCGCGAGAGTCCGAAGTCGGTGATCATGGCATACCCATCCGCGCCGATAAGAACATTGTCAGTCTTGATGTCTCGATGGATGATGCCCTGGCTATGGAGAAACTCGATTCCCAGGATGATGTTGGAGTAGTAGAAGAGGGCGTCGTGGAGGTGGAGTCCACCAGTGCGCTGGACATGGTCCAGAAGCGTTCCACAGGGAGCATACTCGAGCATCAGGTATGTGTTCCGAACATCAACGTACGCGTCCAGGAGACCTATGATGAAGGGGTTCCAAGGAAGCTTGCTCAATATTCGACGCTCAGCGTGCTTCTTGGCGGCGGCGATGTCTCGATCCCAGCAGTCATCATTCTAGGCCAAGAGTGAGCAGCGCCACAGAGGTAAATACTTCAGAACACGCACTCTTTCCGTGTCGCGGAATATGCGCTTTGAGATGGTTTTCATAGCGAACACCGCACCGGATTCTGGGGTGGTACGGCTCTTGACTTGGGCGAGGTAGACTTCGGCCCAACCTCCATCGCCTGATAGAGATAGTAAGTGTGCAATACATGAGCGGTATGTGAGAAACAAACCTAGCATCCTCACACACTCCAAATCACTCAGGTTTACTCTGGAGACTTTCGGGATCACGTTAGAGTCTAAGCTCTGTGCCGGTGGCGTCGAGGGAGTCGGTTTACGTTGTCTTCGTGATGTTCCGTCTGCCCTGTCGAGCTGTTGAACATGTAGTCAGTGGATAAAGTGTAGCTCTTCCCATTTTAGGGCACACCTTTACTCTTGAAGAAGATGCTATAGGGCTATGCAGACGTTGTGTGCGAGAGATCTGCCCCGGTTTCTTGGCTGTCGCAAAACCGCCATTCTTCCCAGCTTGTTCCGAGAAGTGGTAAGGGGTAGCCTTTTTTGCCACAGGCATATCTGAGGGATGTTTCTGGTAGGTACCGTAGGGGGTTGTGGTGAAGGTGGATGGAAGGCTGTTGAGAGTGGCGGTCGCATTCAAGTTCACGACGCGCACAATAAAGTAGCCACCGCGGTCACGTGTAACATTGTACCTTGATCGGCCCGGTCCATTCAGCGCCCATTGATTCGCTGCATCGGCTCACTACGTTAAGACAGCCTTTCCTCCGTCCCCTCGAGCTCTCTGGCTTCGCCTTCTCCAGCAGCGACTCATTACTCCGAATTATAGCCGTCTGGTTATAATATACCTGCATTTGTGATCTTGCTGGACTGAGGACATCCTTGTCTGCTTGGCTTTCCACCTTGTTAACAAGTCATCTCTATCCAATAATGGATCAGTACGTCCATTTGTTGGATCTGCGTACAGTCTTTCTTACCACCAAAACAGTCTTGAGCTCAACATTCGACAGCTCACTCTGTCTGACCTCGCCGAGAGTATTGGAGAGGTCAAGGGCGAAGGTGCCGATGCGGACGACGTCGTGTCTGCCATTGACCTTATCACATCAAGAGTTGAGACCCGACAGCTTTCCAAGGCTTCTGACGAGCAAGATAACCTCCCTGACGGCTATTCTCTCAACGGGGACTCCCACGAAAACGGTGAAGCGGTAGCAGAAGAGAGGGTATTCATGGTGAGTAATCAAGCTGCCACGCCTTCATCTCGTCGCCTGACACTCTCCAGTCGAACTCGCGGGTGCAATGCAACATTGGTTTTGCAGAGCTTGCCATTAACATGCCACACTCGCACGTCAAAGACACAGTCCCTGTCCTCGTCGATATCCTGCGTGATGTCCCATACATTGATTTTGACCGCTGCCTCTCGTGGGATGGTATGTTTCTGTACGGCTTCTGCGTGGATATAGTCACGCTGAGATCTTCTCTAGAATGGGCTATGCCTGATCAGCTGGTCTCTACCACCGTGACTGCTCTGCTTAAGATCGCAAGTGCTCATCCTGAGTATAGACAAGTTACTTTCGACGCCATCACGAACCTTGTGAAGGAGATTGTCCCTAGATTCCAGACTGAAGACTGTGAGTGGTCACTGTTAGTATACGCCACCATGCTAACTATGAACCCCAGCCTTTGACGTCCTGTCCCAATACGCTCCTGCTTTTCACGGACTATACAGAGCTGTCATCTCTATTCCCTTCGACTGGTCTCCCGAGGAATGGCGTTCTCTCGCCGAACCCCTCAACCAGCTCTTCTTGCCAGACACCATTGAGCGCCTCAACAAGCTCCCTATCGAGGCTCTGAGTGGATCCGGCGAGGATGTGGAGAAGATCACCTACGTTCAAACCCTCGTCTCTCGGTACATCTCTTGCGGCCGTCCCCTCACCGGTTACTTCATCGTTTGCTGCGTCATTGAGGCGAAATGGACGATTCTCGCGCAGGCTATGAGCCGGACGTACTCGACAAAGGACATCGACGTGGCCCCCGCGCCGCAAGAGGCCGCAGCGGCCAACATTGCCTGGCAGAAGTTGTTGAAGTATCATGAACCAGGAAACGGCTTCACAGAAGAGAGTCAGAGGGTCCTTTTGCGAACGACTATGCGGAACGTTTTGCACATCTTCGCCACGCTGCTTGTACTGATTCAGGAGATGGACTCGGATCCGGCCGATGATAGCTACGCATGGGAGACCATGTCTGAAAGTCTGGTGCGTCACTTGGCAGAATAATCTCACTAGTACAACGTCTGACGGTCTACCACGCAGAAACTTGCAGCCGTGTGCTGTGCCGCTCTGGACGAGTTGGATCCAGGTCTCTATGAACGCTTGAAGACACTTCTCAGTTCGGAGTCCCCCATTGTCGACAGCATGGTTCAGGAGGCTGCGCTAAAGTCGACCTCTATCCTCGTCCGGTGGTCGGTCTACAGCATTAGCCGGTCGGTGTACTCGACTGATCCTGTTATAGCTTCCCAGACATTGCCGCCCCTATGGCCAACCACCTGCGACGCTTCGTCACCTCACCGCTGTCGATTTTCGAATTTGAGTTCGCGTCCACTGCGCGTACGCCATCGTCTCTATTGGCCGCTGCAAGATGTCTTTCACTCTGCATCGACGTGGGTGGTGGTTCTCTATATGTCTACGTTCTATGTTGATATCAGCTATGCCACAGCTTGCTCCGGGAGACGACCTCATCATGTCTTACATGTACTCTCTGTTGAATTACATTGCAGCGACCAGCAAGGATATCTTCGAGACATCAAGCATCATTATGAACCTTGCGGACGTTCCCGACCTGTCCACTTTGCACTCTGTCGAGACCGGGTTGAGAGGCCTGTCGGAGGACGAGAAGCGTACGGTCGGCATCAGCACAATCTCAGTTGCATCGCGCCTCGCACTCGAGAACAAGAACGAGGAGGTCTGTCATCAATCTTATGTACGAGATGATTGCGATATAACACCTTGACAGGTTACCCGTTTGACCATCTCGATGCTGCTACAACGGATGCGAGCCGCGGAGCCAACGGTGGAGGCCGCGATTGCGTACAATCTCGTTGACTTGGCCCTCATTGCGCCTCAGAGCGCTTTCGTCGATATCATACGTGCCTTCTCTTCAATCAATCGATCCGCAAACCTCGATGACACAAGGTTCTCAAACAATATGGTACGGCGTCTTTTCTATTGCACCATAGTAAATCGTCACTAAATAACTCTTTGCAGGTTCTTGCAGCACAGACGAGACTCGCGAAAGAGCTGAGGGGCCGCCCAGAGCTTTACCAGCTCTATCTGACAGAGCTACTGACCCTGTTTGCGGACAAGGGCGTCGCCATCCAGAACGCTGCCATATCAAATCACCATGCTAAGGTCCGTCGACCCCAAAAAGAACCTTACGCCTCGTGCACGCAGCTATCTGACTTTGACCTCCTTACGCAGCTAGAGGAGATGTCGGAGCAGCTCGCTTCCCTTCTTCTGCCCATCGACGCCCTCCTCAGCCACGAAGACTTCGAGATTGGCCCAGACGCCTCGTACAATGTCGTCACGCTCTTCCGCAACATGTGGTTCCTCTGCGCCCTCTTCGGCTTCACAGCCCCAGCGACCCGTACACCCACCGCGATGGAGTGGCGCCAGCCCGCGCTCGCGCGCATTGCCACGCGCACTCCGCCAATCGTCCTTGAGGAGGCGCATGACACGATCGTAAGCGACCTCGAGTACAACACAGTCATTCGGCAAGAGTATGTCGAAACCGTCATCGCCAAGCCCCGGGCGCTGCTCACAAAGCATATCCCGCTCCGTGCGAGCGAAGTGCGCTACCTCCTGCCAGGGCAGGTGCTCTTCCTCCTCGCCATGCACGACGTTGAGAGCATGCGGGCCGCCGCCGGCTGCCCATCGTCACTCGTCACGTACTTCGTCAACAAGGGCATCAACAAGAACACCGGCCTGTTGCAGTGCATGGAGGCTGTTGCAGAGAAGGTCATCAGGGGCGCGATCTCTGACCTGAACGGCCAGGCGGCGAAGCAGGCGCTGCCGAGTGGATTGTCGATGGAGCTCCGCGCGCTGCTTGTGGCGAGCACGCATCGGATCCTCAAGGCGCGGGAGATCGCTGCGCGGTACTTGAACAGGCTGATCACGTCGTTCCCTTCTCTCATGTGCGACCCGCCGTTGGTGTTCGCAATCCTTGAGGTATTGACGCTGCTGCGCCGCGCAACGGAGAACGAATTCTTGGATGAGGTGTGTGGGAATGCTAGCGCACTACTTGACAAGCTGATGACGGCCTGGACTGCAGGACAACCCGACATACACCTACTACTCCGACCGTGCAGACTTCACGCTCCAGCTTACCGATAACTACGAGGCGCGGAACCAGATGCTTTCCCAGCTTCAGCGGGAAGCGAGCACGTGGTTCGAGCTTGCGCTCAGCAGAGCTCCCATTGAGCTGCACTCGACACTTCAGGTAAGAAATGTTGCATGGTGGCTGGACACTCCGGTGTTTCTGAAAGCAATATCCAGAAATACCTGGCGACGGTCCCGAACTCGTCGCTCATGGAGTCCTGCGAGCTCGGAGCGTCAATCGCCCTCAATTGGGCGAAGGCAATCGGTCCGATCGAAAGAAAGCTTGGTAAGTTCGCAAAATACTTAGGTATACCCCGTGTCTCACTTTCTCCAACAGCGTCCCTGTCCTCTATGTCAATCTTCAAACCCGACCGCGCGAAGACCCTAGCAAACCAGCTAGCGTCTAAGGGATACTACACGGGCGAAGCAGCGGGCTTTAAGTTTGGTCGTGCTAGCGGTGATTGTGGCATATATCAAGTCGTTTCCATATCGCTGATAGATCACCTTGTTAGGACTGGATGGATTGGATGATCCGTTGTCCTTCGTGCCGAAGCGAGAGATCACGCTGCTCAAGAAGCGGATTGCGGATGCTATCACCTCGATCCGAGACAAGACGAATACATTGACGGTCGCGGATCTCAAGCGCCTCCTGTTCCGTGCTGCATCGACTCTCATTTTCCTCGAAGAGGTGACTTAAATATGTACAATCTCCTGTTCACGGGGTTTGACACTGGCTGTAGTGGGACCACGATTTGGCACACTACCTTGTGGCTCTACCATTCGAAGCATTTACCCAGGCCTCCATCTCTGCCGGCATCGAGTGCTGGTCCTGGGTAATTGCAGAGAAACCCACTTTTGAGGTCACTCTCATGTCGGAAATCGCCGCAGCTTGGGATGCCAGCATCAAACATGGTAAAGGCATGTTTTCCAAGAGCCAGAAGTGAGTTCAGCACGCCACCTCTGCTCGTCTTCTTGCTCAAGCCTGTCGTGTTATAGTTACGTTGATCCGTTTTTGCAGGAAGTACAGTACAGCCCGACAGACAAAGCTACCATAGACCGCCTCACAAGAACCGCTGCAAGACTGATCACTCCTCACGGGCTCATCCTCCAGCTTCTGTTCAGCAGGTTGCAAGCTGCGAGGTATCGGAGACCTGGATTGATGCTGCTATTTCAACGGCTAGCCCTTTCCTCCGCTCGCGCGCACGAGACCATGTCGTGAGTACACGTGGTGATCTGTGATGTCCTCTATTGAATTCCCCGCAGAACGCATCCCCTGGCTCGCGAAGCTCGCTTCTCATTCCTACTCTTCGGGTTCGAAGTACTCAAGAGCTCATTTCTTGACGTCTTCTGTGAACACCAGCTGCGAACCAGTCTCTATAACGCAGCCTATTCTTGGTTCGCCGTGCGGCCACAGTAGGTCTTTGCCTATTTCGATGCCTCAGGCGAAGAGATTGACCGTGTTTACCAGATGGTCGTATGGCTCGAATCGAGTGCAGGTCGACGCAGATATCAAGTTGTTGTCTGAGTTTCTATCCTATCTGCAAGCAGACTCGATCAGGGGTTATGCGCCCATTTCGAGCCTTGCGCCAACGCATGCCCCAACTCAGGCTCCTTGTATGTGCTTTGCTCTAAGTACCGGAATCGTCAACCTCAACCGAACATTACTCGCAGACTATATCGCCGCTCTCAAGAATCTAGGACTGCCTCTCAGGCTTCTGGTTGAGAATGAAGTATTCCGCTTGACTGTCTGGGGCAATCCCGTCAACGATACAAAGCGGGGACAGGACCACATATGTCTTGTAGAGAAAACGATGCTAGACGTGGGTCGCACTCTGTTACGATGATTGCTGATTGCGCATTGACGACGATCGTACAGAACGCTTGGACAGCTGCCATCCGCAGAACTTGGAACATCGACCCTGCTATCGCCGTCTACATGGCTGAGCGATTCAGTCAGCCAGCAGTGCAGACTGCCGTTAGTAGCCTAGTGCGGTCGAATACTCGAGACGTTCTGGACGTTCCCGAAGGCCTTCACTTCCTTGTAACCGAAAGCCTTGGCGCGAGTGTTCAACGCGATCTAAGGGTATGTTGCATTTGTTGTCTTCACTTGAGATGAAGCCGACTAGAGTGTACTTCAGTACCTACTCCTCTGGGCCCCTGTTCCTCCAGTGCTCGCTATCACCTTCTTCGAACGCCGCTACAACAACCATCCTCAGTTGTTACAATATGCTCATCGGGTACTGGAGCAACATCCCGTGGACTTGACGTTCTTCTTCGTTCCGCAAGTCGTACAGGCCCTTCGATACGATGATCTGGGTATGTGAGGGCGCTGGACCCTGCCGAAAGCAAGTTGACCATTTTGTCAGGCTACGTCGCACGCTTCATCTTTGAGACCGCAAAAATCTCGCAACTTTTTTGTCATCAGATCATTTGGAACATGAAGGCCAACTGCTATAGGGATGACGCTGGGGAACAAGAGGACCCGATGAAACCTACTCTGGACCGGATGACTGATATGGTTGTCGACTCGCTGTCGGGCGAGGCGCGTGCGTTCTACGATCGCGAATTCGGCTTTTTCAACGAAGTTACCTCTATCTCGGGCAAGCTCAAGCCCTTCATCAAGAGGACGAAGCCGGAGAAGAAGGTACGTAACTGACTTCATTATGACGAGCTGGAAGGAGATATATCTACTTGTGACCCATAGGCAAAGATCGACGAGGAAATGGCTAAGATCGTAGTCCAAGTCGGTGTATACCTTCCGAGCAATCCGGACGGCAAGGTCATCGACATCGATAAGAAGTCCGGACGACCGCTCCAAAGTCACGCGAAGGCAGGTCTCCAGTGAGCGTCTTCCCTAACTAATGCTGATTGCAGATAATAGGCGCCCTTCATGGCTACCTTCAAGGTGCGCAAGGAGCGACTGGTCGTCAAGGGCTCTTCCGACAATATTCTGGATGCGGATACCCAAGGCCAGGAGGAGACCGAGGAGTATGACATCTGGCAGCAGGCTATTTTCAAAGTCGGAGACGACTGTCGTCAAGACGTTCTCGCTCTCCAGGTCATAGCGATGTTCAAGAACATATTCACGAGTGTTGGACTGACCCTCTACGTCTACCCTTACCGCGTGACGGCCACTGCTCCTGGTGTAAGTTGCCACCACACACTCCAGTGATAATCGCTGACTCGTAGCACCATAGTGTGGTGTCATTGATGTGGTGCCTAATGCAACATCTCGTGATGAGATGGGTCGAGCGAAGGTCAATGATCTCCTCGATTTCTTCGTCGCCAAATACGGCGGAGAGGACACGGTGGAGTTTCAGAAAGCTCGCCTGAATTTCATTCAATCCATGGCGGCCTATTCTGTGGTGTGCTACATCCTGCAGGTCAAGGATCGCCACAACGGGAACATCATGATCGACGGAGAGGGCCATATCGTCCACATTGGTAGGCGCTCAAATATCCCTCTGTTCAAGGCACATCGTTGATTCGTCTCGTTGCAGATTTTGGCTTTCTATTTGACATAGATGAGTCCTGGCACATATGGCGTTGGGATATTGGCTGACATTCTCTCTTGTGATCTCTCTACGTCCTGGAGTGAGTCGCTTCGCTATTGATCCTACTAACCGCCATTGACCACGCGACGCAGGGTGTCAAATTTGAGCCGAACTCTTTCAAGCTCACGCACGAGATGGTTGTCCTCATGGGCGGACGGACCTCGCAAGGTTACCAACTCTTCCAACAGTTGACAGTGAAGGCGTTCTTAGCTATACGGCCGCATGCCGATCAGCTTGTCAGCACGGTACAGCTGATGCTTGACACTTGCCTTCCATCCTTCAAGGGGGAGCCCACGATCCGTAGGCTCAAGGAGCGTTTCGCGCTGCACTTGAATGAGCGTCAAGCAGCGGAGTACATGATGTCTATTGTGAGGAACGCGTACGAGAACGTGCGGAGCACTGTGTATGACGAATTCCAGAGGGTACGTGCATCGAATTCATTGCATTGAAACCCATCTCACACCTCGTATAGCTCCAAAATGGCATACCATACAAGTAGGCGAGATGTGTTGCGATGGGCTCCGAGAAATTGTCTTGTTCATGTTTATTGGTAGTAGCAGTATATATCTCATAGGTCTCAGGGACGGTAGTAGTAGGGATGATTTTAGCGCCCAACGCGAGGGCTATGTTAGCGCGCGAAGTTGAGAAGTGTCCGAAGGACGATCACTTCGGCTTACCGCAGCACAACATGCTACCCTCTCCAGGTCCGCGAATTCGGATTTTCACTACTTTGCTTGTGCGCTTTGCACACGCCACCCGCCACTCTTTGGGTAGGAGCCACTGGTGCTCGCGTGTCCCACCCGCCCTCTGTCTTACAAGCTCATCACTTCCAGTCTCGCTCGCCACTGAGATCCCCGCTTCCTCTTTCTCAAGCTGCGATCGCCATCCTTGATCTGAAGCTATAGAATGAATATTGAGCTCGCGGACGTGTCCTTCGAAGCTAGCGAGTGGGATGTAAAGCGAGCCTTTGGTGCCATCCTTCACGGCGAAGGTTTCTACAATGCATCTGACCCAAAGTCGCGACCCATGTGAGTGTCCAGGACACCAAGAATCGGCCGTCGCTTGCACTCACCCGTCGTAGCAACTTCAAGGTCTCACTGAACCCTGGCCGCGGTGGCGTCCAAAATAATGGCTCGGGAGAGCTGATCCTGCCTAATCGCAAGTTGGGTGATAAACTCCTGAAATGGGTGTACGAAGATCACAACCCGGTCCTCGTACTCGGACGAAAGATCAGGCTTTTCCGAAGTAAAGATCGACCCAGCCGGAGCTTGCAGGAGACGCTCGATAAAACTCCATATCTCGATCCTGCCCTCGAAGAGAAACGGGAAGAGAAGCTCAGAAAGCTTGACATGGGCTTACATGTCGATAAACTCCAGTTTGGCGTGTTCTATCGTCACCCGCAAGATCCTATGACTGCCTCTCGGATATTCTCTCGCGAGTTTGAGTGGGGCCACCGGAATAAGGGAGCGGGAATGATGTGGTTTGAATACGATCACAAGCTCATCCGCATCCAGGTTGGTACATGTCCATTACAGGGCGCTCCCAACCATGTACATACGTGCTGATGACGCGCAGCTTGGGGACAAGATGACCGAAGAAATCGGCTCCAACGTCGCTATCACCTTCTCAAACATTCGACGAATGGCTATAGGTATGGATTATGGCAATCCATGTGAGCACCCTGGTTCTCATCGCTCCCTGCTGCGTTGACGAGCGAACACCTGTCTCAGTCATTGTATTTGAGCTGTTGACGCCTCCGATGCTCGAACGCGAGCGCTTCAACCGCACAAGGACCGGCGAGGATTGGCGAGACCAACGCAAGTTTAGGCAAAGGCTCAGCAGTCTCAACGACGCCCACGCAGTTGTAGCTCCGTACGCGCACCACATCCGCCTCATCCTCCATTCGGAGCAAGACATCCTCACATTCGCGGAGTTATGCACTGTGGCCGATCTCAAGAAGCCGTTCTGGATCAACGTCGAATCTTTCAACAACGGCTTCTTTTCGCCGAAACAACTCCATCTATACCACATTTGGGTTTCCAAGTTTGCTTGGCCCGTTGCCTTCCAGCTTGAGTCCCTTCTCCACAATGGCTTACTACACACTGAGGATCTTCTCAAGCACTTCCGGAGCCACATCGAGAAGCTCTGTCGAGACTATCCCGATGATGCAGGCGACATCCTTCGTGACTTCTCCGAGGCGCTTCGTACCAAGGCTCCTCTAGATACTTACATGGACTGCTTCCGTCGCGTTACGCCCGGTACGGGAGGACAGAAGTGGGGGACACTTCGCAGCGACGGTCAGATGACGGAGCGGGCGCGGGACTCTGGAAAGTTCAAATGCTATCACGTTACATTCACTCCTACCCGTATCCTCCTCGAGGGACCTTACGTGAGCCAAAGCAATCGTGTCATCCGACAGTTCGCCGGGTACGAGGACCACTTTCTCCGTGTCGACTTCCGCGACGAGGATCGCCTACAGTACAGATGGGCACGAGAGGTAAGTGTTGTAGCCTTCCCCCCAAATCACCGCACAGCTGACGATATCGGAGGTTGATGGTACGACACTCCTGGAAGAGCGCGTGGGTGGCACGCTGAAACACGGCTTCGACCTCGGAGGGCGCCACTTCGAGTTCCTCGCATATTCACAATCCGCTTTGCGCGAGCACGCGGTGTGGTTCATGAACCCCTTCGATCACCCAACACGAGGTTACGTAGACGGACAACGCATCCGCGACAGCCTAGGCGACTTTTCCAAGGTCATCGACGCGCCGTCGAAGTATGCCGCACGTCTCGCTCAAGCGTTCACGGCAACGGACCCATCTGTGTCTATTTCACACGACCAGTGTGAGGAGATGTCTGACATGGGCGAAGAACCGTACCTGTTCACCGACGGAGTCGGCACCATCTCGCCCAAGCTGGGCGATATGATCTGGGAGGCCTTGTGTACAGCGAAAGAAGATCTCCGGCGCCATGAGCGCAAGCCCTCCGCGGTAAGTGGAATATTGTAGTGCATGGCGCTGGACGCTTACTTTGCCCCAGTATCAAATACGGTACCTAGGTGAGCCCCTCGAAGACGGCCATGTACTAATACTGACGATCACTCTAGGATATAAAGGTATGGTGGGTATTGACGAACGACTTGAGGGTGTCAAGATGCGCCTCAGGCCGTCCATGAATAAGTTCGACGCCCTTGACAAGGACGTTGCGCCAATTGAGATTGCACGCTGGTTCGACAACCCGGGAACTTCATATCTGAACAGGTCAGTCCTTCCCGAGATGTCGCTTCCAATATATCTGTCCTAACATAGATAATGTAGGTCACTCGTCATGATCCTCGAAGACCGCGGAGTGGACAAGGCAGTGTTCCAGAAGCTGCAAGACAAGGCGGTGGAAGCAGTGGTCACGGCGTCCGACTCCATCGATGGAACCGTCACATTACTCAAGACGCACAACATCGGGCTCAGTCTCGGACTGCCGTATATTCTCAGAGGCCTTAAGGCTATCGGGATGGGAATGAAGGAAAAAGAAGTGACCACCGGAACCCTCAATGATACCTTCCTCTACAGTCTGATTGGATATGCTCAAGCCCACATTCTGCGCGACATGAAGCACAGTGCCAGGATACCGATTCCGGACAGCTATCTCCTTGTGGGTTTGGCAGATGAAGGGCCTGCGTATGAGGCGGAGGGTGTGCAGAACGTCTTCTGCCTCAAGGAAAACCAAATCTTCGGTACGTAAGCCATGAATCTACTTCCCGCCTGATCATCTGATATGCTCGTGAAGCTTGTGTTCAGAACGAGACGGACGATGAACCAACTTACCTTCAAGGTATGGCATCGTTTACATAACAGCAACTTGTCAACCCAACGTGGCCGTAGGCGTAGTGGTGATTTCTCGTAGTCCTGTCGTCCACCCCGGAGATGGTGAGTACTCGTACCACCTATCAGTGCGACGCATGTCTCTCATCTTCACGTAGTTCAGCGTGTATATGCTATTGGCAAGCCTCCCGATGACAAGGTCTGCTTCTTCCGGAACCTTAGGAACGTGGTAGTTCTCCCCTCCGTTGGTGCGTTTCCTCAGCGTGTCTGTCCAATGGACCCAACTTACTTGCCTTGCACGTCTTGACAGGGAAGCGTTCGCTCGCTTCTATGTTAGGTGGAGGTGATCTTGATGGGTAAGGACTTACTACTCTCCTTTGGAGCGTCTCGAGTTCATAGTTGTACAGGGACCTCTACTCCGTCATCAAATATAGCCCCTTGCTGCCGACCGAGCATGCAGACCCTGGATCATATGAACCTGTAGGTACTAAGAGACTTCCAGATGGACGGCAAAGCACTGTGGACGATATCTGCGATTTCGTCGTAGAGTATCTCAACTCCGACGTTTTGGTATGTCGTTGTATCTTCAATGGATACAGTACGTTAACGCAGATTTATAGGGTCTCCTTTCCGATCGACACCTGATAATTGCGGGTGAGTACCTTGATCTGGCTGCTGTGTTCTTCATAGGGCGCGCCAAGTTGACGTGTCCGATAACTGCTCAGACCAATCGCGAGAGGGAACAAACGACCCGGCTTGCCTAGATTTGGCTCAATTGTGTAGTCAAGCCGTCGACTACCCAAAGAATGGAATCCCGGTGGATATTCATGATTCTCCTCGCCTATTGATTCGTTTCAAGCCAGACTGGAAGATGGTAGCCTTTCCCCTCCCTTTGCAACCCATCTTTCGCTTATCTCGGCTTTCTCCTTTGTCTAGGCCGAAGACAACGACCCTCGCGACACAGACTACTACTTGTCCCCTCGAGCGCTGGGAGAATTGTTCCGGAGCATCACAATCCCGAAGCCCAAACCATCTGCTGAGTCTTTCCCCAACCCTGATGGGCCCAAGATTGTATCAAAGCCTGCGAAGAGAGAACCGCCACTCTCAGATGTCATCTCCTTGGCGCTGAAGCCATTCATCGAGCGGCAGCTGCACTTCTACGAGAATTCCGACAGGAACGTGGCCGATATGAGGGGCCTTTTCCTCCGCTACGAGCAAGAGCTACGGTACATCTGTGTCACACACGCTCTCTCCGATGCCCCGGACATACGGCTGCAGGAAGAGGAAGTTGCGATTGGGACAATCCTTGCGAACTGCTCCCAGCATCGCTGGAGAACCGACCGTATGCATCGCATGCGCATGCACGCGGGAGAACTTGCTCGGGAAATCAAGTACAAGTTATATCACCCCTCCGACGTCTTGAATCCGGACCAAGGCGAGCTCCTCTACGGTCTGTCGCAGGCGTGGCTTGCGTGGGACTTTGGGACGAGGAACAGCTCCGTGTTCGGCGCGCGGAGCTTTAGTCTAGTCGCTCTAGGGGTGGTACTGGATACCCTGTCGAAGCTGGGTGGCATTCCGTGACGTTTCTGTATTGCATGTTGTAGCCTCGATGAGTGTGTGGCATCTTCTGATTTGTATGTGTATGATGTAGTGCAGTATTGAGTCCCTGCAGATCAATGTAACCCTATGCTATGGTCACCGTGTTACCCCGCACTCTTCCACCGACCACGATGTCGGGTCACGTCGTGCGTTCTCGCCATCGACTATCATGGACTACCCTTGGGATTTGGAGAGTCAGTTTACTGGGGCTGTATGTGTTTTCAGTCTGTTGTCATGCTGCCAAGATCGGCCCTCGTGAGTTCTCCTCGCTGTCCTCCAAGGCCATGGCTTCCCTAGTCGCATCCCCCGACCCGTTGCGCAATGTCGACCCTTCCAACCCCCAGTCGCATTTGTCGCGAATACTGGTCCCACGACCGCCGGATACGGAGAACAACACCATGGTCCGGAAGTACATTGTTGACACGATGAAGAAACTGAACTGGCACGTCGAGGAGGACACCTTCAATGACACCACACCATACGGCGTGAAACATTTCACGAATGTGATTGCTACGAAGGACCCGCAGGCCCCCCGACGTGTCATTTTAGCTGCACACTTTGATAGCAAGTTCTTCGCGGCATATCCGCAAAACCAGGCGAGTGCTCGGGATTGTTCGGGCTCGTTGAAGTATGCTTGCTGACGTGTCAGGTAGTAGTTTCTTGGTGCTACGGACTCCGCGGCACCCTGTGCATTCATGCTGGACCTCGCAGAAACGTTAGATCCTCTACTGAACGAGCGAATGGCACGATTAGAGAATGGCGAGGAGGATGACGAGGATGTGGCTGAGACTACGCTGCAACTGGTATTCTTCGATGGGGAGGAGGCGTTCAAGGATTGGACCGCTACAGACTCGATATACGGCGCGAGGTATGTTAACCTTACCAGGCTGTTCCGCATCTTAAAACGGAAACAGACACTTGGCACACAAGTGGTCTACGACCTACATCGCTCCTCATTCAAAACGAAGGTTACTGCCGGCTTCGACTACGGAGCTTGGGACGATTGAGCACCTCATCTTGCTTGATCTACTCGGGGCACCCCACCCACAAATTCGATCTTCCTTCGTCGACACGGCCTGGCTCCATGACGCTATCGCGTCAGCAGAAAGGCGACTCGCAGATAGTGGCGCATTCGCATACGAGAAGGATGGCATCAAAGCGGTCGAGACGTTCAGGCCGTTTTTCGTCCCCCGTGAGGGTCCTCAGTTCAACTTTGGTGGGATCGAGGATGACCACATACCCTTCTTGAGGCTTGGTGTGGACGTGCTGCACATCATCGCCAGTCCGTTCCCACGAGTATGGCATACCCTCAAGGTAGGTGTCCGAAAGATGCCAGACAGATGCAAGGCTGAGACAACACTGCCCAGGACGACGCATCTGCTCTGGATATAGCCACGATGCGGCGCTGGAATCTAATCCTTCGTGTGTTCATGGCGGAATACCTCCATCTCCGACCTGCGGAGTTGACCCGCGACGAAGTTTCCAGGCCACAACTTCATTCAGCCGACGAGCTGGTAAGCAGGCATCGCTACCAAGTCGATCCAGGCTAATATCATTTCAGTAGCTGACTCTCGGGTAAAGTAGTCAATCGTGGTGACCAGGATAGACTACTTCATTGGTGCCTTAGAGCAAGGCCGTATGCAATTGTAACTCGATGAACTGCCACAGGATCGTACAAGGTGGCTGTGCTGTCACGCGCAGTAGCAGCCAGTCAACGTAAGCTTGCGAGTGTTGCTTCTTGGACGCCTAGTCTGTGGATTCCACTACGAGTGTTGCGGGTGACGGTGGAGATGGGTGATTCACTCTAAGAGAAGAGTCTTATAATGCTTAATGAGGGCCGTTGCATCCGCTGCGACCTGTAGCGCAGCCACGGTGACTTGTCAGCAGCCAAGTAGGGCATGTAAGCCGTCTACATACCTTCTGATTCTCTATGTTCTCTGCCATTCGAGCGTTAGCTAAGGCGTATATTTTCTTGCGTGACTTCTCTCGTGAGATGGTTTGTGCTTCCACTACAGAACGACGGCGGTCAGTGTGACACCTAGGAGCTGTATCAGTTTGACTAGCAGCGTACACATAGCACTGGCTTCGTTGATCTGCGCTGCTCGACGGTGGGACAAGTCTTCGATGACTTCAGTATGATGGCCAAGAAGGGTCTGAACGCATGCCTTCGTAGCGCGTCAAGAGCACGTTGAGGCCTCGACATTTGCGAACATGCGTACATTCTGCTCGGCCAGAATGACCCTGAACTGGTTCAGTGTGGCTTCCTGAGTGACCTCCTTTGCTCTGAGATCGGAGACCAAAGCACGAGCCTTGTCGCTATGGGGTGATGAGACTGACTATATGCGCATATACTTTGTGGAAAGTGCTCACAGGGACGCCATGCCGTCCCGCAGGGATGCCTCGGCTTTCTTGCGCGCCGTCGTATATAATGCATCTCTTTCTTTTTGGAACGCGATTGACCGTGCGGACGACTTAGTCGCTTTTCTTTCTGGCAAATTATCGGGTTGAGAGGAATGTTTCTATGATTCGTTGAATTAGATTGCGTACTTTGCATTTCTTGTAACATGGCAAGCATCTCGACCATGCTACGTAACATCAGTGGGGGCGCACTGAACTCTCTTGTGTCGGACTGCTCACCTGTCTTCGTCGCCTTCTTCTTCTGCGGCGTCTTCTTCATCTACCTCCATATCTTCTTCTAATTTTTGACTCATGACCGCATATTTACGCGCTGCAGACGACGGACGAGCCAAGTGCGACCGCATATGGGTGGGCACGGCCGCGGGTGGTTGGCTGGGTCCTGCGCGGTGGTGAATACAGCTGGCAACGACGGCAATTTATAAACATACGAGCTTGAGTGACACCTCTCTTCGGCATTCTTTCACTCTCTTTGCGGGTGATCGTCTGAGAGGAACCGTTGAGATGGAGGAACACTCTACTATCGGGGGCCCCTGGCGTCGTGGACAGCTGGTCACTGTGGAAGCCTGTCAACGGTGTTCGCCTGCCTAATCGGGCGACCGCCACAGCTTCCGTGACCTTGCAGGAGTACCAACCGGAGAAAGGATTTATAGAGGGATACGATTCTACACGGGCACGACAACGACAGGAACTGTGTCAACCCAGTAGCGCGACTATACGAGTATCGAAGCCTTCGCTACGGATGGGCATCTCGGGTGTGTGGAACGGGTTCTTCATGACGGCATCTGCGTAGATCTCGTATACCTTCTGCAAGACCGAGTCTGCTGAAGGCTCAACCAAGGAAGTCAACAGGACAAACTTCGTCCCTGAGAGGCGTAGGTGAGAGCCAGCCGCACGTTTGTACTAGATGCATACCAGTAGCAGTCAATAGAATGTTCATCTTGAATGTCTCGCCAGAAATAACGTGAGCACCGGAGCTCGAGCCTGTTGGCGATAGACGACTTGTAATGGCGTGAATTCCGTGTAGAGTGCCCGCGAGCACGAGATACTCGTTAGATGTCAGATGGGGGAGCCCATCTACATAACATCGTCAGCTGTGCTCGGATAAGCGGCCACAAGCTTGCTCACCACCGAAGCTACGCTCGTACACCAGGCCTCCAGCCTTGTTTATAACCTTATAAAATGGTTCCTTGGTTGTAATAAAGCATCAAATGAAGATTGTGAGGGGACATACCCAGAGACCGAAGATGGCCATGGCAAGTAGGCTCTTGAAGCAGGTAAGCGCCAGCGTTCATGTGAGCGGAACGCGTCTGGGAACGCGTCGCGTTTCAAGCTCCGATCAGAGTTACGCCTCGTCTTGGAGTCTGCGCCTCCACCTTGTCTTCCTCTCCCATGCCGGAGTTCCCATCATGCAGGCACAAGTCGTCGTAACAGATCAGAATCAGGTACTCTCCCTAATGCTATTTCTCACACATTTACTTGTCTGAAGACTATTGCAGACGGTCATTACGTCGCAGCAGAGTCTGCAGTCCGTCCAGACGCTCTTGCGGGCCGGCCTTGGCTGTATCACATACCTGAGGTAGCGTCCGTTCTTCTTGCAACAATGCCTCCGATTGAATGCGTCACAGGAATCTTCTCCCGTCGGACAACTTCTCAGAAAGTATGTCATGCGTAGACTATATGCGCCTACTTTGTCTAACATTGCGCATACATCAGGCTATCTGACTTCATCGAGTCCCGACACGCTGCCTTCGCAGTCCTCCAAGTCTGGCAGCTCGTTCGCTTCAACCGACAGCCGACCAAATGTTAGCGGGTTTAAGATTATGACCGTTACGCGAGGATTCACAGAGGAGGCGGATAAGCTTCTCGATTACATGGTGAGTGTCTTCGCATGTGTATGGCAGAAGGTGATGATATCCTAGTGACATCACCTAGGAGAACGGCGTATTCGACGCTTTGCAGAAGAATTATCTACGCAGCTTCGTATTTGCTGTATATCTGGTAAGGACATGTCATCGCTCGAAGGGGCTGTTGGTTGAACGCACTCGTTGCAGGACGACCAAGACCCCAACAAGTCCGTGTTTCAAGCCATGCCACTGTTGTTTTTATTGTGACTGATCTCTGGCATTCAGCATCATTGAATCTTACACCTTCAATTTCAATGTGAGGTCTCACCTCTATACCGTATGTCGTCAGGTCATTCGAATAACGCTCTTCAGTACTACGAGGTTCCTGGGACGAAGGAGACAATACCCGTAATGACACTTGGAGAAGAGATGAACAAGCTCTCTTTGTCTGCGCCAAGTCGAGCGCAGGATCCTGTGGCCGAGGCAATGAGGAAGGGTAAGGTTCCCACTCTGGGAGAAGTGAAACGGAGCTTGAAGGTTCGTAGGAGACCTTCACCTCTCATCGCCCATCCTCTAATAACCTGCAGACTCTGATCAAAAACCTCATACAAGCGACTACACAAATGGACCCTCTTCCGAGTGAGTGACCGCTAATCGACCTTCGTCCTGCTGATTCAAACACTGCATATCAGAACGACGTTTTGCCACCTTCAAGCTCTTCTATTACGACAACACACCTGACGAGTATGAGCCTCCTCACTTCCGTCCCGGAGATGCGGACAGGGATAAATGGTTCATGACTACCCACCACAAGCAAGAGGTTCCGGAGCGTTGTAGCGTTGGCTTTGTTCACACAGGTTACCACGGAGTTGACGTGAAAGTGACATCCGTGTCCGCGTACCTGCCTTCTGGCGAAGATAATAACGCGCCTTTCCTGGGAACCACTGAACGGAATGTGTTTGCAGCGCCTTCTTTGACTCCCATGGAAGAAGCTGTGATACGCGCTCAGCAGATAGAGACGCAGCGTAGAGATGCAGCTGAACGCCGGGTGATCTGGAATGGTGACGACAATATGGGAGATGTAGGCAGATCTAACGGCGGCGCAGGTGACATCGACATCAGTGAGTCTTATGTTATTGTTGTCCCTCGCAACTCATATTGACCGTTCAATGCTTAATGCATCAGTGCCTGTCGGTATCCGGAATGATGATGGTGATATTGTACCGCTCTCACCCGTTGCGCGAGGGGAGGAAAGCGCAATGGAAGCGCAATATGCAGGAAGACCGGAAAGCATACCGGTGTGCATCGGTCAACTGGTGAGTTCGACACATCCTCCTGGTATAGCTTTCTCTGATGACGTTCGTAGGCCATAGTCGGGGCGCACCCTGGGCAAGAAGTCTCTCCGACGCAAGAGATTGAGGATTCTCCGGCCCGACCGTCTTTGCTCACCTCTGTCCATTCTTCTCCGAGATCGCCAACACCTACGCCGAAACCTAGAAACTCGTCCTGTCGTCATATCGGCGGCGATGAGTTTTCCCTCCCACCCTCCGACGCTGTACCGTCCGTATCCTCGTCCGCCGAAGGGCCGGAGAGCATTGATACGCAATACCTGAAAGATATGATCATGGCGGATATGACGGCCCAAGAAGATGACGGCGTGATGCTAGGTGGGCCTTCCCACTGTTACCGCGTGTAGCCATTACCTATGAGAAGTCCCTTCTAGACATGGAAACGCAACAAATTCAGGGCTTCTCCGGCACAGACGAGCCTATCGAGCCAGTCGACGAAGTGCACACTCCAGCCACCGACACACCCATGGAGCAGGACCAACTCGTCGATACGCCCCCAGACTGCGAATGTGGTGTACAGGTATGTGGTATGTTAAGAGGGAGCACATGTATTAACGTCCATTACAGCTTACCGATTGCGATATATGCTGCTGTGACGGTGGTTGCGAGAGATGGTTTCATCTATGGTGAAGCTCCCCAAGATTCGAGGTGAGGATCACGTTGACAAGCGCGTTCCATACACAGGTGCATGGGATATCACTCCGCACAGGATCCGCGAATCCCGGAGAAATTCATCTGCTTCGACTGTCGCGTTCGGGCGGATCGCAATTGGGAACTCATCGTAGTGCACGACCTATACCCGCGGATGATCGCACGTTTCAAGGACCTAGCCATACAAAGGTAGGCACGTATTGCGTCCGGAGTCACCTGCTTCCAGACTGACAATCGAAGGCGAGGAATTAAAGTCTTCGAGAACTACGTTCCGCCAGGGTTATCGGCGTTCGCTAAGCTGATTGGTTAGCTCATGTGACCTTCTATGTCCAGACCACCTACAGACCTTCCCTCCTACAGGTTGCGATTCTACTGTTGCGGGTCAGGTATTCAAATGGCTAGAGACAGAAGGTATGGCGTACAATTCTTTATCCGTATATACTGACGGGGGTCATGCCGATAGGTTTCATCGCTCAAGAAACTCGAGAAGTGGATGACACAGGGTTGATTGAGACGAGGATGGTGTCTTCTAAGCGTAAAGGTCGAAGCGGCAAAATGGGCCCGAAGCCGAGAACTGGACTGCGCCGCAAAAACTTGCAGAAGCCGGTGTACGTCTTCGTGGAAACGATCAAGAACGAGGATGTCTATCAGGACCACTTCAATCCCGATCCCGAAGTCGAAAAGAGGCTACTTGGATTATCTGATCTGGTCTGGCCCCCACGTGTAGTGCCGTGCCAGTTGCTGATTCAATGCGTGAACAGAAACCGGATCGCAAAAGTCGCAGGAAGAAGAACGGCGCAAACAGCCACCATGCGGCCGAAGCGTAGTAGCGTTTCATTAATCCCCGTGCTTAGCTGACAAGGGTGGCATCTACAGGAACAAAACAAATTCCCTCCCACAAGAACCTGCTCACCGGAACGATGCCAACCGGAACCAAGAAGCAGTCCGCACCCAAGTGCTCTCAGCCGCCATGGAATCCCAAACTCAAGAGGAGATGCAATTTTTGCCCCCGGTCGCTCGGCACGACGAACTGAAGAGGAAAGCGAGCAGGTCAGGTGAAAACTCTGTGAAGGAGAAGAAGATCAAAATTTCTCTAGTACCGCCTGTCGACCTCGGGGACTGATCGATTCTAGGCCTTGGTGCGCTCGTCCTGGTCACACCGCTCTCATTGCCTGCTCTTGCTCTCTGCTGACCTCCCTGGCGACGCTTCTGTGACCTATCAGAGTCTGTTGACCCCTTTGCCTTACACTGTACGCATGCGATAATTACGTTCTCTAAGCTGTGTCATGTATCCATCGCTGAATTCCATTTGGCTGCGAGTCACCCGATGCAGCTCGTATGTGTGTTCGTCCACAATCCGATGAGTCCTGGCGCTCAATTAGTCACGGTGGGATGAGGCGCCGTGGCCTAGACGTCTCTGTGGCCTAGGCCTTTCGAACATCGCACACCGGCTGTTCAACCAGTACTATCGCGACCCCAGTGTTCGGACAGACCCCAGTGTTCGGACAAACGACCGTATCTCCGTCATTGTCCACTCGATAAACTTGCAAGTTGGAAGGTAGGTGCCCATATGTGTTCCAAATAAGCAGCAAAACGAACTGAATTTATATCATAAAGCCTTGGGGCGATCTTGCAGAAGGGAGTGGTGCAACCCTTCCCTATCAAAGCTTCGGGAGTCTCGCTTCGTATACCTCTTCGGGCGCTTCCATACAAATTTCGTGTACGTATTTCTACCTACGCATATTACTCACTACCCAATTTTCCGAGGCCTGCTCAGGGGAACACAGAGAAGAAACAAGAAGCAGCCCTCAAGGGCGTGACACTGCAGCCACAGTTTGACTCTCCGACTTGCTCGGGATGCTCGGCTAAGGCTCATCAAGCTGGAGAACGGGGATTCCCCGAAGACCGGCAGGTGTCGGCAAGCGTGACAGATCGTGACCTGCTGTGCGGAGAATTGTCCGAACAC